GCGATCTGGTGGCCGCTGGGCGAATACACCACGCTCCTAACTGAGTCGGTATGACCACGCAAGGTGTGGGCTTTTGTCCAAGTCAAAGCGTCATACACGCTGATCGTGCCGTCGCCGAGGCCTACCGCACAGAACTTCCCATCTGGCGAATACGTGCAGGAACTTACACTGCTTTCTTCTAAGAGGTACGGCCATTCCCAAAACTGCACTCCCGACATCTGTGCGTCGCTCAAATTGGCCTGACGCAGCCAAATATTGCGAAGATTGACTTTTCTCAAATCCGCCCCTTGTAGCTGAGCAGAATCGAATTGGCCCCCACTCAGGTCCGCTCCTGGAATCTGGATGCCTTTCAGATCTGCACCGATAAACGGCATCCCGGCTCTGACCAATATCGTGATCGCATTGGCTGCCGCCTTGCGTGCCTCTTTGTTGATTTTGGAGTATTCGATCGTTGCAAGCAGCTGCTGCTTGAAGAGATGTTCCTGTTGGACACGCTCTGCCAAGAATTGCAGAATCGACGGCTCGCCCGCAAAGCTTCTTCGTGCCAGGGGCGAATCGAGCACGGCCTGTGCAGTGGATGCCACGGGTTCCTCTACAGTAGCCTGGTCTTCGAAGCTCATGACTGAATGGACGCTCCCTCGACGTGGCAGGGCTTGAGGTGAGGCCGCGCGACTCGCGTTCTCTCCATCTCGCGGCTCAAATACCGCACGGGCCAAGCAGTATTCCAACAGTGATTTATGGATAAACCGGTACTGATTGCCACTGCGCGTCAGAGGACATGCCTCACGCAAGAGCTGCTGCTTCTCGTTCTCTCGGCTAAAGAAATCTTCTTTCCATGTCCCTTGATCGCGAAAGGGCGAGTACTCGACCACCGGATTGCCCGCTTGCTTCTCGTACATCGCCACCGCTAACGCTTTCAGAAAGGCAACTCCGTTCTGTGCAAAACCATCGTCCGACAAGTTCTCAAACACCTTCTTCTCTTGGTAGCTCAAGTCCTTCTTCTCAACAAGCCGTTTCTTGCCTCGCTCCAACCATTGCTCCACAAACTGGTCATACAACGCGACTCGCGTGACCTGCACGGCCGAGAGGTCTTGTCCTGGATCCACCATGCGCGGTAGTACCTCCAAGGACAGCGTCAACATAAAGGGGTTCTTGACCAGGTCCTGCAGGCTAGGAATCCGATCAAGGGTATTTAAGTAATCCGTCACTTGCCAGAGCGGCCTCGTCGCGGACACATATTTCCTGATGTATTCTTGAATTTGATCCATGGAGAATGGCGCAATGACCGCCTCTTGAAACGCTTGCTCTGCTTGGTGATTGCGATCTGCTGGCTGGAACCGATCTCGATAATCAAGCCCAAGGTACTCGCTGCGGCAGCTAATGACCATCTGAGCCCTCCATCCTCCCTCCTGATTCAGTCGGTTGCTCGTGTACAGGTTGTGTGTTTGCTGGCTCTCGTCATATCCATCACAAATCAAGATGAATCTGCGGTAGTCCTTCAGCTCTCGGATCTGGGGTTCGGTAAACTCTGCCTTCCGTAGATGTTTGGCGATCAGATCCTGTTCTGGCTTGTCGATGGCGGGTAAGCTGATAAAAAGCGGAATCCTGCCTTCCTTTTTCTTATAGGCATCCCACAAGTCGCACTCGAGCTGCCGGTTAAAGGTCGACTTGCCTCCACCCGAATCACCTAGCAGGAGCATCACCTTATGGTCACTGCTCAGGAAGCCTTCAACTTCTTTTGTCAAGTCGAACAAGTTGTCATCGGACGCTTGCAGGTTAGCCTTGGCTTGAGGAGGGATGTACACGACTTTGCCTCGTTCCTTCAATCGTTGCTTTCTCAGTCGTCTCAGGTCGACTTCAACATCGGGCTTGTTCTGGACAAGGTCAAGCAATGATGGGGACGCGACAGTTGGCAAGGCGACTTGCAGCGGATGTAAGCTTCGATTTTCCTTTCGGCAGACCTGGTAAAGAATCCTTTTCGTCTCATCGCCATTCGATTCCAGCTCTTGCAACAAAGATTCGACACCTACATCATGTATCGTATAGACCACAATGGAATATAGTACAGCTATCAGTACCTGCTAGGCCGTGAACTCCATATTTCATATTAAGGCGAGAGCCTCTCACGCATCCGTCCATGTTCATCATACATACCTGGCATAGCTGAGCCAAATGTCGAAGCCAACTGCATAAGGATGTCAAGGATCCATTGCTTGACGAGAGCTTGCTGACCCCACTCTGCATCGTTTCGGTACATCTCGCCCAGAAACGCAACAGCACCTTGGCGAGATTCTATGTCCCACAGTGGATTGGCCGCAAGGTCCCCCAGGCGCTGGCATACTCCTAGTTGGAAGGCTAGATCACGCCGGCAAGGCGCTTCACAGACCAGGGTCTTGAACTTGGCAAGTTGACCGTCCCGCAGCAGTGTGTCTGCTCCGCGCAGGGCTGTATACCAGGCACGTTTCTGGTTGAAGCTGAGACCGACTTTGAGAGATTCCAGCAGTCCTTGTCCACTCTCGACCAGGGCGCTCACACCTTCGTAACCGATTTTCGCTACCTGGATCACCTCTCCCAGTCCCTCCTGAAGATGCCCGAGTCCTGTGATGAAGCCGTTGACGTCCAGGCCTTTTACGGCACTAACAAGCCCTGAGACACCCTTCAACACAATCCCAGTGCGCCGCATCGTTGCTTGCCATGGTGATTCGTTGTCTGGGACGCACTGCAGTGCTTGGAAAGCATAGGCAGCCTGGTACACCAAGTAAGGGTCGCTGCTGCCCTGCAGTCCACTCAAATAGTCAGATAGTGGCTCGTGCAGCTCTACACGCTTTAAGCCTGAGACCTTGGTATCAGCCATGGCATCCAGGATCTTTGACACTGCGAGCGTGAGACGGCCGATGTGATCTGAAGACTGAGTGTGAGTATCCTGTAAGCGGGTGTTGAGGCTGTTCAGGATCCTGGCTAGGTCATCCGAGTCGAGGTAGCCCTCGGGAGCACTTTGGACCAACTGCGCCAACCCTTCGAGGGACTGCACATCCAGCAGACTGGACTTGTCAACGCCATCGACAAACAGCATGAGTAGAGAGTGGAAATATTCCTTTTCAAGAACTGGGGCCAGGCACACGACTTCTGCAACGGCGTTGGCATCCTTGAGCTCATCACGAGTGAATGCTCGGATCACATCTGTCGCCAGCGTCCTGAGTCTCTCCTTCTCCTCTGCATTCTTCTCTGTGGATTTCACCCAATTCCCTACGCCTGGTTCAAAAACCTCTTCGGGTGATGGCGTCACTTGCAGAAGGCCAAGGCAGTAGGCGAGCTGGGAAGTATCGCGGAGTCGCTCATCTGTGTCTGGTAACGTGCACTTGACGGTGGGCTGACGCATATCATCGGGGAAGATATCCTTAGAGATCCGTGCCATGTCGCGGCGGGCCTTGTCGGTGACAGATGAAACTGTAGGACTTGGATCTTTTGTAGGACGCACATGGCTGTTGAAGTCAGAGGACAGTCAACAATATTGAGAGACGCGTTAGATGCGACGTATGATATAGCCGAGCTAATGCGAACAAGCAGAGAGCAGGTACCCTGTCACTTACCCCCATTTTTCTGCTCTCTTGTAGCTGACCTGCGCCATTTCACTATGTCCTAAGCTCACCAACAAGTTGGCGTGCTCGAGACAGGCGCCAGCGAATCCATCACGCAGGGCTTGATCCTCAGCGGACAAGGGAGTTGTAAGAATCTTTTTCGCAGCTCTTTTCATCCGGAATAACGCGGTCTCTGCGTCGTCGCACAACGCTAAAGCAATTTCCTGATCCTTGGTTTTGCGCGCATTCTCTACGTAAATGTTGACGAGTTCCAGCTCCTGTTGTGGCGAGAGAACCTTTCGCGGTGACGAAAAAGCTCTGTCAAACATGTTGCTTCTCTGAGGGGGGAGGGGTTCTCCTGTTATCATAGAGCAGATGGGGGCAATATTAGTGACTCTGTGGGGTTGATTAATCTACCTGTGTGAGTAGCCAGTATACGTACTTGTACTTGACAGACACTTCAATAACGCAATGAGGACCAATAAGTCGCAGTGGGCTGGTATACTAAAGACCTTGTGGGAGCAGAATGAGCTATGGTATTGATATCCATAGCAGCTGCATGAACTAGATCATATGTGGCTGCTTTGCCAAGTGATAGCGCCCCCTACCTCGGAAGTGTTTATTCGACTCTTTGTTTCCTTTGGTTAGATGCAGAGGTAGTCCTGAATAATTTGTCCTCTCCGTGCCTCCTTCCTAGCAGCAATATCTACCAATTGCCCAATCGTGAAGACATGAAGGATTAATAACCTTAAAACATGCCTATAGGCAGGCCACTATCGACTGACAAGAAACACTGCCTCACCTCAACAGGAATCTGTTTCTCACCAGCCGAGGAGATGGTCCGTCCTTATGAAATGTTCTCTACTCCAATTCTTTGTTGAAGACGGCCTGCACACGAACAAGGCGGGTCGAGTGAAGGGATATTCGCTTCCCTCGTCACTTCTATCAGAGATTCCTGTGAGCATGAAAGAAGGGATTATTATCCATTGCACATGAGCGGGCTGTTCTCCTGATCTCGGCCATTCTAGCATTAGCACTTCTTGACTCGACTGTGGTTGTTTCAGGCACATTCAGGGATGAGGCTTTGGCAGATAAACTGTGCCTTTACTACCAATAAGTCGCCTCTGGGCTGTGCATATTGAGATAGAGCAGAGACGTACTTGAGACAGACAGAAGAGCGAGAAAAGATGAGAGATACGAGGTAGTTCCTGATGGATTGAGGAAGGGTGGATGTGGGAAGAAGGGGAAGTGGAAAATAGAAAAGTGGGAAAGCGGGAAAGTGTGAGAAGAGGGGAAAGAGTGCCAAATTTGCAGTCAGATTGCTCCCTCGCCCTCGTGCAACGTGTAATGGACTCGGATGCAAAGGAGAGAAGGAAATCAACAGCACTGAGAATTGTGCAATTAGCCAACGAACTCTAACAACAATCAGCATCATTCTGACTTTGAAGCGTTCAGCCATAATCCAACGGATGATAGCTTCGGGCCATTGCCTGCTCAGGCAGGCCCAAATACCAGTTATCCGAATGAACGGTTTCTCTCGTGCTAAGTTCATTTACTATTGCAATACTTTATCGATAGGATAAATCTAACTTGTCTCACGACGGTCTAGACCCAGCTCACGTTCCCTTAGTGGGTACACAATCCAACGCTTACTGAATTCTGCTTCAGTATGGCGAGCGCGTTATTGGCTGTAGATCTGGCGTTGGTCGCAGCGGTGGTGCTGGTGATATCGGCCAGGGTCGGTGAAGGAAGCTGAGACGATACTCTTCGCGAGGGAATTGCTTAAAATCGGAAGACCTATGTTTCTCCTGCGCGTATTACTTAAGACAGCGAGGTGCCGTGGTCAACATTTACGGGCGAACAATACCCCACACCCTAGCTTTGATCTCTTCATTGTTTATCGCTTTCGCTCCTGTTCTTTGGTTTTTCAAACCCATTGGGTGCTTTAGTTTGTGCTCTTGACTACCACTCTTAATTTGTGAACTTGTCATGGACAAAGACTACTCTGTATATTGTCGTTAGAAAGCACAATCCATGCGCAAAAAGACTGGCAATGACAAAAAGTCAAGATACCATTGCTAACTTCCAATCTGCATTACCTTCAGCTTTCAAGCAAGCGGAAAGACATCCGCCGAGTCGACCGGCTTTGCTGATTGCACAGCGGGAGAATCGACCGTGGCAGCGGTATCCATCATACTGTGGTTTGACGGCGCCTTGAGTTTATACGCTACGGACGCCATGGTCATTAGCTTTTTGCTCGCCTCGCGGAAGCCCAAAGGCGGAATGGGCTCGCCCACAGCGCCGCGTTGTTCTAATAGCCGCATGTTTATCCTGCTTAAGCCTTGCACGTTTTGGATAAAGGTATTTGACACGGTAAGTCTGTCATGCATCGAACTCCAATGCAGGCGCACCTGATAGCGGTCATCCTCTTCTATGACCTGCCACATGCGAACAGACTTATCCTCACAGCCGGTTGCGATATAGGTGCCGTTTAGAGTAGCACTCCAGGTGATGCTTCTGATTGGCCCATGGAAACCTTGAACAACTGCCAAACATTGACCCGAATTCACATCCCATAGCCGCACTGTGTTGTCGTGACTGCACGAGGCAATCTGCTGGCCGCTGGGCGAATACACCACGCTCGTAACCTCTCTGGTATGGCCGCTTAATATGGGGCCTGGTGCACCGGTTTGCGCATCCCACAGTCGCACCGTGCAGTCCATACTTCCCGAGGCGATCTGCTGGCCGCTGGGCGAATACACCACGCTGTCAACATAGGAGGTATGGCCGCTTAAGATGGGGCCTGGTGCACCGGTTTGCGCATCCCACAGTCGCACCGTCTCGTCCCAACTTCCCGAGGCGATCTGCTGGCCGCTGGGCGAATACACCACGCTGTCAACATAGGAGGTATGGCCGCTTAAGATGGGGCCTGGTGCACCGGTTTGCGCATCCCACAGTTGCACCGTGCTGTCGTTACTGCCTGAGGCGATCTGCTGGCCGCTGGGTGAATACACCACGCTCGTAACCTCTCTGGTATGGCCGTTTAAGATGGGACCGGGTGCACCGGTTTGCGCATCCCACAGTCGCACCGTGCTGTCGTTACTGCCTGAGGCGATCTGCTGGCTGCTGGGCGAATACACCACGCTCGTAACATTGGAGGTATGGCCGCTTAAGATGGGACCGGGTGTACCGGTTTGCGCATCCCACAGTCGCACCGTGCTGTCGTTACTGCCTGAGGCGATCTGCTGGCCGCTGGGCTGATACACCACGCTCATAACCTCTCCGGTATGGCCGCTTAAGATTGGACCGGGTGTACCGGTTTGCGCATCCCACAGTCGCACCGTCTTGTCCCAACTTCCCGAGGCGATCTGCTGGCCGCTGGGCGAATACACCACGCTCGTAACACCGTTGGTATGGCCGCTTAAGATGGGACCGGGTGCATCGGTTTGCGCATCCCACAGTCGCACCGTTTCGTCGCCACTTCCCGAGGCGATCTGGTGGCCGCTGGGCGAATACACCACGCTCATAACAGCGAAGGTATGGCCGATTAAGATGGGACCGGGTGCACCGGTTTGCGCATCCCACAGTCGCACCGTGTTGTCCCAACTTCCCGAGGCGATCTGCTGGCTGCTGGGCGAATACACCACGCTCGTAACCTCTCTGGTATGGCCGTTTAAGATGGGACCGGGTGCACCGGTTTGCGCATCCCACAGTCGCACCGTGCTGTCGTTACTGCCTGAGGCGATCTGCTGGCCGCTGGGTGAATACACCACGCTCGTAACCTCTCTGGTATGGCCGTTTAAGATGGGACCGGGTGCACCGGTTTGCGCATCCCACAGTCGCACCGTGCTGTCGTCACTTCCCGAGGCGATCTGCTGGCCGCTGGGTGAATACACCACGCTCGTAACATCGGAGGTATGGCCGCTTAAGATGGGACCGGGTGTACCGGTTTGCGCATCCCACAGTCGCACCGTGCTGTCGCTACTGCCTGAGGCGATCTGGTGGCCGCTGGGCGAATACACCACGCTCATAACCCAGTTGGTATGGCCGCTTAAGATCAGACCGGGTGCACCGGTTTGCGCATCCCACAGTCGCACCATTTCGTCCCGACTTCCCGAGGCGATCTGCTGGCCACTGGGCGAATACACCACGCTCCAAACTGAGTCGGTATGACCGTACAAGGTGTGGGCTTTTGTCCAAGTCGAAGTGTCATACACGCTGATCGTGCCGTCCTTGAGGCCTACCGCACAGAACTTCCCATCTGGCGAATACGCGCAGGAACTTACACTGCTTTCTTCTATGAGGTACGGCCATTCCCCAAACTGCACACCCGACATCTGTGCGTCGTTCAAATTGGCCTGACGCAGCCAAATATTGCGAAGCTTGACTTTTCTCAAATCTGCCCCTTGTAGCTGAGCAGAATCGAATTGGCCCCCACTCAGGTCCGCTCCTGGAATCCGGATGCCTTTCAGATCTGCACCCATAAACGGCATCCCCGCTCTGACCAATATCGTGATCGCATTGGCTGCCGCCTTGCGTGCCTCTTTGTCGGTTTTGGAGCATTCGATCGTGGCGAGCAGTTGCTGCTTGAAGAGAGGTTTCTGTTGGACACGCTCTGCCAAGAATTGCAGAATCGACGGCTCGCCCGCAAAGCTTCTTCGTGCCAGGGGCGAATCGAGCACGGCCTGTGCAGTGGATGCCACGGGTTCCTCTACAGTAGCCTGGTCTTCGAAGCTCATGACGGAATGGACGCTCCCTCGACGTGGCAGGGCTTGAGGCGAGGCCGCGCGACTCGCGTTCTCTCCATCTCGCGGCTCAAATACCGCACGGGCCAAGCAGTATTCCAACAGTGATTTATGGATAAACCGGTACTGATTGCCACTGCGCGTCAGAGGACATGCCTCACGCAAGAGCTGCTGCTTCTCGTTCTCTCGGCTAAAGAAATCTTCTTTCCATGTCCCTTGATCGCGAAAGGGCGAGTACTCGACCACCGGATTGCCCGCTTGCTTCTCGTACATCGCTACCGCTAACGCTTTCAGAAAGGCAACTCCGTTCTGTGCAAAACCATCGTCCGACAAGTTCTCAAACACCTTCTTCTCTTGGTAGCTCAAGTCCTTCTTCTCAACGAGCCGTTTCTTGCCTCGCTCCAACCATTGCTCCACAAACTGGTCATACAACGCGACTCGCGTGACCTGCACGGCCGAGAGGTCTTGTCCTGGATCCACCATGCGCGGCAGTACCTCCAAGGACAGCGTTAACATAAAGGGGTTCTTGACCAGGTCCTGCAGGCTGGGAATCAGATTCAGGGCCTTCAAGTAGTCCGTCACCTGCCAGAGCAGTCTGGTCGCGGACACATATTTCCTTATGTACTCTTGAATTTGATCCATGGAGAATGGTGCAATGACCGCCTCTTGAAACGCTGGTTCTGCTTGGTGATTGCCATCTGCTGGCTGGAACCGATCCCGATAATCAAGCCCAAGGTACTCGCTGCGGCAGCTAACGACCATCTGAGCCCTCCATCCTCCCTCCTGATTCAGTCGGTTGCTCGTGTACAGGTTGTGTGTCTGCTGGCTCTCGTCATATCCATCGCAAATCAAGATGAATCTGCGGTAGTCCTTCAGCTCTCGGATCTGGGGCTCGGTAAACTCTGCCTTCCGTAGATGTTTAGCAATCAGATCCTGTTCTGGCTTGTCGATTGCAGGCAAGCTGATAAAGAGCGGAATCCTGCCTTCCTTTTTCTTGTAGGCATCCCACAAGTCGCACTCGAGCTGCCGGTTAAAGGTCGACTTGCCTCCACCCGAATCGCCTAGCAGGAGCATCACCTTACGGTCACTGCTCAGGAAGGCTTCAACTTCTTTTGTCAAGTCGAACAAGTTGTCATCGGACGCTTGCAGGTTAGCCTTGGCTTGAGGAGGGATGTACACGACTTTGCCTCGTTCCTTCAATCGTTGCTTTCTCAGTCGTCTCAGGTCGGCTTCTACATCGGGCTTGTTCTGGACAAGATCAAGCAATGACGGGGACGCGACAGTTGGCAAGGCGACCTGCAGCGGATGTAGGCTTCGATTTTCCTCTCGGCAGTCCTGATAAAGAACCCTTTTCGTCTCATCGCCATTCGATTCCAGCTCTTGCAACAAAGATTCGACGACTACACCATGTATCGCATAGACCAGAATAGAATATAGCATAGCTATTAGTACCTGCTAGGCGGTGAACTCCATACCTCATAATAAGGCAAGAGCCTCTCACGTATCCGTTCATGTTCATCATACATACCTGGCATAGCTGAGCCAAATGTCGAAGCCAACTGCATAAGGATGTCAAGGATCCATTGCTTGACGAGAGCTTGCTGACCCCACTCTGCATCATTTCGGTACATCTCGCCCAGAAACGCAACAGCACCTTGGCGAGACTCTATGTCCCACAGTGGATTGGCCGCAAGGTCCCCCAGGCGCTGGCATACTCCTAGTTGAAATGCTAGATCACGCCGGCAAGGCGCTTCGCAGACCAGGGTCTTGAACTTGGCAAGTTGACCGTCCCGCAGCAGTGTGTCTGCTCCGCGCAGAGCTGTGTACCAGGCACGTTTCTGGTTGAAGCTGAGACCGACTTTGAGAGATTCCAGCAGTCCTTGTCCACTCTCGACCAGTGCGCTCACGCCTTCGTAACCGATTTTCGCTACCTGGATCACCTCTCCCAGTCCCTCCTGAAGATGACTGAGTCCTGTGATGAAGCCGTTGACGTCCAGACCTTTTACAGCACTAACTAGTCCCGAGACGCCCTTCAACACAATTCCAGTGCGCCGCATTGTTGCTTGCCATGGTGATTCGTTGTCTGGGACACACTGCAGTGCTTGGAAGGCGTAGGCAGCCTGGTACACCAAGTAAGGGTCACTGCTGCCTTGTAGTCCATTCAAATAGGCAGAGAGTGGCTCGTGCAGCTCTACACGCTTTAAGCCTGAGACCTTGGTATCGGCCATGGCATCCAGGACTTTGGACACTGCGAGCGTGAGACGGCCGATGTGATCTGAAGACTGAGTGTGAGTATCCTGTAAGCGGGTGTTGAGGCTGTTCAGGATCCTGGCTAGGTCATCCGAGTCGAGGTAGCCCTCGGGAGCACTTTGGACCAACTGCGCCAGTCCTTCGAGGGACTGCACATCCAGCAGACTGGACTTGTCAACGCCATCGACAAACAGCATGAGTAGAGAGTGGAAATATTCCTTTTCAAGGACTGGGGCCAGGCACACGACTTCTGCGACGGCATTGGCATCCCTGAGCTCATCACGAGTGAATGCCCGGATCACATCTGTCGCCAGCGTCCTGAGCCTCTCCTTCTCCTCTGCATTCTTCTCTATGGATTTCACCCAATTTCCTGCTGCTGGCTCAAAGACCTCTTCGGGCGACGGCGTCACTTGCAGAAGACCAAGGCAGTAAGCGAGCTGGGAAGTATCGCAGAGTCGCTCATCTGCCTCTGGCAACGCGATCTTGACGGTGGGCAGACGCATGTCATCGGGAAAGATATCCTTAGAGATCCGTGCCATGTCGCGGCGGGCGCTGTCGGTGACAGATGAAACTGCAGGACCCGGATGTTTTGTAGGACGCACATGGCTGTTGAAGTCAGAGGGCCAGTCAACAAAATTGAGAGATGCATTAGATGCGACGTATGATCTAGCCGGGCTAATGCGAACCAGCAGAGCGCAGGTATTCTGTCACTTACCCCCATTTTTCTGCTCTCTTGTAGCTGGCCTGCGCCATTTCACTATATCCTAAGCTATCCAACAAGTTGCCGTGCTCGAGGCAGGCGCCAGCGAATCCATCGCGCAGGGCTTGATCCTCGACGGACAAGGGAGTTGTAAGAATCTTTTTCGCAGCTCTTTTCATCCGGGATAACGCAGTCTCCGCATCGTCGCACAACGCTAATGCAAGTTCCCGATCCTTGGTTTTACGCGCATTCTCCATGTGAAAGTTGGCGAGTTCCAACTCCTTTTGTGGCAAGAGAGCCTTTCGCGGCGATGAAAAAACTCTGTCAAACATGTTGCTTCTCTGAGGGGCATGGGTTCTCCTGTTATCATAGAGCAGATGGCGACGATATTAGTGACCTTGTGAGTCGATTAATCTACTTGTGTGAGTACCAGTATACGTACTTGTACTTGACAGGCACTTCAGTAACACAATGGGGACCAACAAGTCGCAGTGGGCTGGTATACTACAGACGCAGTGGGAGCAGAATGAACTATGGTAAATATAACCATTGATATACATAGCAGCTGCATGAACTAGATCATATGTGGCTGCTCTGCCAAGTGATGGCGCCCCCTACCTCGGAAGTGTTTATTCGACTCTTTGTTTCCTTTGGTTAGATGCAGAGGTAGTCCTGAATAATTTGTCCTCTCCGTGCCTCCTTCCTAGCAGCGATATATACCAACTGCCCAATTGTGAAGACATGAAGAATTAAATAACCTTAAAACATGCCTATAGGCAGGCTACTATCGACTGACAAGAAACACTGCCTCACCTCAACAGGAATCTGTTTCTCGAGTTTCTTTCACCAGCTGAGGAAATGGTCCGCCCCTATGAAACGTTTTCTATCCCAATTCTTTATTGAAGACGGTCTGCACACGAACAAGGCGGGTCGAGTGAAGGGATATTCGCTTCCCTGTCACTTCTAGCAGAGATTCCTGTGAGCATGAAAGAAGGGATTATTATCCATTGCACATGAATAGGCTGTTCTCCTGATCTCGGCCATTCTAGCATTAGCACTCCTTGACTCGACTGTGGTTGTTCAGGCACATTCAGGGGTGGGGCTTTGGCAGATAAATCGTGTCTTCGTTACCAATGAGTCACCGCTGGGCTGTGCTTATTGAGATGGAGCAGAGACGCACTTGAGACAGACAGAAGAGCGAGAAAAGATGAAAGAGATACGAGACAGTTCCTGATGGATCAAGGAAGGGTGGATTAAGGAAGGGTGGATGTGGGGAGAAGGGAAAGTGGGAAAGTGGAAAGGTGGGAAAGTGGGAAAGGTAGGAAAGTGGGAAAATGTGAGAAGAGGGGGAAAGAGTGCCAAACTTGCAGTCAGATTGCTCCCTCGCCCTCGTGTAACGTATAATGGGCTCTCGGATGCTTAGGAATGAAAGAAAACAACAGTCGTTCCACTTCATGCCAATGAGATCGAAACTGGCACGACCACAATGGGTCCCTTTGGTTCTGGAGGCAGTGGGGGTGTGTGCACAGAATTAGATACCACACACTTGGGTGCCTTTGATAAATATCCTTCCACCCTAAACATACGTTACAGAACTATCTACTTGACTCCCTGGTTTCCGTCGTCCAGTAAATGTTGCTACGTCTGGCTCTCTGATCCTTCGTCCCGCGGACTCTTCCATCGGCACATGTGGCGGTTTCTTTGGCGGGAACCGGTTTCCGAAAACGACGGGGATATGGATGCGACAGGTTTGGACCAGGGCTGCTCTTCGGGCTTCTTTTGTGTTTATTTTTTTCTGTGTATGTTGGTGTTGGTGTGTTGCACTTGCGGGGTCCCCGTTCGAAGAGGATCGAGGTTCTAGGGGAGGATGGTGAGGGGCTGGTATGGAAGGCTAGCAATTGCGGGGGGTCTACAAAGTTGTCCTCGTGCAAAGAAAGATTCGAGATGTTTCAAGTGAGATAGTTGGCAGGTGCCTGGACGCACTGTCCTTTTTAGGAGGGGGAATGTCGCACAAGAGCCCTTTTTGCTTCCTTGGGCATGAGTGCTGTGGTGAAAATGCAGTGCAAAAATAGGGGGACCAATTGTCGCTCCTTATCGGGTTCTTCTAACCTTTGGTTTATTTTATCTCTTTGCAAAATATCCAAAGCAATCGAGGCGTTTCTATAATAGCTGTTTTAAGTACTTGAATGTAAGGGGGATGAGTGTCTACGACCACGTCTCGCCATCGAATCCAGTAAATCCCTAGACATATACATGTATACATATGAAAAGAAAGAAAGAAATATCGCAATAGACAGCAAACATTAGTTAACTGACTTTTTTTTTTCATGCATCAAATAGACTGGCTGCCTGCCTCCCTTCGAGGTCCTTGCCAACAAAAGAATGATTTCACTTACAGTGAGTAAAAAGATCGGGAAGAAGGGCTTCTTTTCGATCTGTGAGCACCAGTTCCAGGCAGATGTCAATCTTCCGTCAATACAGGATCCTAGCACGCGAGAAGAAAGAAAGAAACAAAAAAAAATTAAAACAAAGGTACACAGATCGTCGATGTAGACTCGGTCTTGCGTCCATGCTCCCTACTCGGCGCTGCAAAAAAAGCACATCCTCAAAACATACCAGCAGAGAAAAAGTTGTCGGCACCAGATCCATCAAAGGCCATGCGGAAAAAGTCGCAGACAATCGTCTTCTTCAAATTCGTCACCCCTCCAAAGCTGTCGCGGATATAGGCATGAATACCCTCGTCCTTGGCGATACTGTCAATCTTCTCCAGTGTCAGAATGATCGGGTTCAATATCCTCGCCACCTGGTTGTACTTGTCAATGAACATGAACGCATTCGGGACGTTACTGTCCCCCAGATGGATCACAGAGCTGCCCACCCAGTATCCTGCCTTCTGCTGTGCCTTGTGCAGAATCGTATGCATCGCCTTCGACACCGCAGGGCAGTGCTGGAGACGCTGCAACCCCTGACCAGTGTCGCGGAGTCGGTAGTCGTTATTCAGCATGTCGTCGTCAGAGAGCATCCAGAGATAGAACATCTCATGGGCGATCTCGCGCCAGAGGTTGAGGGTTTGGTTGATGTACCAGTACTGTGTCTCGTGGTTGTGGGTCAATCGAGCGCCTTGACGGCCGGACTGAATCGCGAGCGAGAAACCTTCCTCGACCGTTGTTGGCTGGAAGTATGTTGTCAGATATTTGAGCATCTTGTCGCAAGGATCACTACACGTGGAGATGTCGATGTAAATTAGTTCAATGGAGCCACTACAAAAGCCAGGGGATACAAGACGCCTCACAAAAAAGTCGACGCCGCAACTCGTGTACTTACCGGTTCGTCCTCAAGAAGCTGTGATTGTCACCGATAGAGTACAGGCAGACCTTGATCTCGTCCGGCGTCAGGTTCTCGTTGGCGTATTTCCGACTAAGTGCTTCGATAGCCCGCTCCTTGCTCCGGATCTCCTGCTGGATTTGTTGACGGGATTTGCCGTCGGCGACAATTTCTTTTGTGGCATCCGCAACGAGATCGTTCCTCAGTATCTCCAATCCATCACGGCTCTTCAGAAAAGAGTATACGGTCTTGATCGGAATCACACAGCTGAAGCCCAATGTCGACTCGATTTCGTCCATGGTCGAGTCCATCAGCAGGTACATGAGCTTTCCGTAGGCGCTTCTCATCTTTTCGGGGTTCATGATTTTGTGGCGACGACCAATCTCAAAAATGATCTGGAAGAACTCCTCGTTATCCTCAAAGGACTTTTCCGCAAATAACTCTTGTCCACGGCGGTAGTCGTTGGCCACTAAAATCGGCACAAAAGGAGCGAACAAACTGGTGAATGAATTTGGTTTTTCCTCCTGCTGGTTTTCCTTTTTTTTTCTCGTCTCTGTTAATCCGTTGCAGTATCCTGTTGGTACACACCTACAAGTCCTGAAATGATGGCGCATAGATCCTTGATCTGATGGATGATCCGTTTGGATTTGCTGGTGTAGGAGAGAATATCGACCTTGTCCGTATACTCGCTCACATTCAGTGCAGCCTCAAGACTATTTTAGTCCATAAAGTTAGAGCGTACAGGGCGTCATTAGCGAAATTACACAAGAGAAGGGGGGGGGAAGTGGAGAACAAGATAGAAAAAATAGTCCAAGCATTTCTTTCGTGATCAACCGACAAAACTCACAGCCGCAAGAGCTTTCGCTCCGTCAGATCCAAACGCATGGGGATATACTTTGATCGGTCAATGACCCAATCCCCAAAGGTCGAGGATCCGCTCGAGACGATCACCTTGGACTCGGGAAGATCCTTCAAGGTCTCGTCACTCAAGGAACTGCCCTTCGAGGTCGAGGTCGAGGCTGAAATCCCGTTGGTGGCGGTGGCGGGGGCGAGCGTCTGTGGTTTTCCATTGGGCTTGAAGATCTCCTTTTTGAGGTGGCGAGCACGGTTTCCGGTACGGTGGAGCATCGCTATGGGTGAGGGGGAGGGAGGGGTTGAGGGGGTTTCAGTCGAGAAAAGTGATGGAGCAACATGAGGAGATCAGTGTCAAGGGCGAGCTTCTTTTTTTTGATGAGCTGCAGTTTGCTGCAGATGGATGGATGGTTTGTTCGAAACAAACTCTGGAATGGAACATACCATAGCAGACCTCACAAAAGTCCTCCGCACACTGTTCGCACGAATAGAACGATTCCTGGTCCTTGCATTCGACACAGAAGCCCTCGGCGGTGGCCTGGGCAGCAGCCAGGTCCTCATCGTCCATGTGGGCGTCATTGTCGCTCTCGGACTTTGGGTGCTTGTCGCCGCCGTTGCTGTTCGAATTGTCGTTCTCGCTCTCGCTCTCGCTGTGGTCCTCTCGCTGGAGGATCTCCTCGAGTCGATGCTTCCTGTCAGCGTCGTTGCCCCACATATCCGACGAATGCGTATGTTCGTAGAAGAGGGAGGGAGCAGGGGAGAAGGGGGAAGGAGGAGGTGGTGGTGGGGAAGGACAGAAAAGGGAGGAAGAAAAAAAAGTGACCCAGTCCAATATGAGCATTGAGTGGCCCTTAAGTCCATTTGTGGAATGGACGTCCCACCAACGCGTCCTTTTGCCTTGGATGCCTATACAAACCTAGGGCTGGTATCTGTCTACATGGTGCTGTGAGCAATAAAAAGCACACGCAAAACACTTTACTGCCCCTCTACAGCTCAAAATATAAAAAAAAAATGTGAAGAATACTCTCGCATTTTTTTTTTTTTTTTTTTTTGCTACCATATTTACCACCATCACCCCCACCTCGAGCCTCCTACACAACCCAGCCTCTATTCAGTCTGTCCAACCGATCAGCCAACTGGCGAAGATACAGGCTCCCCGGAAGTACTTCCGCGCCCAAATGTTCCTTCCACCCATGTGCATCCCAGGCCTGTCGATCCTTCGCCTCCAGATCCTCGCTCCCGATCACAAAGTTCTGAGTTCCCCTCGGTCGATGGGTCAGGATCCCCTCCCGCGCACGCGAGTTCCACACCACGGAATTTGCACCAGAGTACCCTTGGCCCGTCCCCATATCCCCCCGGTTCACGATCTGGATCGAGCCGTCCGTCACGACCTGGTCGACGAGGATCCCGGTACAGAACTTCATATGCGGACCGATTTCTCCGGGGGCGAAATCAGAAGGCGTGGGGTGGTAGGGTCTTCCAATGTTAATGGCCTGGAATCGGTGAAAGACATTGGGGCCCATGACGTGATTGATATCCGCAAGGAAGTGGAACGAGCCCTGGGAGAGCGAGTTTTTGACGAGGATCAGTTGTCCGGAGAGCTGGAAGGCCGATTGACCGGAGAGCATCTCGTCTGGGTAGGAGTGGACGATAGATTCGAACGTGATGTGGTGGGCGTCCGTACCAACAGAGACAAAGTTGTGGAAGAAGGCCGAGGTGAGATGGGAGACGTAGACGTGACAGGCTCGATCGAGGCGGAGGGCGTAATTCGCAAAGATCTCGTACGAGAACCGGTAGTCTTTACTCCCCCGCCCCTCGCGGTCGAGCATATCCTGAGTCCGGCGCCAAATGTTTTTGGGAAAGACTATGTCGAGATATTGGATCCCTAGGGCACGGATCTTGTGGTCACGGTACTGTGTGATGAACCCACCGCCGTATTGTCGCCAGATCGAGATCGGCAAGGGTGCGTCGAGTTGGATGATCCCGGTTTGGGCGTTGAGCGAACGGATGGTGCGGTACATCCGTGCGTGCATCTTCTTCCAGGGTTTGACGCCCTTCTTGCGGGACTTGAAGTCGTCCATGCCGATGTCTTTGATCCAGCGGTCGTTACCGACCCGGCTCACGATGATCTGGTCGCCTACTTTTAAAGAAGTGTCTTGAAAGTATGTCGGATCGAGTTTGAGATGAAACGAGCCGACCGGCGTGTAGTCTGAGACGATGGGGATCTTGGTACCAGGTAACATATCATCCGCTTTCCCCCTAGGATGATCCATACGTTATCAAAAGACGAACATATTAATACAGAGTTTCCACTGCTTCAGTTTTCAATCTTTTGAAGGAGAGATACACCTGGAGGCTTACTCGACTTCGATCGCGTAGCGCGGTCCGGTGGGTTTCCACTGACAGACGATCCTGGTGCCACCTGCAGGGTTTCCACGGAACAAGATCCCGCCATGATGGATTTTGAGCGGTTTCGAGATCCTGTACACTCCCTTTTGAAGCACGAGCGCACCTCTCGGTACCACATCGTGTGCTGCAAGCCGACCTTCCGCAAGGACGGAGACGCGGTCGAGTGCACTCTGGATCCTTTTCGTATCGTCTCCCTGATCAGTATCGCTATCAGCTCCGGGTCGTGGCCAGAGTTGCTCGATGGCGGGAACATCGGCTGTTGTATCTGGTAGGTCCGTGTTTCCTTCGTTCCAGCCGACCATGCTAAAGTCCATGATGCGATCACCTTGCCGGTTGTAAGCCAGGTAGCCGAGTGGTGAATCTGGGTTTCCGGGCTTGATGGGTTGGACGATCTTGCTGTAGGATTCGTTGGAGTGGACATTTGGGAAGATGATGCCGTCTTCGTCGCGGTCTTGGTCCATGTCCTGGTTTGAGGCCATGGGATGGATGCGTTGCATCTGGAATCCTGGGTGGAAATGCTTCGGGTTTAGTCCGCCTAGAGTTAGTATGAAAAAAAAAAATGGTTAGCGATAGACATGTATCGCGCGTTGACCGTAGTGAAAATGCTCATTGTCCATACCATGTTTCATCTCCCACTCGAGATCGTGAAAGATCTCCTCGGGCGACTCTGACTGCATGCGGTGATGGTCTTTGGTTTGGCCAAAGACGTTCGTACCCATCTCCTTACCTCTACCAACACCTCCCTCACCGCTATATGCATTCTCGTCAGCTTCATCCTTAGATCTGCTCCCTGTGTCGTCCTCTGCACCATGCTGAGGACGACGATACTCCATCTTCTTCCTCTCCTTCCTAGCCCACTGCTGGACCCTATCCTGTTCGTCCAGCCAATCCACCTCTGCTTCATGGCCTAACAGATCAATCTCATCCGGCCTCGACCACATATCCTCCTTCCAATTCTCCGCATTTACTTTCATTCTTTCGGTGGTATCTGGAAGACTACTCGATGGGCCTCCATCGTCTGTATTCTCCATATATTCCTGTGTGCCCACCGGACCTCTCTGCGGTCCCCCCTCAGCATCCCAAACAGCCGGATCCACCACCTCACTAATATTCTCACCCACATTCGGATCCAAATCCGTCGCCTGTACGCCAAACTCCCCTACCTCTTCCGCTTTCAAAGTCCTGCCTGTTTGCGATAACGAAGAAGACGCTCTGCTTACGCGGTTTTTTGAGCTCTCCTTGAAGGGAGCTGGATCCGCAGGAGTGATCTTGATTCGAATGAGGTCCCTGTCCACAACATCAGTAGCACCATCGTCCATATCCATCTGTGCCACCCAGGACTCCTCTTCCTCTTGCTTTGTATACCCTCGCTGCTTGTTTGGCTTCCGCAGGGGATCGTTTCGATGGTGCTGACCCTTCTTTTTTGAAGGACGTCCCGCAGCAATGACTTGCACGCCATCCTCGTTCACCCTTTTCTTTTCCTCACCACCTTTGTCCTTATTCGTCCTAGCCCTGTACTGAAACTCGTCTCCCCAGGGTGAATACGGATATTCGAGTGCTGTATAATCCTCCTCCTCCTGCGACAACCCGCCCCCCTCCTCGTTCTCAGGCATCCCCTCCCACGGCAGCGGCTCCTTTGAATACCTTATCAGGTTCTGAGGAGCCATTCCGGGTTTCATCATCTGGATATCCGTAGGTGTGAGCTCGACATAGAAGGATCCCCGACGCTGCACACGTTCGATCTCGAGTCGCCGGATGTATACATGTTCTTTTTGTCTCTGCAGTTCAGGAACCGTGGCTGAGAGAGGTGGGACACCTGCGGCAACAGGGATCGTGAGCTGCTCTGAGAGGGGGACGAGTGGATCGAATGGGACGATGTCAGCAGGAGAGAGCTGTGCGGGCGTATTATTGGGATTCAGGGGAGGGTCTTTGGCGGAGATGACGGTCCCGAGGAGGAGGAGGGAGATGACCCAGAGAAGGGCTGTGGGAGAGACATATCTGTTACGGTTCTTGTCTGGACCTGGACCTAGACCTGGGGAGGGAGGGGGATGTCTGGATAGGCTGTTGTTGTGCGCGTAGATCTGGGCTCGATAACGAGGAATCGGAGACATCATGGGTCTCACGGTCGTCGCTATTGTTGTTGTTGTAGTTGCTGTCGCTGTTGTTGGTGGTGCTGTTGTCGAGATACGGGCGGCGAATGGAATTTTGATCGACGCTCCGACTCCCTCGGGCATTCCTAGGTCCGCTGCAGTCGGGGATGGAGCGGTGGAGAGTGTGGGGTAGCGGTTGTGGTCTGCGACGGAGAATATCTGAGACCCCACGTGCGGCTGCTGTGTGGGCGGAGAGTGTGTTGGATGGCTGGTGGGATTTGTTGTGGGTGTGGACGATGTCGCGTTTGTCAGCAGAACACAAAATGGACGGCACATCGGAGCTCAAAAGCCCCTTCCCCGCGGCAGATTAGATGGACTCAACTCCGAAGCAAACGAAAAAAAAAAAAAAAGACAACTGGGGTCAGAAAAAAGAAGACAGAAAAAAAAAGGATGCAGTTGAGGGAGTGCGTGCAGTGGAAGTGCGCACAGGCACAGCAATGGGTGGTGTCGTGAGTGTGGGTTGCGAGTTCACGGAATCAAAAAAGAACGGCGACGACGAGAATCCCCACAATAGCCAGCAGATGGGAAAAAAATGTTTGTATTGCAGAATCAGTAAAGAAAAGATAAACCGGACTTTTAACCCGATCTGCAACCAGGGCGCTGATTGGTGGGAGATAATAGGCGCTATGACGCAGCTAGTAACTCTCTTTTGCGTTCTTTTTTACTCACTGCCAAGCTGAGTGTGCCGAGCGAATCTCCGAAAAGTGAAACGGGGAACGGTGTCGATGGGGGAGAGAATGGGGAAGACGAGAGAAAGAAAGAAAAAAAGAGAAAGGGCTGGGGTGATGGTAAGATGGTGAGAATGTACACTGCGGGGGGGTTTTTTTAGCATCATAATATCGCCCCTTTCAAGCTGGGCAGAAATGAGATCGAGTGGCATGGGAATGCGTATAGGCGGCTGCGAGCAATTGGGCAGGAGGGGAGTGCCAGAGGCTGCTTTATTCGTACGATAGATGGGATAATACAGATCAACGGACTCTTCTAGATAAAATGCAGGTAGGTATGTCTCATGCAACACGTTTAATGTGAGAGGAGAGGAGTCATGTTCTGTTGCTATGTTACTATGCTACTATGTAAAAAGGATGGCGATCAGCCAAATGAGAAGTGAAGATGAAGATGAAGATGTAAAAGTGTTGTCTAGGGATCGCGCAAGGCTTGTCTGTATCTATGTTGATTCCTCAGATGCGGCGGCGGCGGCAGCGTCCTTCTCATCCTTCTTGTTCTCGATATCTTCCTCGTCCAAGACGGCGCCCTCACCCTTGGTGAAGACTTGTACGTGGGAGATCGAGGGCACGCTCCGCAGCTCGGGTGGGTTGGTGAAGAACAAGAAGTCCCGACCGGGCAGACGTTCCTGGAGGAAGGCCCGGATCCAGGCCTCGTCCGTCAATGGCTGGCGCGACCAGATCAACCAATGCTCGATACCAGGCTTGACAGAGTATGGGAATTCGTTCTTCTTCAGGGCAATCTCGAGTGGATCTACAGGTCCAGTGGGGGATGAGGGTGGGGACAGGGATGCGGACGAGGTTGAGGATTCGTTACCGTCCGAGGAGGCATCGTCCTTCTCCGCAGGGGGCCAGTGGAGGATTCGCTGGCGGATATATTCATCGGGAGAGCCGTACTTCTTGGTGCGACGCTTGATGGCCTTCTGGTAGGCCTCCTGGACAGCTTCCGATCGGCCCATGGGACCCAGATCCTTCTCGGCGACCATTTTTGAGAGTTCGGCCCAGGAGAACTGGTGGTTTGTTGGTTTTTTGAAGACGAGGGGTGTTTTTGATGGAGATGAGGGGGATGAGGCGGAGGAGGGTTTTGGTGCGGTGGGCGTGCTGAGCTTGGCCATGGAAGTGTCGAGGGTGCCTCTGAGGGCGGCGCCCTTTTTCCTTGACGCGTAGAGCTGGTGCCGCTCATGCAGGGCGAGGATGTCTGCAGACAGGGGGCTGAAGTGCTCGGTTACGGCCATGATGCTATGTTACTGAGAGTAAGAAATGGAGTGGAGTGGAGTGGAATGGGATGGGATGCAATGCAATGCGATATTATTTATGCAGGAGATAAAGTGTGATGTGCAGGATATATATACAGATAAAAGAGAGAGAGAGTGTGTGTGTATGGAGAGAGAGAGAGAGAGTGGAGGGAGGAGGGTCGTTATGGAGGGAGATTATAATATACAAAAGAAATAGAATGAAAAAAGAAAAAGGGAAGGCGGGGGGAAGGCGCGCTCTCTTTTATACGGTGGCTGACTGTGCGAAGACACATTCCATTACAGACATCGCAGAGCGGAGTCGGACAAAGGCAAAGGGGAAGAAGCAGAGAAAAGAAAAGAAAAGCGCCCTTCCAACTATGACACAATGATTGGTTGGCTGCTTCTCGGTCCTGGATGCTGTGGGGGAGGGGAGAGGAGGAACTGGTCATGTGATGGGCATCGTCATAGCGTCCGATTCGCCCGACGCTATCCCCACGCCGGCAACTGCTGTCTGTCTGTCTGTCTCTCCTCTCTGTTTCTGTCTCTGTCTCTGTCTCTGTCTCTGTCTCTGTCTCTGTTTCTGTCGCTGTCTCTCGGGTTCTTCTTTCCCCAACAATCAAGCAATCAAGCAATCAAGCGACTAAGCGATCCAACAACCCAAACAACCAGGACAAACGCATAACACCGTAACCCAGGGGAAAGAAAGAAGTGGAGGGGGGGGATGGTGGTGTGTGCGTGGGTCGTGGCAGGGTGCGAGGGATTTTATTGGCAGACTAGGAAGCGGACCAATGCGCGGGTGCAGCCGCAGGGCGTGTGGGCGGTGTGGGCGGTGTGGATCGACTGCGAGAGTGCTCACCCTTCATGGCTAGCTGGCCGTAGTCTGCTTTCCTTGTGTCCTAATAATAGCAGTCATGATGGATGGATAGATGGATATATCTGTCTGGAGAGAGGAATACAGAGCACAGCCGGGGCCTTGCTTCCTGGTGAGAGCAGTCGAAGGGACAACGGCCAGGAAGCAAATGAGCCCCTCCCTGGCTGAGCAGGCAAAGGCGGCAGGAGGAGGAGAGAAAGAGAGAAAGAGAGTAAGAGAGTGAGAGTAAGAGAGTAAGAGAGTAAGAGAGAGTAAGAGAGTAAGAGCGAGAGAGTGAGAGTGAGAGTGAGCGGGTAGGCGAGCTTAGCGGGCGGAGGGAGGTGCATCCATCCACCGGCAGAGGCAGACTGCGCTGTGGGACCTGAGGGCGAGAGGGGATTGGCGGAAGGGAGGATCATCCGGCCACAAATACCACAAACAGACAGAGCCTTTTTCTTTTTTCTTTTTTTTCTTTCTCTTCTCTCTTCCTTCTCGTCTTTCCTTTCTCGCCCTCTTTTCTTCCCTTCTCTTCTCCTCTCCTCTTCTCCTCTCTCCCTTCCTTCTCTCCCTTCCCTCTCTCCCCTCTCTTCTCCTTCCCTCTCTTCTCTTCCTCCGATTCCTCCCATCAGACTGTCCTGATCCCACACACACACCCACCCATTCATATTCTGCACCCGCTGTATATACCTCTTCCTCCTCTCCCATACAGATCACACCTTCCTCACCGATCCTCTCCTCATCACTCCCCCGCCTTTTCTTTTCTTTTCTTCTCATCCTTTTCCTTCACTCCCCACTCCTCCCCACACAGCCCACTCTCCAATGTCCGATCTCAAAAAGAGAACCCGCTCAAACTCCATCCGCAAGGGCGTCCAGGCTGTCCAGGCCGTGGCCGGAAAGGCCGCCGCCATGCTCCCCGTCGACCTCGAGGGCATCGACGCCGCCATCCTCGACAAGCTCGACACCCTCCTCGTCAAAATCGAAAACAAGCTGCGCTCCATCGAGGCCCCCTCGCTCGAAAAAGTCGACGCCACCCTGCGCCAGCTCGAGGAGACCTATGCCACCCTCGAAATGCCCTCCATCGACGACAAGGTCCGCACTACCCTCAGGATCATGGAGGACACCTACCAGCATGCCCTCCAGGCCAAATCAACCCTCAAGGACAAGCTCAGCACCGCCGTCATGATCCTCGAGGAAAAGTACGTCGAGCTCGAGCAGACCTCCTTTGAGCGCATGGACGACGCCATCGGCATCTTTGAAAAAGTCGACAGTCGGGCCATCATCGACTACACCATCGACACCATCGGTGCTCATCGCAGGGCCGCTCTCGAGGGCGCCAAGCGGCTGTTGCGGTTCGAGGAGCTTCCGGAACAGTGGCAGGAGAACAAATACATCCTTTCTGGATACCGTTTCCTCTCCTCAAAGACACAGTGCTTCAAGTCCATCTTTTACGTCCACAACGAATCCGGCAACATCTGGACCCATCTGCTCGGATTCTTTTACTTCTTGGCTGTCGGCATCTACTTCTTCTCAGGATCGAACCCATACTTCTCCACCCCTACCTCGACCCCGGTCCGGAACCTGCCCTACATGCCTGCAGATGGATACGACAAGCTAGTCTTCTTGGTCTTCTTCTTGGCAGTGTACAAGTGTCTGTTGATGTCGTCGCTCTGGCACACCTTTGCCCAGATCGCACATGAGGGAACAATGAAGTGCATGGCCTGTCTGGACTATGTCGGCATCTCGGTCTTGATTGCAGCAAGCGTCGTCGTCACAGAATACTATGGCTTTTACTGTGAATCCGTCTTCCGCAACTCGTATATCTCTGCCACAGCCCTGTTTGGCGTTGCTGGAGTTGTCATCCCTTGGCTGTCTTGGTTTGATCAAAAAGGTAACAATTTTTTTTTCTTTCATTCTTTGGGCTCTCCTGGAACCTTCCGCCACGGATTCAGAGACCCCGCAGAAACCGGAAACAGACTACTCCGACTGCGAAAAAACATTTATCCGTCTATGGCTACACTCAAAATTAGGCTCGTGAAAACTAACAGCTTTATCTATCACCTTCAATTCAATAGAGACACGCTGGCTTCGTATCACCTTTTTCATCTCTATGGCTGCCTCCGCATTGCTCCCAGTGTTCCATCTGATGCTGATCCAGGGTGCTGGTCCAACTCTGGAATGGATCTTCCCTCTGCTCAAATCGATGGGATCGTATCTCTTGGGTGTCTTCCTCTATGCGAACCAATACCCCGAGAAACTGTTCCCAGGACGCTTCGATCACCTCGGATCATCCCATCAGCTCTGGCACCTTTGTGTGCTCGGTGGTGTGTACTTCCACTTCACAGCCGCATTGTCGTTCTGGGAACGGCGATACGAGTTTGGATGCCCCTCTGGATTCGAGGGCATTGCGCCAGTTGGCGGACTGATCGCCATCTAAGGAAATCCTTCCTTTTGCATTGCCCACCACTTGCATTCTTTCATTTCAAAACAAATAAACACACATACCTCATTCTTTTGCATATTACATTCTATATGAGAGATGAACATTCTCTTGAGAGGTGATTCTAGTCTATGGTATCATGACGCATATTGGCGTGTTTATGGTTTTCTGCAAAAGAGTCCAGCAGCTTTGAGATGACTCTAAAAGGAGACAAAAAAAAAAAGAAACGGATGACCTCTTTTTTACTAAACATGTTGTCATGACTATACTAGTCCATCGTTATTTTTATTCATCCTCATCATCACTAGCACTCAGCATCATCACTATCATCATCATCATCAGCGTCACGATCGTCCGTGCACTCACTGCATGGACCGTGCGCATAAACGTACATACATCATGTAGCAATATCTGTCCAACTGACCCTGTTCCTTTCCTGCCTGTACAACAAAAACACCATGTCTTTGAATAAATAAATACAGAAATGTGATTGGACCAAATTAGTGTAGGATCATGACTCTTTCAACTATAGGACTGACACCGAGCGGTAGTAGATTCAGAAAAAGGGGAAGAGAGGGGGAAGGGCTCGACCTTTGAAACACGAGAAGCGAATTAGTGACCATATTTCTACGGAGACTATGTGTCACGGATCGGGGACCGGTGGCATGCAAGCTCGCAGTATGAAAACTCGTGTACACACTCGCCTCCATAAAATATAAAAAGAAGCTGTGATGTCCGCAGAGCATGTTTTTATTCACAAAGTCAAGAGTCGCAAGGGTTGTAAATATCGATTTCGATATGGGGTGCTTTCTCTGCAAGTTTTCTAAGCAGCGTGATCGTACTTGGACAAATGACTAGGTCTGTGTGATAAAGATGCAGCTTCAACCTTCTCACAGGATTTGTACCCTGAGGTATCAGCTCAATCAGAGTCGTGAGCTGCTCTTGGGAAAAGTTGCTGTTGCTGAGATTAAGGGTCTCTAAGGTTGAGAGATCGAGAGCTGCTATGATTCTCTTCCAATCCTCCGGCTCAAATTCTAGCCCCTTCAAGTAGACATCCATCAGAGGCATCCACATCTCCGCGATCTCCAGCAATGGGGGGAAATATGTATCCTGAAATAGCTCCTCGACGTTATCTAGAGTCATCGGGCTTGGTTGAGTAGCAAACCATTGAGCATAGGGCATTAGAGCACTGACCCTTGACCAAGGTGAAACCATGCTAACGATCCATTGGACAAACGGATGAGGAACCTTGAACGGCTTGGGACACGACAGACAAAATCCTCTCAGGATCGGCAAATCGCACCTTGCCGGACAAAGCTCTGCAGCTTTGGGTATCCATTCATGGGCCGAGTCACCCTCTAGACTTAGGGCAGTCAACCTCTTGCTTTGTCCTCTAAGCAGCCGCGCCAGTTTATTCTGTTGGTTGAGTTCCTGCAGAGCGCTGATATCGACTTTAAGCTCCTGTAGGTCCTTCGACCGCTCCAGCACCCGCTCGACGCAATCCATGCCAATATCCGTCAGATCATACGGATCCAATCTCAGGGACATTATATGTGATCCAGCCTCTCCTATGATACTGTCGAAGATGATGGCGATATTATCCCCTGTGTTCTCTCAGATGTCGACTTTTCTCAGGTACGATCGATAATGGCGGATCAGGTTAAAAACGGAGTGCGGCATGCTTTTTATGCTTTTATACGTAAGTGAGGCTTCAGCAGATGTGTCGTACGAGGTCGAGTCGCTGTGAAAACTAAAGCAAATGGTGATATAGGTGCCATGAAAGATTGTAGGAATAATAATTGGAACTGTTGATAAGCGAAGTCTTTGGAGTGCGCATTTCTGTCCTTGAAAAAGCATCGATTCCCTTGTCGATGCCACTGTGTCTTCAATGCGAGCAATGTCATCAGGATGACACTGGAGGTTAAGCGCCGTGAGACTTGGGCTCTTGCGAAGGATATCGATAACAGTCTCCTTGTCTGTCGCCTCAAGTTGTATGCACAGGTCCGTGACACAGTCCAGCTGTAGCAGCTTCATACGGACTGGACTGTTCCCTTTAAAAAGGTCACGTTCATTGTCATGCCCCCAGAAGACAATAGGGGGGTTTCAGTTATTGACATTTTTTAACGTATTTGAATTTTTTACGAGCCCGAATCGGAGCGTATTTGGTTGTCGAATCCGCCGACCAAATACATCAGCCCTCCCAGTGGTGCATTTCAAATCCGCATCCAAATCCGCATTGTGGCTCCCTTTAAGTGCTCAAGTAAACATTCCATCCTCTGTGTATTCCTTGCTATAACGCTTTATTAATAATATTAAACCCCATCCTTGTAACAACATGCCCTACACATCTGACCGAAAGCAGTTTCTTTCCGACGCGAAAAACTGGATTGCTTTTCTAATGGACAGTGATGATGATGCCGAGGAGCTAGAAGATGCTATCCTTTTATATTCCTTTGTTTCCGAATCCCGCTACATCACAGTTCGTTCACAGCAACGTCGACCTAACTTCTTTTTCAAAACCACGTTTCCTACACTCTCCAACTCCACATAACCCTGGTTTGCTGTCCTTAAAGGCTGGCCCACAGTTGTCTGCCCTGAGGATCCGAAAATCTTTTTGAAGTTGGGCGGGTGTTCCAGCCAAGTTATGATGATATCGAGGTCGTCGTTTGTAAAGCGTTCCTTTGTTGCCGAACCAGTCGCTTTTGGTATCACTTTTGGTACTGCTTTCTGCTTGGGAAGGATGGCTGTGGGGACAATGCACGATGTAGTCTCCTCCACTTGGGCCATTTGGGTGGACTCGTGGGATGGCGAGAGAGATTCTGCACGCCAGTTCTTATCCATGTGGATAAAATAGAAGGGAATATAACAAGGATGGAAGGAGTGCGATTTATCTTTTTAGCGGGGGTGATGATTGTAACAAGCTACTTCCCAAATCCGCGAAAGAATACGTCGGGATGGGATATCTGAACGGGCGGATTTGAAGGCGGATTTCGTAAATAACTGAAACCCCCTATTGTAGTTGGTGTGAACGAACATTACACTTCAAAGAAATGTCCGGTCTGTCACGAGTTTGTTGGCCAAGTCGACATCCGTCAGCTCTATTGCCCAACGCCAACATGCGGAGCCAAGATCCATCGAAACGTGATGGCAGGTCACAATATGTTCAATATCATTCAGGGACACCTTCTTCACCAGCAGCGACCTCACTGTTATCAGCCGTACGACAAGGATGGAAATTACATTTGGGAAATGGAAGACTGCGGTCAGTCTGTCGAGTCTTTGATGGGACGATTAGGTGTCAAGGAGGCGGAACAACCAGAAGAATGGATGGCACTGGAAGAGGAGACAAAGCCAGGTCGGCGCAAGAGACCAGTGGCATAATTTTTTTTTTCCTCAGAGCTAGACAGACCAATTTGTGTTTATAAGTCAATACATGTGCAACTATGGCACTTTGGTGACATATTTACGTCTGAAATGTACTGCTACCTTGCCACCACTCCCGCCATCACCATCACTCTCACGCCCTTACCATCTTCGCATCCATGCCGTTCTTTGTACCCATTGCTCCTACCTCCATTTCTCCTTCTTTCTCTCTTTTCCACTACTCTTTCCCTTCAAACACAAAAACCTTAATTCTCGCGCAGTCTCATTATCCTACTTGAGGCAGGTAATCGTAGCGTTTAACATTCACCTCCTGCCGCCAATTTGTTGAGTCTGCCAGATACAATATCAGCCCTTTCAGGGGATACATGAAGGTTACAGATCGTTCTTTTAGTGGGGCTTAGTGAGGGTGTCGTGGAGACTACAATCTCCTATCCTCGCACTCTTCCGTCGGCCCATTAGGCGGGAAGGGATGACCACCAGATGCATTGTTGGCCCATTAGGCGGATGCATCAAGGTACAGTATCGTTCTTTTGGTGGGTCTTAGTGGGGGTGTCGTGGAGACTACAATCTCCTATCTTCGCACTCTTCCGTCGGCCCATTAGGCGGGAAGGGATGACCACCAGATGCATTGTCGGCCCATTAGGCGGATGCATCAAGGTACAGTATCGTTCTTTGGTGGAAACTAAAATTCTCCCACCTTCATGTGCTTCTGTCGGCCCATGAAGTGGCAGCATTGCTTGACCTTTATTCACCTTCAGATATATTATTGTTGTATAAATTATTGATTCTATTTGCAAACCATCTTCACTGATGTGCTCATTCTTTTCCAGTGCTCATTTGTGCAATAGTGTCATGAGTCGTCCCAATTATCATGGATACTTCAAACACATCCCATCAACCGTGGATACAAGAAGTTATTTTCTTGACACGGCGGTTGCGGAATGGGATCTATCGGGGTTTCTCCTCTCGGGTCAGAAGAAGGATGTCTTTCTGGAAGGACTTGAAGGACTTGTTGACATCAAAGCTATTAGCAGAGATGTGCGGGCGTTCGCTAAAGCGCTAAGGGTGTTTTATTCCGTGGAACAAAACGTCGTTACTGCCGTAAACCATGCCGAGGAGCTACTAAACCGACATGCACTGAAAGGTTTCGAGCACCGTGTCGTTCAGAATGAACTACAGACTAGTCTCATCAATGTTTTGGTAAGATCTTTAAAGAGTTTTAAGATTGACGAGGAACATGCTCTTTGTTAGCATATCTTATACACTATGTTAACCATTTGAATTTCGTTCTCTATATATTACTGGTGATACTAGAATAACTCGGTTGATCCGTTTGCAGAGAATGATGCCGCGTCGAGCTCATCTACACGGACCCTGTCAGTGAAGTCAACCGGAAAGCGAACTGCTCGTCGAACGCTGCAGGCTTCAAACAAGAAAAGGAGTGGAATCACCATGGCTAGGGACGAGTATGGTGGTGTCGAAGGAGGTCCGGAAATAGATGAAACGGCTGTGGGTGGATTTATGGCTACCAAGAGCATGGGGTCTTCCAGTGTAGACAAGACAGTCGCGGACATCAATGATGAAGACGAGGACGAAGACGAGGACGAAGACGATGGTGGAGGCGAAGAGACCATTGAAGATCTGATTCAAAGGTCTCAAGTATTGGAGGATGAATCTAACTCAACGGAAAAAAAAAGAGAGGGAGTGGAGAAAAGTAAGAAGACTTATCAATTAACTGTCAAGGTTTTGTTTGTTGAGCAAATGGAACTGCTTTGTTCATCACTGTCATCTCATTTCTTTTAATAGTTCCATCCAGTCGCAACCTGACGTTGGAGGATTGTAGGTGGACCTAGCTTCATGATAAGACTCCTTGTTCCCAAATTAGTGCTAATGTGTCAAGGACTTGAACTGTTTAGTGCCCCCTCAGCACAGGCCCTCCTCCACTGTTGACGACGACGGTTACTGCCCAGGTACAACACCACCAATCTATTCTCCTCAGCATTTACTTGGATCAGATCTCCCGTCCACCGACCCTGCAGATATGAACTTTGTGGATCAAGAGGATCTCAATCAGTCAACTTCCAGACTTTATTCTTGGAACTTCTTGGATGGTTCTGGAAGATTGGATTCAGACGTCGATAGCAATTGGGTGCATAACGAGATTGATATCGGTGGGGACCTAATGGCATGTAGGAATAGGATCGTCGAAAATAACGGTGGTCTAACGGAACCATTTGAGAAGTTGTAAGTTGAGGATAATGGTGATTCTGCCATCTCAAATGTAACAGCGAATGCAAGTGAACGGGACTCTTTCTAACACCAGTTTAAAAAACACATTGCAAAGGGCGGTCAACTTCGTTTTCCTAGTTGAAGCAGAATACCAAACTGGTGGCTTGCAAGGAGAGGTCGAGGATCTGATCTGGGATTCTCTCTGCGATGCCGTTAGAGACTTCGTGCTGCCACTCTCAAATGAAGACGTCGCAGAGGCTCATCAGTGGGCACATCGACTGGCGCAAAATAAGTCTGAGACATTCGCAAAGCTGCTGGATGAGTCGCCGCCCCTGAATCGCACTCTCAAGTCTATCATGACGAAGATGGCGGACACTGCACAGCTCTAGAACACTCAAACGCGCAATGAGGATACATACTTGAAGTCTCAGCTGGGACCTTTCTTGGATACATATTTTGGCAAGCTGCGACATACTAAGAGCGATTGGTAAGTTTTGCTCATACTGCTCGAAGTCCGGTTGTTTGGTTACTATTTTGTATACAACTAATCATGTTTTTTCGTAGGACTCCGACGCAAGTCGAGACCAGGGGTTCAGAGTCCAACTTGTTAATTCCTGACTATGCAACCACGACACAGATTGGAAAGCAGCAACTTTCCGTTGTGTTATTGGAGGGCAAGATCGCCAAGAACGCGGGGCTTTGTCAGATATGGGACGATCTAACTAAGCTCGGTCAAGAAATGAAAGTGGCGTTGGATTCGATTCTGAAGTTGCTGCCCGAAGACGATGTGTGCGTCGTTGGCCTGCTCGTTCGCGGTATGTCATGCACTGTTCTTGTTGAATGTTTTGATACCCTGCGCTGAGCTTTCCCATGCCATTTATGTTATCCTTCTCTATATCCGTTATTTTTTAGAGCCGCGGGTAGAGTTTTATACAATGCGGATCCATGCCGAGGCTACCTATATCATGAACAAGTTTGCAGCCGCCTATATTGCCCCTGACGCCATGAACGCCTTCCCTCTTGTCCACTTGGTGGAGGTCTTTGAGCATGCTAAGGCGAAAGTTGAACAGACCGTCGATCAGCTCCGTCGGGTAAAAGTCCATGCAAGTCCCAACCCTAAAGTACCACTTTCATGGCTCCGACCTTCATTCAAGAAGCCAAAACTTTGCCAGATTGTTGATGGACAGTGATAATGCGGTGGTAAAGTGAAGAACTTGAAATAAATATTTCTACAAGCAAAGTATCACTAATGCGATGAAGAATACTCCAGTATGAAACAAGAGAAACAACGGTCGCTATGAAAGCTCGGTTGCTATAACTTTTCAACGTCGTACACGCAGTGAGTGAAGATGGTGGGGGAAGACGACAGGGGTTAGTGCTGTACAAAAAAAATATTGCTGAGGTTGTGAAAAAAATTACTGAATTCACGAAAAAAAATTGCTGTTATGAGTGGTGATGAGCTCTCATCGAGAGGTTCCAACAAAAACAAATTGTCGATGTAAAGAGCGATTGAAAAAAAATAAAAAAGGAAGCTCTTCGGGTAGGGAAAACAACATTTTTGATGGGATAAGTACAGTGATGGGATCAGGTGTGAAGTGTGATTTTTCACTCTCACCCTCCGCTTTGCATCTTTTCCCCTTTACTCTCACAATTGTCTCTTTTTTGTGATCGTGTAATGTTATGTAATGAGAGATGTAAAAAAGGTACATTTAAATAGTGTGAAGGATTTTTATTCTGATATTATTGGTTCTATTACTAATGATAAAAAGATTTAGGGAAACTGAAAGATAGCCTCCTTAATATTAGTGCCCCTTAAGCGTTCTGACTAAAGAACAAAAAGAGAGATGTTGTTCGTAAGAACAAATCTGTGCAACAAGAATGCTTAACCTCAGCAGCTCGTATCAACAAGGATACTCGTCTGCTTACAATACCTCGTTCAATTAAAGTCGTCTGCAATGCATTTATCTCTTCCGCCTTCCAAGACCACATACCACACGTGATATGATACAGGGACCAAAGTCTTATCCGTATTCAACTAAAAATCGGAAAAGGCGGTAATCGTCGCGTTCTAGCACGGATTCTGACTTGGAGACGTTCAGCCATAATCCAACGGATGATAGCTTCGAGCCATTGCCTGCTCAGGCAGGCCCAAATACCAATTGAAAACGACAATTTTTGGAACACCCAAGTAATTCCGCTGAAAAGTTAGGAACAGAAGGTCTGTAGCTTCCTTCATTCCCCTGTTAGCTATTTAAACACACTCCTCTTTCACAGTTAGTTCTTTACCTAGTAACTTGAATACATCCTTGGAAACACCTTGAACCTTTGCCTTGAACTTCTTCTTCCCCTCCCCTGGCCTTGTCCTGTATTGGGAAAGGTCATCCTTGCCTTGCCTAGTCCGAGTTCACGACACAATGAAATAAAGAAATTGTTTGGAGCAAGCAACTGTTTCAGGTGTTGCAGAACCGACCTGCCCGCGTTTTAAGCTGTCCTCTCAGATCAAGGGATCACCCTGTGAGTGGACACAACAATAAAACAAATGACGCGCGAGCGCAATCCAGATCCACTTCACCCGTCGATATACATAAACACCCCTTAAGTAAAACAAAGCATCGACAACGCGTCCGACGAATTCGATGCAGGAAAAAGCAACGTGGCTATGAACGCTTGGCAGCCACAAGTGACTAACTTATTGACCATGGCAATTCCTTCAACAAACTACAGTTCACTTCTGCCTTTAACGCAAACGACAGAATAGCCATGACGAACTCGGACGCCTCCCAAATCTCGATCTCATCTGGAGAACCTCGATCGCTGTTAACAAAAGTGACTGCTTTTGTGGACAAGGCGAACCTTGCCCACATTTGCTCTCTCTGTTTGCGACCTTTCTCATTCGCTAGAATTAACCTTTATGTTTTCTACGATTCCATATCCCTAAACAACGCGTCTTCTACGCGCACTGCTATGGCCGAGGCCTGTCTCTACACATCTAGATCCCTTTATTAACAACCAGGTACTTGAGCGTCAGCTCAAGCATTCATCACTTGATAAGAGTCTAGACACATCCTTTTTATCTTTATTTTTCTATATAAGCTGGAGTGTGTTCCCCTCCAAGATTAGTTCCTTAGTCCCAACCACACCAATAAACAATCCTTCAACACACTTACCTGCTCTCTCTGCCTCCTGAACACTCCAGTCCCCACGACTCGTAAGTCTTGTCAACTTACTCTTGATCTTGATTCGTGATTCCTGACTTACCTTGATCCAGATCCAGATCCTGACGTCCCTTTTATCTTGACCGCGTCACAATCGCCAACCTTGACCAGTGACTCGAGCATGAAATCCAGCAAGTCAAGCCTCTCGTCCTGGTTCCATAGAAAGAAAGACAAAATCGAGAAGGCACTGCATCATTCGCACAACAACTCGCACAACAACTCGCACGACAACTCGCCGTTACCAGCAAAGTCGCTGGAATCGACAGTAGATGACCTATCAATCCCACAGGCACCTTGCAATTCGAATCCAGATCTTGTCGCCCAGTCAGTGCTCAGTCTCAATATCTTTCCCAAGAACACAACGAGGACAGTGAACTTGGACCTTCCAAAGATCGGTCAGCGCATCGAGGACATCACTCAATTGGTTCACTGTGCCCATCTACTCCGTACCCTAGAGACGCCAGCATCTCCATTGTCATCCTCGTCAACCTCGCTCTCAAGCCCATCATCAGATGCCACTGAATCATCTCTCAGTCAGGGGGATGTGGACTGGCTAAAGTCAGTCGAGAGCAAGTCGGTAGAAAGAGACAGGGTCTGTCAGCTGTTGATTGGGATCGTCAGCGAGTTCATGTCCGATCCTATCAAGAATGTTGAAGCCATTCGCGAGCTTGTCCTCGTTGGGCCAGTCCTAGAGAGAGGTCATTTTCGATCTCTTCTGACAAGCTTCGTGGCCGACCTTATGACAGACCCACTTTTGGACGTCGACAAGCTTCAAGGTCTGACTCAGCTTGTCCAGGACGCCCCTCCCGGCTACATTGAGGCCGACGATCTGATCAACATTCCCGATGCAATTTCTAAGCGCCTGCAAGGCACAGCCTCCAAATCCGAAGACTTTTCTTTCCACTTGGCTCTCGCAGTTTCCAAGGTGCTCGGTGTCATGGCTGACCAAAATGTCGAAGGTCTAGATCGAGTGCTCCAGCATGATCCTCTTGGCAAGGCTCTCTCTGGACTCAGGAGTCATGAAAATCCTTTCTTGAGATACGTACCAGGCGATCTATGGGTCTCAGGCCCTACAGTGGGTACCCAACAACGAATCTCAATTACAGCGATCACTTCGACTTTTTGCTGGCATGGCCACAGGTCTCATCAAAGTTTCGGGAGTGATGCAACTCAACTTTGACGAGGACTGAAGGACATCGAAGCCGCTGTCGAGGAGACTGTTGACATTGTGAAGGCAGGGGTTGAGGACTTCAATGCCATGATCGAGAATGGCCAGGAGCTTGCGGAATGTCTGAAAGACGCATTCGGATCTAAACAGAAGGGTCTCTGGTATATCTCCCTCCGTGGAGCACAGGAACTAGTCCGGCGCGGTCAACTTGCGGATCTCAACACCCTTGTTCGTGAAGCACCCAGCCACCAGGGGTACATGTTCCAATGGGGTATATGCCAGCTGCTTGGTGATATTGCAGTGGATCCAACTTGGGACGTGACCACACGTGGACAAGCAATCAAATTCCTTGGTGAGTTGTTTGCCACTACATCTCTCGGCAATGTCAGACAGTGGATCCTCACAATCCTCAACCACATCGCGACGGCCCGCGTCCTGAATCCGTCTTTGGATGTCGCTGTCGAAGAGGCGATCAAGACTCAAGCCTCAGCCACCATCCAGAGCTTGGACAAGAAGAGTGGCGAGGAAGCTTTCCCTTTCCCCTACTTGTTGGGACAGCGCCTGCCACAGCCAATAGTGTCTGCACTTTTGAAAAGAGTCAACAAGACCGCGGATTTGGAACCAAAGCTCCTTAAGGCTCAAAGTGAGACGTGCGAGGGTAGCTTTGGGATCTACATCCCATTGATGTCCAAGGTCAGTCTACAAGACTCTGCAGAGAAGCTTGATCCCTTGGAAGATCGCGTCACGTCCTTCTTGAACGACAAGAAAGAGATCATGTTGATCCTCGGGAACTCAGGCGCCGGCAAGTTAACATACAACCGACAACTTGAACGAAAACTTTGGGACAAATACCAGCCTGGTGGAGCGATCCCCCTGTTCATCGACCTCAAGGCAATGGGAAAACTGGATGAAAGCAACATTGTGAAACGAACGCTCACTCTCTATGGATTCACCGATGTCGAGATTCAAGAGCTCAAGGAGCATCGACGAGTCATTCTCATCTGCGATGGGTATGATGAGTGCCGTCAGTGGGTCCACCTTCACTCGCGAATCAAGGATGAGAGATGGAAGTCCTTTCAGATTGTGGTCACTTGCAGGACCCAGTACCTCACTCCAACGTACCGCAACTACTTTGTGCCGCGACCCGCAGCTAACCAAAGCGCGTCTGAGGCCTCTTCTCTTTTCGAGGAAGCGGTCATTGTCCCCTTCAAGTCTGACCAGATTGAGAACTTCATCGGTCAGTTCAGGGACACCAGAGAAGCAAAAGATATCTTTGATGATCGACCCATTTGGAGCACAGATACGTACATGAAGTGCCTGTCCAATCTGACAGCACTGGTCAAGAACCCGTTCATGCTCAAGCTCGTCCTTGTCACCCTTCTCAGTGTTGTTGGGAGCAACAATGATCTCTCCAGAACCACAACGACCCGCTTCAATCCCTACAGTGCATTTATCAAGCAACATCTTGAGAGAGAAGTTCGTCGACTAGGCGATCTACGAATGAGGATGAGCAATATCGAGGAGGAAGCTCTAGGGGCAATTGAGAGTGACTTTGTGTTCTATAGCATCCATTTCTCGATGCGGTTGGCGCATGCTGTCTTTATTGAGCAAGGAGGAGTGAATGCTATTGAGTATTCTGCCGCAGATGGCCGAGGATGGAAGGCTCGGTTCTTTGGTCCAAAGGCGACACCGGATGTCAAACTGTTGCGACAATCGTGTCAATTGAACAGTCATACCGCCTCGGAGAAGTTCACCGAGCTCTGGCGGAAGCGTCGGACCAAAGAAGACCATCTTTTCGTTCCCCCATCGATCCATTCTCGAGTTCTTCTACTCTTGCCGGCTCTGCGACTTTGTTCAGGACCTTCGCGACTTGGATCCATCAAGCGATGAAGCGCAGTATTCTGATCTCTCCATCTGTCTTGATCCGACTTCCGATATATCACTGCTTGCGGCTCACCCCCTCAATAAGAGAAATATTGTCTCTGAATCGTCGATTGTGCACTTCTTGGTGGAGCACGCGAATGCGAACTCTCAATTCAAGGACCAATTGCACACCATTATCAACCTCTCTAAAACACAGCCATCTGTGAGTCAGGCATCGGCCAACGCCATGACAATTCTGGTGCAGGCAGGGGTGAAGCTCAACGGATCGGACCTTCGAGGGATTAAGATCCCTGGTGCAGATTTGAGTGGAGAGGCCACTTTGATTTCGCTCAGCTTCAAGATGTAGATATGACTGGTGTCAACCTCACCAAAACCTGGCTGCGAGGCGTCGACTTTGGGAATGCACAGATGGGAAACGTGCAGTTTGGAGAGAAGCCATATTGAAAGGTACCCGGAGCCTGTTCTATGGCTCTCTCGCCAGACAAGAAGGCCCTTGTCCTAGGATTTGAGAACGGCGAAATGAGACTGCTCGATACCGCAGGTTGGAGCACTATCCGCACACTTCGAGGGCATACAGACCGAGTCGAATGTGTGATTTTCTCAAAAGCAGGCAATCGAATCGTGTCTGGAAGTAAGGATTCGTCTATTCGGGTGTGGAGCCTCCAGGAAGAAACCGATTCCTTCGCTTTGCAGGGTCACACAGATGAAGTGACCTCGGTGGCATTCTCGCCGAATGAGCTGCAGCTTGTATCTGGCTCTAAAGATATGACTGCGCGTGTCTGGGATCTGGATTCGAAATCTTTTATCTTTGTCCTCACCGGCCATACGGACGAAGTTCGAGCCGTTGCATGGTCACCCGACGGACAACAAATTGCATCAGGGAGTATGGACGAGACAATACGACTATGGGAGGCATCCTCAGGATCCCACGAAATGGAACTCAGTCTCGGGTCGAGGAAAGCATGGAGTCTCCTCTACATCCCTGGTAGCCAACGCTTGATCGCGGGAACAGACGGCGACATTATCATATGGGATCTTGATACTGAAAACGATCCAATCATCCTGGAGGGCCACAATAGTGACATTCGTTCCTTGGAAATCTCTGCAGACAGTCAATGGATTCTTTCTGCCAGCGATGATCGAACTGCGAACATTTGGAGCGAAGAAACAGGAGAACCTGTTCACACATTCAGTGGCCACTCTAAAGTGGCGTTGGGGGCTGCCTTTTTGAATGATCGCGAAGCCATATCTCTCGGCGGTGATGAGACAGTGCGTGTTTGGGATCTGAGGAATGACACAGAACATTGATACGCTGCAGAAACAACTACACACAGGACCTGTCATGAGAGCCATGTATTCGCCGGATGGCAAGTCCGTCCTCTCTTGTGGCTTCGATCCTACTGTCCGTGAGTGGGATGCGCAGACAGGATCTCCTGGAGCTATCATCAATGATCCACAAAAACTTTGCTACGCAGAGTAATCGCCCGATGGAAAACAAATAGCCATCAAAACGCACTTCAACAAACTTAAGCTCGTGGAGCGGACGACTGGTAACGATAATGCAGTATCCATGTAGGGTGTCAAGTCGGTGACCGCATTGTCCTATTCGCCGTGTGGTCGGTGGCTCGCAACAGGAGATAGCGGCGGAGTAGTCAAGATTTGGGACCTAATGTCTGGCGCCGAAGTCTGTACTCTGGAGGGACACACAAAGTATATCAAGGGCGTGATAGTTGCGGCGGAAGGTCTACAACTTGTCTCCTATGTCATTGACTGTACGGCGCGGGTTTGGGACATGTCGGATGATATGTGCAAAGCAGCGCATGTAGAAACTCTAGACATCGATGCTGGGGCGCTCGTGTTTTCGCCCCGCGGGACAATGCTCGCCTGGAGCGACTCTCTCTACTTTGGCGAAAGTGAAGACGATGACGAGGCACTCAAGGAGGGTGCCCAGTCCGATATCCATCTATGGGATGTAAAATCGGGGCAGGAGCTGTTCGCTTTAAAGGGACACAGAGGTCCACCTGCATGCTTTCCATGGTCGTCTCAAGGGATCCTGTCGGGTGGATTAGATTCAACAGTTCGGCTATTGAAGTCGCAGTTAGTTGATTCTACCTCAACTTGGACTTGCGTGGCTGTCATTCGAGTCACGATGGGACCGGTGAGGTGTCTTGCCTAGAACCCTGTAGTGCCTCTCGAGTTTGCCTCAGGCGATATACTGTCATCTCTGTATGTGTGGAAAATGACGGAGGAGGGCGGTGGCGAGGTGGATGTCCGTCTGAAATGGGGATCGACGTATCGATTGGTGGCCACGGGTGCAAAGATCAAGGACGCCATCGGTCTCGATGACATGCATCGGATGTTGTTACAACAAAGAGGCGCGATTGATGAGAAGTCTTTAGACTCTACTGCTGCTGCTGGAGTGAAGGAAGGTGAATCTGAGAATTCCGAGAGTCAGACTTGACGAGTAGAGCGTGTCTGATATTGGTAAACTCCAAGAGAGAAATAAATCACCAAAAAAAATAAAAAAATAAAAAATAAAATATAATAAAAATAAAAAACAATCCCAATGGTCATGCACAGATGGAAAAGAAGAACAAGACATAAACTACACTGAGAAACAGCCTCATGTACATACCGCCCAAAGCCCACGTACGACGAAGACAGTAAGCAGCGCAAGCGACAGAGACGACGGCTCGATTCTCTCCTCCTCGCGCAGCAGAGTCGTCGTGATGTGCTTCAGGAAGAGTTTCTTCAGCACGAGCCAAGCCCAGGGACGCTGGAAGAATGTCCTCAGCAGCTCGTTATCCGAATTATTATTATGGAACTCAGCAAATACATTCTTCAGTTTAGGATAAGACCCCAATAAAGTTGCAAATGCCGTGATATCGATGGTTTCTTTGGACAAATGGAACAAACGGAGCTATTTGAGGACATCACCATGGCATCCCATAATAGTTTCGATAACAGGCCTGTTCAAATTAGGACTCTTTTGTTAAGCAAGGGAAATGGACGTAGAAAAGCTCTGCATCAAGTTCGGAATTTCATTCCTGAAGAAGACTCTGCTCAATGTGAACGAAATCAAGGGCCATTCTTCCAGCGGAGATGACTCGTGGCAAACACCGATACAATCTCTCGGGCCGGACTGGTCAGAGTACTGACTGCAGTATCGAGGGCGCGTTTAAGGACGCCGTCCACATATTGTTTTTTTGTGTTTACGCGACGCGTTGCCTTCCAATAAACTCGACTCCTTGACTTTCCTTCCCCCTCCCTTTCCTCCGCCATTTCAAAACAAAAAAAAAAAAAACAAGCACCCACATATGCACTCATAACAAACTGCCATCCATTGATCGATACTATGGGGAAACATCCTCTTTCAGTTACGTTACAGCACTCATAGAGTTATTTCATCGCGCTTTGTAAACTATGTTTGTGTCTACAAATGCGTGGTATTCTTTTCTAGTCAGCTAGACTATACATGGCTGTACCTGTACCTGAGCCCACCTTTTTTTATTTCTCGCGCCTTTAATCTGCTGCACCCAATGATGTCTCTGCTGCTTGCACAGCACAGCGGAGACATCTCGTCTCCTGCTGTTTGCCATGTAAAGACAGGGTTGACATGCGACGCTGCAAAAAGGATGTTAGCTCTAGCGAACATCGACAGCAGTGCAGTAGGACCGCAATAACGACTGGTTGAGTCCACAAAGGTATGGCCTTATTGCTCTTTCCATGCAAAATGGCGCTGTACGCTCTTCTCTGCTTTGTTTGTGCATGATGTCTGGTATCTGGTGCTTAGTGTTATGTGCCTTGTATTTGCGCCTTGCGTTGTAGGTTGTCTCTATGTCTACGCTTCGATTCTAATGGCGTATTCTCTTTCTGCGCTTTTCTTTTCTTTTTTTCTTTTTTTCTTTTTGTCAATACCTCAGCCGATCGATTACAGCAACCAAAAGTAAACCAAAGTCTAGTCCACCTGGGCTCGCCATGGTCAAGGGGAATGAGGTAGAGGGTCATCGAAGTATGTCTGATGCACGTCGCTTACTGCTGTTGTATTAGAAATCGACGGCGCCTTTTTTTTTTTTTTTTTTTTCGCCAAATCGACTTGTTGCCTATCGTTCTCTGTTTTCCTGCCTTTTCTTAGGCACATGGAGTCCGTTTCAACCTGGACAGTATTAGGATACGGCACTAACGCCAGAATCCAGCACCCAGGACCAGGCCCACTCAGCGCGTCAGACTCGCCGAGTCCTGTCAAGTTCGCCAGGCCCAAGTCAATCATCTCAACCAAAGCCAAGTGCGCTCTATACCCTCCCTTCCTCCGCTACCCCACTCAGCCCTTCCATCGCCTTCTCTATCGTTTACCATTGCCCCTACCCTATCAGAATATACCCGCGAACTCGAATGCCTTTGTATACTCAGTTGTCCTTCGCATGGATCGCCTCACAGTCCGTGGTCGAGAGTAGTCGCGCCTGGTTGACCCCTAGCCGCTTCTCTCCCTTCCATCTTCGTTCCTGTGTTTTAAACTAAAGCACTCACTCAGGCTTTGCTGTGTCAAGGGATCATATAGGTTGTCGACGGCTCATACTCGCTCGGATAGATGCACATCCTGATGTTGAGACAACATCCCTGAAATCCTCGCTTAAGCCAAACCCAAGTTAACTTTTGGATAGGAAGGTTGAGCGCAATCGATTGAGAGTCGAGAGCATCTGCGTCGGATGTGGAGTCTTCCTTGCAGCTCCAGATGGGTAACTCGACAGGGGCCTTAATAGTTAAAGCGCGGTGCAAAATAGATGGAGATGAAGATGAAAGACGATGGAAGATATCGCTACGTTGCGTCCTGGAAAAAAAACCTTAAATCACAAGCACAGCATTTTTTTTCGCGCAGCAGTTAAAAACATCCGGAACAATGATTCAAGTAGAACCCCAGACATTTCTGTTTCTAAGACCAAACAGGAAAAGAAGATCAGGAGATCAGACCGATAGTGTGAAAGTGCCAGCAGAATGCCTGCGCACGGACAGGAGATCCCAAGCACCACTGCCATCATAAATGAGTTTTAATCTTCTATTCACCTTATTCCCAAAATTTTCCAGATACGCTAATCTACCGTTGAATCGCGCCGGGAACACCTCTTGGCACGCCCGTCGCGACCGGAGCTGGTGCCTGTCCAGGTCCTGAAGCAGTCGCAGGGACTGCAGAAATCGCAAAGTCAACGGGCGAATCCGCGGGTCGCCAGGGCAGGAGGCTTCCGAAAAGCAGGTGCTGGACAACCGGGAACTTGTTCAGAACCTCGGCCTTGTACATCTTGACCATGCCCGAGTTCACCTTTGCCCAGTGATGCACGCCCGAGATCTCAAACAGCACAGGTGAATGCTCGTGGAACGGGCCGCGCTTTGTCTGGATTCGCAAAGAAAAAGGAAAGAAAAGAAAATAAATATAATATAATAAAAAAAGTTTAGGCCATAATCAAGGACAAGCATATACCTGTACTAGCATGGTTAACAATATAAAAATCACTGTGCACATACCTCATGAATGAACTGGATGGCTCGAAAGTACATATACTCCGACGCATGCTCCCGCACACTCGTCTCCTGCATAATAGCAATTGGCCGCAACGTCGGATGATCCCGCAACTGTGCGCTTCCCCATAGATATGGCAAGAACTGATAATCATCTAGTCCCCACACGCCATGACTTCCCGCAGGTTCCAATTGATATGTCCGCTGTAACTTGCGTACTAACTCCAGGTATCGCACAAAGACCGTCAGCACCACGGCCGCATGATCCTCCCCGTGCAGGAATCCAATGATTTCGAGACAGCACAGCCATGCGACAAAGGAGAGCTCGTGTCCTGACCCGTAGTCGATCCGTGTGCCGTGACCCATGCTCTGGGTGAGGTATGGGGAGAGTTCTTTGATCGCGGGGTGGAGTGAGGGCGGGAGGAGAGTCGTGAGGACGAAGGTCGCTTTGGATTCGAGCAGCAGAATATATTCCCGGAAGGCGAGATTACCAAATCGTTGAGGATCTGGCTTTGGAGGGACGAGGGCGATCCAGTGGTCGAGTGTGTCGAACAGCTCTAGGATTTTCTTGATGGACTAATATTGTGTTTTAGAGCGAGGCGACAGAGTGGGTTAGAACAAACGCGCCTGGGACACACATTGACGTCGAGTACGAGACGATGCCACGACGCGTGGATTCGATAGTCGAGTTTGTCACCAAATAATAGACAGACAGACATACCTCTGATTCCGGTACTGCATCAGACACTTTGCGGTTCAGGACCGCAGTGTTGAGGGCCAGAATGTAAGACATGAGACGCGCGTATGCCTCAGACTTCTGGAAGAATGGCAGGTCCCGAGCTTCATCCTTAATGCACTTCACAGGCACGACAAATGTGTCCTTTCCTGTCGATGTTATTGTTGATGTCACTGCTGCTTCCTGATTCGCCATTGCCTTTCCTGTTTTCGAGATGTATGTCGAGTGTATCAAGCGAGTATTGAGACACTGTTCGCTAACGCATTGAGAGGAACGTAATATTGGACAGTCACGACCGTTGTGCACCATGCCGTGCCCTATCCTGACTCCAGAAAGGGACGCTCAAAAGTCTTAGTCTGAAATTCGTTTATTGCGTGTAAATGGGTTCCAATAGGATTATAGAATAAAAAAAAAAAAAAGAACGGCGCATCAGGGTCGACCTTCCAGCACGAGTGGTGGTTATAATTATTGGGGGAAATGACGATAATAATAAAGAGTGAAAAACGATCCTGCAGATATCCAGTATCTACTCGGACAGGTTCTCGGCGCTGCGAGACAACTTCTCGGTACGGTAGTTCTCGTAGAGGTAGTCGTGAGTGATCTCCTTCAAGTCCTGCAAGTGCGAGCTATGGTTCAACGAGAATCAAAATAAGACGTTTAGTCCAAATTGAAGAAAAACATGGTGCAGACAAAAATAACAAGGATCAGAGAGCCCAAAAAGATATTAAAAAAATCCTCCTGTAGCTCACTGCTCCTTTCTGCATGTTGTTTTCGTACCTGAGCAAAGCAAAACGCAACTTGGCAAAGTCGCAGTGCTGGGTGTTGTCGACCTCGACAATGCCCCATGGGTACTGTCTGCCGCGGACCTTACGGCCGTTCACCATGATCTCCTCCTCGCATCCGATCAATGCAAAAGGAAGGAGGGAACGGAGCTCGCTGTTCTCGTCAATGGTCTCCTCATCATCCTCTTCGGGATCGAAGGGGAAGTTGTAGATTGGGATATTGTGGTGCTCAATGTCCTCCATGACCTACATAACACAAAAAGGTTCATTTGCTTTAGATCTTCTGCAAACGATGGTGGAATAAAGTGAGTGTTGACAAACTGTGGACATACCCTCTTCTTGAAGTCTGCCAGCTCAATAGGGGTGAAGGTATCGGCCTTGCCAATGACTGGGATAACGTTAATTCTGGGACTCAAACGCTTCATCAATTCAATATCGATCTCCCTCAGGCTAAAAGACAGTAAGGAATGGGTAAAACCGCGAGATGTTAATGAAGTTGCGAGATTAGGGTGGAGCGACTGCCTTTGAAGTAATTGAAGTGCCTCTTCAAAGAAAAATCTCCTGCCGCCTTACCTGTGGCCAGTAGGGGTAATAAAGTAGAGGAGAGCGTGGACACGGTTGTCGCGGAACCGTGGGTTACGCTTGATCCTGGACTCCTCCGATAGAATATCATCGTATTGTCGCTCCAGATATCCAAGAATCTCCTGGAAACTACATTGATTGAATACCCAAAGAAGGGATAGGAGCAAAGCTTGTTAGTACAAAGGTCCTCTACCATCAATAGGCTAGGAGAGTGAACTCGGCATCATAAGTATTAGGCAGGGAGGAGCTGAGTTCCCTTCTCCTGAAAGACATGAAGGAAAAAAAAAAAAAATGACAACAAAAAGTGCATAGAAGGGGGAAGCGCATGCCGAAATTTGGGGTCCAATTGCTCAATAAATCTGGCTCAGACTTACCAGTACTCATTGTCAATCATATCACCAAAGCCGGGGGTGTCGACAACAGTGAGCGAGATCTTGACACCATCCTCGTCGAGCTCTATTATCACAGCGAAATACCACACAATGTTAGACAAATTGATAAGGAACCGAAGCCGCTCCAGAGCCACTGAAGAACGCAGAGTGGCGCTGTAATACTTACCAACGGTGTAGGGCTTGATCTTGATGCCCTCCTCGACGTGGGCCATATCAGGCTCGTCAGATTCACGCTTAGGGACAACATCAGCATCGCACAGCGTGTTGATGAAGGTGGTGCGACCAAGACCGGAGGCACCTAAGCAAGAGGAAACAACTCAGAGATGAGAACCAATTGCTGCTTGGATAACCGCGTATCATTATACCCGCTCATGTGTTGTCTTCCAATTGATAGCAATTGAAAAGCGTTGCTGGATGCGAGCGAAGGTCCTTACCGACAACCATCAGCGTGAACTGAAATCCCTTCTTGACGTTCTTTCTGCGTCCAATGCGCTATTGATGGGTGCGAGAGAAAAGTCAGAAACCTTTTGTTTGCCACTGGCTGAAGAGTTGGTCGGGGAATCGGGACACAGAACGCTCATGATGGTCTCCGTCTTACGTGTGCCATGGTGATAGTAGTGAGTATTTCTAGTGATAAGTTCCTGGGTATTAAGGAAGTAAAGATGAATTGCGGACGATGGGACGAGAGGGAGTGGATGGAATGGGACAATTAGGATGGAAAGGGAAGAGAGATGATGATATGATGGGAGTCGAACAAAAGACCCAAAAATATCCCCCTCCACTGGTCTGTCTAAATTGCATTCCATTTGTGCGTGTCTTTTAAGGCACCAGCCAAACATCTTGTCATGAAAGTATAAAGGCGCTGTGAGCACACCGAGAGCAATCTCCTTTTCTTCTGCTCCCTCTCTGTCTCTCTCTTCAGAACAAGTGAGCCTTTGCCTGGTCAACCCTGTCCGAGATGGCTTTCATTCCTAATGCCACCCATCCATCTACACGCCTAGACTTTGGGAGAGGGGGAGAAGGGGGGTTCATCAACAGTGTGTCTGACGGCTAAAAAAGCGTGAAGTACAAATGTCATGCTTCTAACGCGACAACTGAACGGAAACGGACACTCCCAAACGCTTCGCCAGCTATAATGAAAAAGATGCGTGGACCGATTGCGTCAAGTGGTATTGCCTGTTTCATATCGACATGTTCACAGGAGCGCGACAAGAGAACGGGGCTACGCGCAGGAATAATGCTCGCATGCTCATGATATACACTGAGTCCAAAAAAAGTGCGCCTTCCCATGCAACGTCGACGTACGCATCTGTTATACTCAAGGCAGAAAGACAGCTGGGTATGCTGCTTTGAAACTGAGTACCGCGAAGAGAGCGAGTAAGGGACTGCAATGATACCTGCACCTCATACCCTCTGCATTCGAAGCATTTTGATATTGTAAAAATACATGCGTTTGCTCCACCAAGCGCAGCACGCGTTCTGAAATTGTCCCTGAATCGTTTAGCCTACTGCAGTGCCAAGTGGCGATCACAAAGGGGCTATGCGTACCTGGCACGCCTTATGCCCCACTGAAGACAGATCGAATCCACCACGAGAGTGGGTTTATTAAGAGGTAAAAGTACAATTAGAAAAAGACTATGTTACAAATCGGCTCGAAAATAATAATGAACTTCCACTTATTGCAACAAAGAAACAGGGAATGCAAAAGCGAATAGATAAGACAGACAAAAAGGCGCCTGTTGTTCTATGAAGAAATGAAAGGATCAAAACATAAGTGGAGAGGATGATACCGAAAGATGTAAATCCAGCAAACAGAATGAAATGACAAACACAATATAACAATAAATTCTTGATTTAGAGATAGATCTCTTTCACGTCCTTGGCGCCAAAGTTCTCGCGACAGGTCGGGCACTTGCGCTGGCGCAACTCCATCCGCTTGTCCATGCAACTCTTGCAGAACACATGCATGCAGCGCAAGATCACATGCGACTTGAAGTTAACATCGCACGCTGGACACTTGAGCAGCTTCAGGTACCGCGCCGCCTGCTTCGACGCCTCAGAGTCCCCTGAAGATCCCTCAGTCTTCTTGGCATGCTCCTCGATCTTGCGCTTCATCGTTTCAAACTCCTCCTGTGCCCGCTTCCGTGACGCTGACTCACTCTCAAACGCGTCCGTCCTCTCCTTCAGCAGTGTCTGCAGCTCAACCAAACGCTCCTCCTGCTTGGCATACTTTTCCTTAAAGCTAGAGTTGTGCTGCGAAAACTCTTGTAGTTTCGACTTATGGACCGTGAGCTCACCCGTGAGTACAGTCTGCTCCTTCTCCAGCGTGGCCTGTAATAGCAAAGCAAAAAACAATAACAACATATACTTGTCAGAATAGTAGTATAAGGTAAAAACAATGAAAAATGCCATTAACTTGGATCTCGAAGCACGTACCATTTGCTGGCTCAGGTTCTTCTCCCGCTCCTCCAGTCTTCGAACCTGGTCCAGTTGCATGTCCGACTGTCGCTTCATCACCGCCGTCATATTGGCACTCTGCTCCTTGGCGCGGATCAAACTATTGCACTTTTGTTCTTGTCTGGTCTTGTCCGAAAGCAGTTTAAATATTAGGTCCTCCTTTTGCGCGAGATCAATGGCCTTGCGGGACGTGGCCTCCTCAAGCTGACCCCAAGCATTAGCAACAGTATGCAGCTCGTTCAGCAGCGGCGCTTGGACTGCCTCATGGGCTCGGACCTTGAGCTCGAGGCGCTCGATAGCCTGATCCTTCGTCATAATCGTTGCCACGAGCTCTTTGATTTTCTCGTCCGCCCTTGATCCAACCAGGCTGTCCAGCTGTGCCAGTTTAGTCGACAGCATTTCCACTTGTTGTTTGAGTTCGCTCTCAGATGCGTTTACGGCTGCAAGATCGCGAACCTGTAATGCCGTCTCCTTGGATGACTCCAGCTCGATGCTGATCGACTTGATTTGCTCCTCCGCCACGCCAAGCTTGTTTCGAAGATCCATCAGAGTCGTTTTATCATTGGATCCCTTCAAATAAAAGGCGTACGAGCTCCAGTCGTCAGAGTTGGTAGCCAGCATTGTTTGGAGTCGCTGAATCTCTGCGGTAAGGGCGGTGATACGGTCCTATTGCGACATACATGGCACAAGAAAATAATATTGTCAGTCGTTTCACACTTACTGCTTGATGATAAGCAGATACCCTGAATATTGTATGCATCCTCACCTTGCGCGTGTTGGCAATCTTCCGAATTTCCTGGTTTTGCTGCATCTCATAGTCGTCCTTGGTGCAGCGATTCTCATACATCTGCTGGAAGCGATCACGGCTGTCCCTGACACGAGTAATATCATTCTCCAGTTTCTTGACTTCTGCTTCCAGCGTAGCCCTTCGGTTCTTCTCTTCGGTTTCTAATGTATCGACGAACCTGCGACGGCTCGTGCGAAGGTCATCCAGATCCGACCTCAACCTCAAGACTTCGCCACGGCAGTGATCGGCGTCATGGCGGACTGACTGGATTTGAACCAAAAGAGTTCTGACATACTGCGAATCCTGAGTCTTCTCGTCCGAAAGATGGCTGAGTTGTGCACGGATCTTGTCCAGCTCATCCTTCAGCTGTGTCCTCTGTCCTTTCATCTCCTCCAGTTCTTCCAAGCGTGAAACTGCAAGTTTGCGGAACTGCAGTAGCTCCTCCCGCGAAGCTTCGCTCATCTCAGTCAATGCAAGAGCAGTAGGGACGGTAACATCTGACACTCCGGTGCTGTTGGATCCTGATGATACGAGCGCATTCTTTTCGCGCTCGATGTTGCTCTCCAAACGTTTCAGCTGTGCTGTTGACTCGTCCATCTCCTCCGCTGTCTCCTTGAGTCGGTTTTGGGTCATCTCCAGGCCGTTCTTCAATCGCATGACGTGGTCTGCGAACTGGTGACACTTGGCCTGCAGATGGTCAATATCAGACAGTCCCTTCTTGAATTGTTGTGTGATGATATTGTGTTGTGCGGACAACTGTTGGATTTCGCTGCTTTGCTGTAAAGATGGGTCTATGCCAAAAAAAAAAAAAAAAAAAAAAAAAAAAAAAAAAAAAAAAACCCCGCGGATGTTATTCGTACTGTAGACAATTAATACTTCTTGTGAGCGAGATCCATAATCTTGATAGGCCTACCTGATTCCCATACGGTGTCCCAGAAGGTATTGTGCTGCTCCGCCCACTCTTCAACTCTGCGTAACAACTTTAATGCGATTTCCTTTGTGCGTCTCGAAGCAGCTTCCTCTACTGATGGCTTTAGGGCCATTTCAGTAAGCTCTCGGATATCCTGTTCCTGCTCCGGCTCCTGGTTCTGTTGCTCAGAATTCATCCCTTGAGAAAGTAATGAGGCAAAACTTTTTTCGTCTATAATGCATGTCATAAAGCTGATGAGATTCCATAGACGATTCCAGTGACATTGTAACTGCTTGATACACGGTTCATACCTTGCAAGACCATATCCTCTCTAGTCACTGTAATTTTGGAGGTCAATATCATTGCTTTCAGGTCATCCAGCAACTAGTTTTCAACGGGAAAAATGGCGGGAAAAATTCGTTTTTAGCATGTTGTGCGCAACATTTCTTTTTAGCAAGGCGAGCGTCCACAACTGTTTGACCCCATACCTTGCTCCAGTAAGAATCAATGGAATTGATCTGAGTGTCGCAATCCGTTTGCTTGTCTTCTAGCTGGAGTATCCGCTCTTTCGCTCTTGTCGCCTCTCTTTTGTATTCCTGAATCTGTCTCCAAATAGCCTCTTTCTGGAAGTTGAGAAGAACGCCCTAGACGATCGAAGTAGTGTGATAATTCTATATGTGGTTAGATACTGCAAGATTACATAAAACTAAAGCCCGAGTCCATCAAAGAAGATCACAAAAATAATGGCGAGTGATGTCTTTCAGGCACTGGTTCTCACCTCAGCAGCTGTCATGTTTTCTGTTTCGTCTTTGGCGGCATTGAGCGGACTTGAGCTACCGCTCCCTGTGAATTGTCGCTTGTTGGCTGGAGGAGTGAAAGGCGCCGATGTGCCGTTGACGGCCACCTGTGCGGGCTGTCCTGCTTCCTCGGTAAGCCTGCGCTTACGGTCGCCTCTATCGTCCATAGAAGCAGTGAAATATGTATCTTTCGAAGGACTTATGGTGATATTGGTGGGACAAGGTTAAAATGAGTGATGCTTCCTGGTAGGATCTACAATGTTGGTTGAGGACGAGGCTGCGATTAGACAGTTGATCGTCACATGCAGTCATAAAGATTGCACCTCAACAGAAAGAAGGACAATTCTGCTGGAACAGGATGGATGATTACCTGAGCAAGAAGTGCAAGCGGGCAATCTGGTCTTGGACAATGGTGAGGACGATTGTTCAGCCTGCACGCGTTCATGCACCGATGGTTAGAGGAGGATATGTAAACAAAACTGGGCAGGCAGTGAAGGTGGAGCTGAAGTGAGAGGCCGCCAGCAAAACAACGTATTACAGCGCAGCCCAAGCGATGAGCGTCTCCGTATGAGCGTCACCTGATTTCAAACGGCTTTTATTAAATCCGTCCTGAAGGACAGGATCAATATCTATAGCACAGTCGAATGCGTCAACCGTATTGAACACTGTACCTACACTCATGCGGCCATCATACAAGGATGTATAACTTATCTTAGACTCGGAAATGCATCTTTTGACCGCCATGTTAGATGCAGTCATTTTTTTTATTTTTCCAGGAATAATGTTTGGCGAGAAGGAGCAAGATCGCGAACGAATTTGGTTTGTTCGGTGTGTTGGCCATAACGGATAATAGAAGCCTTATTCTATGTCTTCTTAAAAAGTGCTTCTTTTTGAAGGAATGATCTTGCTTGGCCTTTCAAAGAGCGCCTCGGTCTGCTTGTCCGTGTCGTCGTCCAGGTCCACCCTCGGTGGAGTTCTGGACATGGACTCGCATTAAGAGCCTGGTCGCAGCAAATGAGCGCGACGCAGGATTTCGCCCAATGGTACGGCCGACAGAACTTTGAAATTGACTTAATGTAATAAGTCGCGTACCAGTCGGCAGCAATGAGGAGGAACCCCAAGTTCAGGAACCAGAGTCTGAATACAAACTACAGAGACCAAGTTAGAATGAGATATATCAACTGGGAATAACACTTACAAACAAGGTCCTTTTGAAGACTACATCTCTTGTGCATTAAGATCAAAAGAATAATGGACATTAATTACAGGGACATGGAGATGCAACAGCACATTCGGGCTAGGGGTCTGGTAGGGCAAAGAGACTCTGTCTTGACTCCTGTGCATAGATCGAAGGCATTGAGAGGCGCTGTTCTTAGCCCTCCGCGCTCGATCGTTGCTTGAAAAAGATGCTGATATTGAAGGTCAGGACTGCGGTGTGAGAGACGGATGGAGGCAGGAACACTTGTTGGACTATTGTGGCAGAGGTTCAGGCACACGGCTCCCGTCTCTACTCTTGCTTGGCAATTCGTGTCAGAGGAAAGTACACCACAGACAGTTACATTGTAATGGAACAAGGTATGCATGTCGCGACTTGGGAGGCTGTGGAAGTCAAGCGTTGTGCAGGAGCAAACCTGCCAGAACCATTACGCCCCCATCCAAGTTCAACACTCTGTCCCTAATTGCATAACCGTCTGAATGTCCTGTTCCTATTTCGCCACCGTATTCAAGTTGTGCAGCTGGATCCCAGTCTTGAAGGTCCAGGGACGTAATCAATATTCAGTCTTTCAATGCCACTTGAGGGCGTACTTTGTCATTCGTTGTCGAAGCCACAGCATCAATACACGGGTTATTTTACCGTGTCATCATGTCCCGAGTGGTCCAGGAAGACGCATCTTGCTTCCTTGCGATGCAGCAGCCATCCCACGCTCATTTACTTCGTGAAAGTGTGCAACTGGATGGTGGGGCAATTAGTAAGCCGGTGTCTTTACGGTACGGATCTTTATGCTCCAGCAAGCGTCTGAAATGTTGCTTCGACAATGGCTCCTATGTAGGAAGTTGGCGAGACAGTTGTTTGCGAAAAAGCTCATCCCACTCCATCCCTCCCCGTCTCTCACTCTATACAGTATTCGAATCACTTCGACGGGAAATACTCTATTTCTTCGGAATCGGTACCTTCACCGAAAATAGACTGGCTTTTTGACTTTGATACGAAAGCTCGACATAGTCACATAGAACATAAAAAGGAAATCGGCGGAATAGGCGCCGGCGTATAATTATGCCGCGCTCCACGCGACCAACGCACGTTTCAAGGAAGGACAGTCTAGGACAAATACAGGAGGAAGTGATCGACAAGCCAGAAAGGACATTTGGGAACCAGATTCTTGATCGAAAAGAGCGTCGTTTGAAAGCTGAATAGAAAAATAGCATTTTGTCATAGTTTTACCGCTGCAAAGAAGGCTGCTCACTATTCTGCATGACTATTTTTCGCGCTTCCTCAACTAGAGTGCCTCGAAGGTGCTATATAAACATGCAAGCTAGAACAGAAGGTAGACTTGTGAGCTGCTCCTCCTCCTTGGCTCAATGGTCACGACATGGCCTATCAATTCAGGCTTCGCAGCGCAGGCTTTCAATCCGCAAACAAACCGGTATGGAATCTGGAGAGCACGAGGGATTATTTGCTTTTGAAGGCGAAACCTTGAGATGTCGAAAGTGTTCCTTCAGGCCGCAGTGATTCTATATAAAAATTAATAAAACCCTCGTTTTTCTCTTCGCGTGGTGATGAGCGTATTACAAGAATAAAAGTAAGGCAGTTCGGGGTTGAATTACAGGCAATTATTAACGGGGAACCATAATGATAATTTTAGTTGTGCACAAAATGAAAGTATGGGCGACCAGCTGTGGATATTGAGTGGGTGAAATGAGCCCGACTTACACAGGAGTAGTAGATCTTTGAACGAAGAAAGCGCGTCGAACGCATGCTCTCGGGGAACACGTTTCTGCTGGTATGCGAAGTGTTCTGTCTGAACCTTAGAGCATCGATGCTGTATTGAAAGAGCCAGGCATGGTGCGCGTCGCCTTGGGTGCTTATGGGGTGCCGTCTGTCGACTGGCGATGCGAAACAAGAGTCAGGATTGGACAGAACTATGAACTTGAGAGCCTTAGAGCAGATAGGATTGGAAGCAACCAACAACAGCGTCGGCAAGATTTAGTCAAGGGGCCGCCCATCTTTTTGAATGGGTTAGGCTGTACTTCTTGCGGGTTCTATTGTTATGGAGCTAAAGAAGTAAAACAGGAAATGAGGTGGGTGCATGGAAAGAAAAGTGAGCAGATTTCAGATTCCTCTTAGTGCTCTTTGTCCTACCATGCTTTGTAAGGTTCACAACATGCAGCCATGCAGCCATGCAGCCATGCAGCCACGCAAACGAAGCATCATTAGATGAACGTACTCTGTACATGTGTCCATCTCGTCCATCTATCTTTATCGTCAGGGTGCAAACTAACTCACTGTCCCACACTTGCGCCACCGCTGGCATCCAAGCAAGGAAGGGGGGGAGGGGGGAGAGGCGGGAGGTGTGTTCATTATTCTCCGCATCCTGCTTGGGTCCAATGTAAACCACATTCATCCAAGACAATTGACACCGCTCAGGAGCAACGCGATCCATTTTGTCCTCTCGGAATATAGATAGCTTTCACACGGTGGACAGATTGTACGATAACACCCGTATCTGGATGGAGACACCCAGCAAGTGAAGAAAAAAGATGCCGACGAGGTTTTAAGTTGCTGTTACTCCATCCAGTGCTGTTGTTAATCAGTCTTCTCGCGCGGCTCTCTTTTTTTTTTTTTTTTTCATTCTCTCGCCCACAAGGTTTTATTACAAAGACAGAAAATAAACCAGGCCCCAGCAGAGATCAACATTCCTCTCCTCGGCACCAGGAACGAGAGAAAGCATAAAAAGATTGCCTGCGCGCACTTCTCGCCCCTCGTTACTTCCTTGTCACCCCACCAACCCCTGTCCTTCCTGTCCTTTCCAGGATCCCTTCCCCTTACCCCTTCCCTCCACCCGCCTCCCCCACGACCCTTCTGTCTTCCAGTGCTCCGTCATGAGAACATTCACCATTTCCTGCCTCCTGGCAGCGGTCTCCATCCAGGCGACCCTCGCGCAGGTCCTGATCGCCCCAGAGACCGATATGAACTCCACCACCCTTCCTAGCGGTGCTACCACCGCCCCGACTCCTTCCCCTTCCAGCACCAGCGCCGCTAACACCCGCGTGTCCGCCACCGCGACAAGCAGCCTTATCCTCAACAGCGTCCAAGCTCTGGTCGATAACAATCTTGAGGTTGGTGGCGCCAACTTCCCCTTCATCCTCCTCCCCGATCAGCGCATCGCTGCCCGCAGTGCCGCCTCCTGCGGCAAGTTGGGTGAGCTCCTTTTCTCGGCCCAAAGCCGCACCCTGTCCTCGGTCCAGAAGATGTTGGCCCAGAGTGCACCCAACGCTACCGAGTTCTGGATCGACACCGGTGCCAGTGACCCGAACTACATTACCAAGTGCGACACTTTGGTCATGAACAACGGTCAGGCCACTATTAAGACCGGTGGCTCCTGCTTGCGTCTCTTGCCCGCGCTCTGCTCCAATATCAATACATCGGGCAAGGTCACAGTCAGCACCAGTCTTGGTCTCGTCACCGGTGCCCGTGACCCCATGGGCTTCCGTTTCCAGGGTATCCGATACGCCAAGGCCCCTGTCGGCTCCCTGCGTTTCGCTGCCCCTGTCCCTATCACCACCAGCTGGATCAGCGCCGTCGATGCCACTGCTCCCGGTAACAAGTGCCCTCAGCTTGGCGACGTTCCTGGCGGCAACGAGGACTGCCTGTTCTTGAACGTTTTCACCCCCAAGCTGAACGCTGATAAGAAGAGCCTGCTCCCTGTTATGTTCTAGTAAGTCTGGCAATACAAAAGAACCTGAAATGCAATAATACCTTGTACCACCATGAACTAACCAGGCGCGCACATATTCCCCTATTGATTGCTACATGAACAAACAGCCTCCACGGCGGTTCTTTCACCACCGGCACCGGCACCGACCCCGCCTTCAACCCCGCCAACATGGCCAGTCGTGGCCAGGTTGTCGTTGTCACCATCAACTACCGTCTCGGTCTCCTCGGTTTCTTCGAGCGCGTCGATGCCGGCATCAGCCGCTCGACCGTTCCCGGCAACATGGGTGTCCGCGACATGCTTGTCGCCCTCAAGTGGGTCCAGGATCACATCGGCGACTTTGGAGGTGATGCTTCCAAGGTCACCATCTTCGGTGAGTCCGCCGGAGGCCACGCTATCCGCACCCTCCTGTCCATGCCTGCTGCCACCAAGAATCTCTTCAGTGCTGCCATTTCTCAGTCCGACCCCATTGACCTCCCCTTCAACGACATCAAGACTGCCTCGACCGTCATCGGTGGTGGTGCCATGACTCTCCTCAACTGTGCTGATCTTGCTTGCATGCGTTCCAAGAACATCTCTGATATTTTGAATGCCCAGACCACCATTGTCGGTCAAGCTATCAACATGGCCCCTGAAGAGTCCTTCCTCGAGCTGATCAAGCCCTCGATCGACGGCCTTCTCATCTTTAACAACTTTGACCAGTTGATTGCCGGAAAAGACGGAGGCATCCACAAGGCTCCCCTGATGATCGGCACCATGAAGAACGAGGCCATCGGTTTCCTTCCCAGCTTGGGTCAGTCCACCCCTATGCCTCCTACCGTCTTTGGACTCACCCTCGGCACTATTCTCGGCTATCAGCGTTCCATGGTCACCATTGGCTACAATCTCTACCCGATCGATGGCTCCAACCCCGACGGTGTTCGTGAGGCCGAGGGCGACTTTGCCTCTGATTACCTCTGGATCTGCCCAACCCAATACCTTGCTAAGGCCTATGCCGCTTCTGGTCTTGATGTCTACCAGTATCAGTTCCAAAAGGGCTATAATCCCAACCGCCCTTCAGGCGATCTCTGCGCCAACCACGTCTGCCACGGTGATGATGTTGCTCTCGTCTTTGCCAGCCCTGCTCTGATGAACGATCCCGAGCACTACCCCTGGACCGCCGCCGATGCTGCGCTCTCAAGAATGGTCATGGACCGCTGGACGGCCTTTGCCACCACTGGCGGTAACCCCAACCCCACTGCCTACGGCGGCGACAGCTACCCTAGCTGGCCCAAGTACAGCAGCAGCAACCAGAACGTTTATTTGTTCGACACCACCCCCTCCGTCTCGGCTGGAGGTCTCCGTCCTCAGTTCTGTGGATTCTTCGATCAGGCCATCCACTATGACTTCCAGCTGTAGATGTCCTCTTCCTTCTCCTCTTTCTCGTCATCTTTTGAACATATGCTCCATTCTTTTGCTAGCCGCTCCTGCGACACATAATGTTAATAAATTTTATTGGAATATGCACTGGCAAAAAGGAACACATGGTGGACGCGACACAAGGAAACAATCATGGATTGTAAGAGAGGATGTGTATTAGAGGAGAACGAGATCAGGTAAAGACGATCTGCAGGTGCAATAGTGTGTTAAAAAAAGGACTGGCCGAGGTAACCCATTTATTGCTGCTTGCACTCTGGGGCCTTCTCGCCCTTGGCGGGGAGATCATCATCGTCATCATCCTCGTCATCATCGTCATCGTCACCCTCCTCTTCCTCGTCGTCTTCGTATTCAAAGTCATCGTCGTACTGGTCATCGTTATCCTGGTACTGCAGAGCCTTGCCGGTGAACCAGTCGATGGCACGAGGAACAATGCTGTCCTTGAGCTCCTCACCCAAGCCATAGTCGGCCTCCAGCTTCTCATCAATATCCTCGTCTTCATCATCAATCTCATCCTCATTCTCGGGTGCGACTGGGGGAGTGAAGAAGGAGAAGAAGGTCTCGGCTGGGACTGTCTTCTTGACCACGCGAGTCTTGTTGGTTCCCTTGTGGCGCTGCTTCTTAGTCTCAATAGTAACCGAGAGATCCTTGCCCTCCTTCCACTCGATCTTGGTGCCCTCAGCATGGTCGTAGACAAAGTCGCCGCCATATCCGAGCTCCTCCTGGTAAAAGTAAGTCTTGGACAAGGTGGTGTTGGTGAAGTACTCGTTGGGAGAGAACTCAAAGTCCAGGCGGAATCCAGGCTTCTCAAAGTACGACAAGCGAATGTCGACCAAGTGTTTCAATGCGTCCTCGTCCTTCTCTGTAATAACATCGGTGAACTGAGGATGGGACTTCAGGACAGTAAGCCAGAACTCGGGGATACCTAATTGTGCATAAACAAAGGTCGGTTGCCACTTAGGTCAGTACGTCCCATAGAAGCGGATCCAGAAGCAAACTGCAATGAACATAAGCATGTATTTCTTCGTGTTACCTTCGACCTTCTCGGAATCCTTCTCATCGTCATCTTCCTCCTTCTCCTCTTCTTCCTCCTCGCCATCGCTGACGCCGTCTTCGACCTCGGCATCGGTGGGCTCGGCCTTACCGTTGACGTACTCGGAACGCTTTTGGTAGAGAGGAGTGTAAAGCTCAAGATACTTCTTCTCCAGAGCCAAGATCTCCTTCTGGAAGTCAGCCTCGAGGGCGGCGTGCTTGTGCTGGAGCGACTTCAACCCCTTGACGCGGCGACGGACATCAGGGCCCAAGGTCTGGAGATAGCCTGAGGGGGCGCCGACCAAGCCGCCGAGACGACCCTGCAGCATGGAGAGGAGCTGAGGGTTGCTAGCGAGAATGTTCTCGCGGGTTCCTAAGTCAGTCATTTGGAAGGTTGTGATTGAGGTGTTCGTTAGAAATGTATAGGCAAAAAGATCAAAAAAAGAAAGATAAATGTTAAGCACCAGGTATCCAACTCAAAAAAAAAATTTGTTGGGGAGGGTGAAGAATCCAAAGAATAAACCCAAGAGCAGGCGAGGACATCCAGCAGACGCGCCTTCAGACTCAACATACACGCAATTATTGTGCACAGTTCACAACAAAAGGTCCAAAGAAGGGGCGGTGCTGATAGTGCAGGAAGGAAAGGATAGGAAAGGAAAGCAGACGGAAGGAACGTTTCTGCATCATGTCATGAGAATGAGATACAGAGATAACAGCTGCATACCTGGGGTCTGGATGGTCTCCATATCTTCTTCACTAGCTGGCACAGAGGGATTGATAGGCGCGGAGAAAATGGGCGTATTCTGGGGCGTGGGGGCTTCCTGCTGCTGCTTCTTCTTGATATCAACGTTGGCTATGAGTTTACAGAAGGCAACGCAGTGTTAGGTCGGGGAAAACTTCATTCTCGTTCGACATATTCGTGCTTCGCTATCAGCTGTCACTCTGCAGCTGAGGTTGGTCCGAGCTTTGCAGCCTTGCTTGTAGTAGCGCGTTTTAGTTGCTGAATAGTGGCGCGAGTGATAGCATTGCTACTATTAGACATCCATTGTCCTGCGAGTGTTGCATCCTCTTCGACCCATTTGTTGATCATCCAAGGCTTGATGGCGTGTGCGTTGCTTGCCGAGTCGTGTTTTCATCCCCAGCTGTAGTCCAAGGTGTTGCATTCAGTAGTCCCCTACGATAGTTCCACCGCAGCAACAAGCAGTTCGACCCCAAGGCACCTTTACAGTGTCTTCATTGTCTGATTGTTATGAGGATGTAATAGAAAGGAGGAGGATGCTGTTGCTTAGTTACCTGAAGACTGATCCATTGCTGAAGGAGGGTAAGGGCTGGCGAGTGAGGCTCGATGTTAAAAAGTTTTCTTTTTGCAACTCAGCGAACAAAGGACAAAAAGTAGCAGGCTCAAAGGTCAAAACGTCGCTGGATCGCATGGGCTGCATACGCTCAATCCAGCGTTGAGCGAAGTCGCGTTACTGATGCCCCTCACATATCCATCCCATACCTCCCATTCCTGGCCCCACCCCACACTCTCTGAGACCTTGGCAAGGCTTTTTTACTTTTTATTATAATAGGAACTAGATAGTATGAATGATGCTGGATATGATGTGACATGGGTGAGGCGTACGAGTATTGTCCCGCTGTTCCGATGCAATGTGCTTGCGACGCGTTCTCCTCTACTTCAAAGTCACCAGCTTGACCTCAAAGACCAATGTGGCATTGCGGGGGATTGATGGAGGTGCGCCCTTCTCGCCGTATCTATCCATTGACAATGATAACAGAGAGAGGCAGAATCAATTACCAGCCATAATAAAGTACGTGCATCGAGCGTCTGAGTTAAACAGCACTGCTTTCAGTTCGTCGTGAATCGAGCAGTAACTTACGCAAGGGTTGAAGGAATAGTCAGACGGCGCTCACCACCTAATTGCATGCCCTGAATACCAAGATCCCATCCCTTGATAACCTCGCCACGGCCCAAGTTGAACTGGAAAGGCTTCCCGCTCGTATTCTTGTCAAAGACCTTACCGTTGGTGAGACGACCGATGTAGCGCATACCAATCTTTTTCCCTGCCTTAGCGCGAGCGCCATTTCCAACCTTGACATCTTCGATGATCAGGCCGTTGGGAAGGGTCTTAATGTTGTCCTTCTTGCCCTCTTCCTTCTTCTTGGGTTCTTCCTTATCCTTGGGTTCCTCCTTCTTTCTGTGTTCCTCCTTGGCCTTGACAGGAACGGCCTTCTCCTCGGCCACCTTTTGCTTCTTAGCTGGAGGCGGTACGGGTTCAACAACGAGCTGTTTCTTCACTGTGGGTACCTCCTCCTCTTCCTCTTCCTCCTCGTCCTCGTCTTCGTCGCTGTCCGAGTCATCCTCATCATCGTTTTCTCTCTGCTCGTTATCATCATCTCCGTCGTTATCTTCGTCGTCTGAATCTTCGTCTTCATCTTCGTCATCCTCTCCTGTAAAGTCTGGGTCCTCCTCCGAATCATCGTCGTCCTCCTCATCGCCGTCAAAGTCAGCAATACGCTTGGCACCCTTGGCCATAAGGATCCTGATCGCCTCGTCTTCCTCGTCCTCGTCATCATCCTCATCATCCTCATCCTCATCATCCATGTTGCCCTCTATATCCTCCTCATCGTAATCCATACCCTCATCCTCAGGCAGGTAGTTTCCTGAAAGATGGACAGCGCTATAGTTGAATTAAATTGCAGTTAATTGGTATTAGAATCACCTTCCTTCTTAACATGATCGACACAAATAATGCATTCTTCGGCCTCTTGTCACTTACTTGTCACCAGAAACAGAGAAACTGATCTCCTCTCCCTCAGTGAAAACCAAGTCCAGGTTCTGCTGCTCGATTTGGTCGGCAATCAGCGAGCAGAGAATAAATGTCTTGTTATTGATAGTGACGCGAATGGACGAACGACCAGGCTTAGTCTCTTCGTCCAAGGCAGCCTTAATGATAAGAATCGCACGAAGAACCAGAAATCAGTATATCAATTTGATGTATTCCTCCTCATCCTTGAAGACGATCCGAAGCCATTAGTGGCTCCTGTAACATACCATGGACAACTTGAAGGAGTCCTCGACAATTTGTGTGTATGTCTTTTCAGGAAAGACTGTCAGACCTAAAAGCGGGTGGCGACAAAGGAGGAACGTAGTAACAAACGCAGTGTCAGCTGAGATTCCGTTCGTCGTATCCTAGTGAAATTCATTAGCCTCATGAATCCAAATATGTTTTGATTGGCCACTCCTGTTGAGTTGTCGCCATGGCGTACCCCAGAATCCCAGAATCATTGTGAATGGATGAGCTTGAAAGTGAGGTGAGGTTTGGAAGCACAGAAAGGATAAAAAAAAGCGAAAAGCGAAAAGCGAAAAACGGTCCACATCAGCCACCAAACACCATCGTAGCAATGGTGGCATAAACGAAGAAATAAAAGATATCTTACACATGGACGAAATGGAGCATGGTATGCTTTGATGGTCTTTATTCTACACAGTGCAAAGGATGTCTTCCTCGCCATTCTCTTGTTCTAAATGCTCCCATGATTTCCTTCAAACGTAACCTTTATACCCTCCCTCCAGTCTTCTCAGCAGATGCGACGATGTCCTCCAATTTCGAGCCCAAGCGGATGACGGCGTGACGGAGAACGCGAGGGTCGACCTTCAGTCGCTTGTTCAGTTCACTGACGGCGGTAGGATTCGCATCGAATTGCATCGTCCATTGGCTAATGAATGATTGGATATCAAGGTGCGCTTGGTTAACACTTGCTTTCAATGAAACCGCAATCCCGCTTAAACACAGCATCAAGGCGCCTCAGACATACAAGCCATTTATATGATACTCCTGATGCTTTTTAATGCGGTACGGTAATTGCTTCTCTCCGAGAGGCTTCAAACTTCTGACGACGCCTCCTTTATTCATGACAACCAAGGATGTCTGCTTGACCAAATCCTTCAAGTTGGCCTAAGGTGATCAAAGCATAAGATGATATTAACAATTCAGTTTTGCGAGTTCAATTGGCGTCAGTCTTTCTGGTCAGTGGCAGTTTTAAGGACAGCAGGGGAGCAGATGCAGTTGGAGGATCCAGTTTACTGGTTGGGTCGTTCCTGCTTTAAAAAAAATCCCGGACGTCGCAGCAAGGGACGTCATTGATATTTGTCATCCATAGTCTCTAAGGCATCTCGTGCGATTAAGCGCAGAACTTTTCCTGGCGGATTCCGTGATCAACATCGCGAGGTTTAGAAAGATGTACCCTGTTATCGATCTGAAGGGTGATCTCCTTTCTTGCTGAGTTGAGACGCCCAATCCGTGATCCTGAAGTTATAGTTGACGGTCCAGGAGTTTCATACCTCGACAAGGCGTGTCCTTGAGATGCAGAAGAGCTCGTAAAAGACCATGGTATGTATGTTTCTGGAGAGCCGGGGTTGATGAATAACGGAACGATTGGGCGAAGCGATGTGCTACCGGATCATATAGTCGCCTTGTTTATTCAGAGCTACCCCTGGCAGCAGTGGGAATGACTGCTCTTCCCGTGGCTTTTTCATTTCCCCACGTTCGGATCAGTGGGCATAGAAAGGCAAAGAAAAGTCTGGAACGGATACTCGCGCACTCGTTCCTCTTCTCTGCAACTGTTCTCCAGCTCAATCATAAATCGCATTACACAATTCACCATGGTAAGTCGTGGAAATCCTTGCATGACTCTTGCTTGGCGGTTCGCAATGTGTCAGCATATAACGCCAACAGGATCCCAGGAACAGCACGATCAGCTTGCCTGATCAGTGTGACCCTCACACTACAACACCGGCAGGCCTTGAACTTTGGAGTGAACTGGTTCAACACAGTGTATCGGCCCTCCCGGGGTTTGCGTGGCTCTTTAGCTATCTGGACGACGTGCGTCTGCACCTCGATGGCTGGCTCGTATCCACGTTTGAGGTAGATCAAAGAATGCAGACTCACATCATCCGCGTCCTGCTCTTTATAGGCTTCCCGTATCACTAAGTTCTCCAAGACCATCGTCCCCATGATGGATCGTGTTCTTGTCCAGCGCATTAAGCCTCAGCAGGTATGCCATTTAAGAGGAAGCAATTGCATATAACACTGCTTCTGCTTCCGTGAATGGAGCGGAAGGTCGTAGATTAGGAACATGAAGCTGATTGTTTTTCTGTATGTCACTATGTCACTACAAACGAATAGAAAACCGCTTCCGGTATCTACATTCCCGAGAAGGCACAGGAGGCCTTGAACGAGGGTCATGTCATTGCTGTTGGCAAGGGACTGGTCACCCAAGTGAGTCCTTCGCTTTTGTCACCGACGCCGTCAATTGCAGAAAGAACAGATTGGAATAAATTACTGACATCGGTACTCATTTTCGTGCTTGCTGTAGGACGGCAAGCTTATTCCTTCGGAGCTCAAGGAGGGCGACAAGGTCCTTTTGCCTCCTTATGGCGGCAGCGCCGTCAAGGTCGATAACGAGGAGCTCATTCTTTTCCGCGAGTCTGAGATCCTTGCCAAGATCCAATAAATACTTTACTTGTCCGTTCTTTGCGCATATCAAATAAACTATCGTTCCTTAGCACTCAATTTCTCATATTATACTCATGGTATTGCTTACTACAGCGATGGCGGTTTGTTGTGCATGAGTGATGCGACACATGCGAATTAGATAAGTCGTTAACGGTATGTGCTATGCCTTGTAGGAGGCACGCAACCAGTCTTACCGCTATTGTGCAATGGGGTGTTAAGCCTAGTCACGGGTCAAGCGCACTTGAGGATACTCGGCGTGTCCCATAACACCACAGCAAAAAGAAAGTATATGGCTTATGCGTGCGACCGGGTAGCGCGGTTATGATCCTGAGGACCACCATTGTTTACTAGAAAGAAGGGTGAAGAAGACTGTTAAAAGAGAAATGGCGTGGACCAGGAGTCTGCATCTTTTTTACTGAAAAGGAAGTTTGTGACCACACGATTCAAAGCCTAGGTAGATTAGAAGATTGGAAAGGACGTGTCTCCTAAAACCAAGGCTGTTGTTTCTCCTTGCGTTCTGTTAATTTACTAGTTCGAGTGCTAATATGGGAGCTGGTTGCCAACTGAAAGTGGAAGGATACTAACTGCCACAATGAAGAGGAATGGATGATACGTAACAGGATGATCTGCTACTCCTTCATGCAGTCCTTCGTTCTATGCATGCTGCTGCAGCCCATAAGTCTACTATCTACTGCCTTTTAAAATCACCCAGAGAGGCAGTAGACAGTTCTCTCTAGATAATAATCAGCTCCATCTGACGTCGTTAGTCTTCTTGAAAGTCTTCACCTCGAACAATAAACCCCCTGTTGACAGGCATATTTACTAGCCTTTTTTCTTCTTCTTGCATTTAGCTGTCGCTACGGCCACTGTCATCCACCTTAGCCACCTCCTGTCCGCATGAACTTCCTCCTAGACCTCTCAAGGGGGTCAATGCTGTAGGAGCTCTCTTCCCTTCTCTTCCGTACTTTCCTGCATTCGTGAGTGCTTAAAAGTGATTTTTACCAGCAGAACCCGCTGTTCGCCTTTCATCCTTCCTCTTTCCTTATAATACTAGGTCTCTACCCCACATTTCCCTACGTACCTTCATATGTTTCATTGAATTGCCAGCACCAACATCAACAGAAAGCAACGAGGAATGGATACCACCGAGAGTGCTGGTGCTGTACACAGCATAATGACCACCAAGGCAAACCGCGCGACCTCAGATCTTCCGAACAACTACAACGGCTATAATATCGACAACAATACCCACACCGCCGGCAGCTCTTCATCAGTATCATTGACCATCTCAGAAGATATCAGCGAAGATACCCATGCGTTTCCTCGTTCACAATCTCGAAGGCCGTCTATTCCGTTTATTCAGTCAGTTGGACCTTCTCCACCGTCGTCGACTCCATCGGACACTCATGGAGAGAGTGGTCTGTTAGCCGCGGGAACAAAAGTCGCACCGTTGAAGAAATCTGAGGTCTGGGCATGGGTAAGGGGCACATTCATTTTGTTGCGCTGAGAACGACCAGTACTCTTTGTCTATAAATACCCACGGCGTAGCTAATGTCTGCAAACGTTTTGCGTGTCCTTTAGTATTTCCAAAATGCAACGTAAGAACAACTACCTCATAGTCGTACATTCCTATATCTGCGGCGAGAGCTTTTGGCATCATGATCATCCTCACTTCCTTTCTTCCCCCTCCCCCCCCCCCCCCCCCTCCTCCTTGCATATTGGTCCTCATGCATCGGAACATCTTCTTTTCCTCCATCTTCTAACTGATCATAGATACTGTGCATACGGATGGGTCAGCGCTGTGTTGATGGTTCCGCTATTGATCCAGGATGTCGCCGCCAGTGGAAGTGTCGAGGCGTCGAAGCATTCCATCCCTTGCGACACATCCGTACCAGATTACAAATGCGTGAAGCATATCTTTGGAGACATCTATCTTGATCCGGGGACGATCTCGCTCTACATCTCCAGTTTCTCGGCAGTTGTGTCCTTTATTGTGTCGCTGTCTATCGCGGCTGTGGCGGATCATGAAGGTACGGAAGCTAGCTCGTTATGTTCTAGGAGACCTCGATCAATAGTAGTTAATAGTGGATGTGTCTAACCGTCTCCTGTGCTTTGTTCTGGTTCCAGCATATAGGAAAAGGTTGCTGGTTGTGTTCGCGATCCTGGGATGTATAACGTCGGTTGCGTTTTTCCTTGTCCAGTCGGGACCTACGTTCTGGCTCACGATACTACTATCGCCTCTCGGCTGGGCTTGTTACAACGTCTCGTCCGTCTTCTCGAACGCGTTTCTGCCGATCTATGTCCGTGTCCACCCAAAGGTCCTCGAGGCCGCCGAGTGTGTGGAGGCGCACAAAATATTGCGGGCAATGGACGAGAAAAACAAGGCGCTGGCTCAGAATGCTGCAGCGGGCAACGTGATCCTCGCTACGAACACCAATAGTGACTATCACAGTAATCAACACAGTAAGAACATTAGTCGGACCAGCAGTGGCATCACGCAAATAGGAAACGTCCTTGTGTCTCCAGAGGCAACCAACGCGTCTGAATTTTTGATGACGGAGCAGCGCAAGGTGGAGGAACAGGTCTCGAACGACCTGTCGGCTCGGTGTTCGGGTGCTGCGAATGTGGGCGCGGTGATTGTGCAGGGAATCTGTATCGGCATCTCAGAGGGGATGCATGGTTCACTACTCAGTCTTCAGGTTGCTATTGCTTTCACAGGAGTGTGGTGGCTCGGATGGACGATTGCGGTCATGCCCTGGCTAGACGTTCGAGCGGGGCCGCCTCTTCCTAAAGGAAAGAACTGGATCACATACTCTTGGTCAAAAAGTAAGGCGTGTTTTAACCTAACCTTTTTAACTCAATGACACCTTGATCGCTGCGACCGACCTGCATGCTGTAGTTAATTAATGTTCACTCCCACCCGACCCTTCGCATAGATTACAAGACATTCAAGTCGATGCGGCAGCTGTCACAGGTGACAAAGTTTATCTTAGCCTGGTTCATCCTTTCGGACGGCGTCAACACGGTAGCGGCGTTACTGTACGTGATCACCTATCAGGACCTCAATTTCTCGCACACGAAATCACTCATTATGACCATCGTCATCTCCGCCATGGCGTTTGTGGGCGCTTACCTGTTTCTGTTTATCCGACAATTCTGGAGTCTGTCGACAAAATTCATGATCCTCTTGACTTTGGGATTGTACGGGATCTTGACAGCCTATTGTGTAATCCCATCGCATTTCACCATCGAACTTGGTCTCCGATACGAGTGGGAGGCATGGGCGGCAATCATGTACTTAGGCCTGATCATTAGTACGTTTTATGGCGTTGCTCGCGTGATGATGGCAGAGCTGTGTCCGGAGGGTGACGAGAGTGAGTGGTTCAGCCTGTTCCAGCTCGCAGACAAGGGGTCTTCATGGTAAGATTGCACATGTGCGCGCACAGAAGGGGGATTCTTCTATTTAACGACTTAACAAGAAACCTAATGGCAATGTTCGTACTTGTTTTGACACCGATAGGATTGGACCATTTGTAACGGGTGCTATCCAATCTGCCACGGGCGAGTTCAGGACAGGATTCTGGTTCCCTTTGGCGCTGTTCGCCGCAGGTGGGGCATTACTTTTGACGGTCGATATGGATAGGGGAAAAGACGAAGCGATTGCTTATAAGGCGAGGCAGCGTGCTAAACAACAGCAAATGGTCTCAATACCCCCTCTTATTATCATTACGGCAGCGGAAGACATAAATCGCCAGAACAGCTCAAGAGGCCCTGTATGGTTGTAAAATAACATACAAGTATATAATATTTAATGCAGTAAAAGTAATAAGAACTATTGTGTTATGGGATATCGGTAGAGTATGTATCTGGCTTTTATTCTTCTCGGTATCGTGTCACCATGGCATTACAAGGAGCTAGCCTGAAGTCAGCAAAAAGCGCGTTGATAATGGGAAGGGGGAATCGCTGCCTGGATCTTTTAGCAGACCATGCCAGAAATGCGGGTGGGTCGCTCCGAGTGATAGTGAGGTACATTCGGATCGGCTGTGGGTCGCTTCTGGGCCATGATCTGCTTGCTCAAATCTAGTATTTTGTGCGCGAACTTGTCCGCGTTGGCCAAGTATGACTCCATCGTGCCCAATGCTAAATATTATCCCAATTGCACGTTCGTTAGCATATGTGCATCAAAGATAAAAATAAAATAAAAAAGACCCCTCCAAGTGAGCACATGCATGCGATGGACTTACAATGCTGAGGGACAAGGACCACATTTTCAACGCCCAAGCGACGCAGCTGATCCCTCCAAGCCAGCCGCCTTTTCTGAACCGCGCTCGAGGCACGACCATACCGTCCCGTTTTGAAACTCGCATAGTCCTCTGTCGAGTATCCCTCATCCTTGATTTCTTCTTCCAGAACCTGCTCCTGAGTCTGCCCTCCATCCGTCGCCGAAACATCCTCATCAAAGTCGTTCGAGGGAACCACGATGGCAACGCCACCCAGTTGAATCGGTGCTTCCTGGTCCGAGACTGGTGCCACTGCTTTTTCGAGCCAGCTCAAGAACTTTTTTGTCCGCTGACCGTCATCATCACCAACACTCGTGTGGATCAAGATCTGTCCCTGCAGAGACTTTCGCACCTGAATTGAGGCCGGATTCTCGAGCAGGTCCTGGTCATCGAGGATGACCATAAAATCGGCCTGTTGAGCGACCGTGGTCAGATCTTTGACATTAGTGGCACGGCCGTGGGTCATCATGTGCAGGCGAGGAGTGTGGGCGACGACGCGCATGCCAAGGGCCTGGGCGAGGATACCAGTTTGATGACCGCAGGTTTGGTTGGATTCAAGGCCGAGGATGCCGATGGTTTTGTTGCGAATCTCGTGGCAGTTGGTGTGATCCTTGTTCCAGATGCCGGCGTGAGTCTGACGATTGCGGGTCAGGAGTTGGCGAGAGAGGATGATAGTGAGCGAGATACAGAGCTCGCTGACGGCATAGGGCGAAGGGGTCGAGTCAAGGGCCAGAATAGGAATCTGTGTAAGTGGAAAAAATAAAAAATAAAACTTGATTAGCAATTGAAATAAGGGCAGTGTTAAGGCTAAAGAGAGAAAGAGAATACTTGCATGACTAATAGTCAGGGCCGAGGCGACACCTCCTTCAAAGCAGACGATGGCATGAAGGCGCGAGGTAGGCCAGTAGGAAAGGAGGTAGGAGATGATCTCGGCAGTCTTGCGAGTGCGGATGGCGATAAGGTTGCAGTAGCTCATACGAAGTTGGATCTCGGCGTAGGATGCCTTGTGGGCATCGAGGAACTCGAGCTGGATGCCACCAGAAGCTAGGACGTCCTTGCAGGACTGGGGCAGGTCATCGAGAATGAGCATGGTTGGTCGAAGGGTGTCGCAGGAGGGCATGGCTGGAATAGTGATGGTGGAGTGGGGATGATGGGATGATGGGATGGAGTGAAGGAGTGTGATGATTTAAGCTAACTTTAGAAATAAAAGCGATGGGGAAAAAGCTCGCTGCAAAGAATGGGGTCGTGTGCCAATTGCCCCCCTCGTGCGTACCTGAGTCTGGACCGTCGGAAAAAAATTCCTCTTTTGTGAAATTCACCGCGTCCTCTCGCACTGGGAACAAAGGCATGCAGGGGCAATCAGTTGGTATCCAGGAACCAGCGCCACCAACTCGGATACGAGGACTGTGCTTTTCTATTTATGTCAATCTAGCCCAATTGGATGTGTGGAGGGGCAATCGCATAATTCGTCATTTCCCATTCGCCGCTCGTCAGCAGCGAAGGACTTTTACCATTTTTACCCTGTTTGTGCTCCTTTGCTCCTTCTTTTCTCCACCTTCCCTGCTGTACTTCCCTTCCACACCTCTTTTTTCCTCTTCTTCTCTCAACAACACCCTTCAAGCTGGACTACTCTACTCCCACTCGCTTCAATACTCCGCCTATGTGTCGCATGCTCCTCTACAAGGGCAACCAGCCCATCCAGCTGGCCCATGTAAATATCAACATCAACACCAAACACCAACTTCGATTGCACACACTCGTAGCTTCTCGTGTATTTACATCCTTTGCTGACCTTTTACATCCTCTCCTTTCATCTATCTCTCCATAGCTCTTGACCAAACCAGCTCACTCAATCATCAACCAGTCCTTCGACTCAAGGCTCCGTCTCGACACAAGGCGACCCATCAATGGTACAGGGCACACTCCCTCACACAAACTACGCCCATGCTAATTGTCTTTTTGTGTTCGTCGCTTCGTCAACCATAGCTAACATTCCCCAATTATCTATGACCCCTCTTCCTGCTCTTGTTTTAGGCGACGGATTTGGAGTTGGTAAGACACCATTGCTATTGGGCTATACTCGGACAATGATCTTCTCAGTCAACGACGCCAACACTTTCCCCTGAAACTGAGCTTGGACCTCTTGGATAAAGAATGAAAAAAAAATCCATTCCTCAGAGATAATTGTTGGCTTCTGTGCATGCTAACATTCGTTATTGTCCTGGAAAATTGTCTTTAGGATGGTATGAGTCACAGCCCGATTCAGAGCTAGGTGCCGCTCCATGCATCTTCACCTCGGTGACCCCTGCATGGAACAATATGAACCTAATCCGACTCGCTGAAAAGATCAAGAGCCCGCTAATCTTTGCCCACGTACGAGCCTCCACAGCCGGATCCGTCTCGGAGAGTAACTGTAAGCAAGCCAGGTCGATTGAAGTCGAAGAATAGCTGGCGAAGGAATCAGTATTTAATCATGCTTTTTTCTTGTGTTCTCTATAGGCCATCCATGGCAATATGGACGACTGATGTTTATGCACAATGGAAATATTGCCGACTTTCATTTAGTAAGAATCGTTTGTTTGGCTGTAATTCGGGTTGTCTGGACGAAAAGGATTTCAGACTAATCAGACATTTCGCCTTGTCTCCACCCTCCAGATCAAACGTAAAGTGCAGGAGTCATTGCGGGACGAGATCTTCTTGACAGTGAACGGCAATACGGATTCTGAATGGGCGTTCGCAGTCTTTCTCAACCAATTGAAGACACCACACCAGGCAGAACCATTCTGCCACCGCGACCTCAAGGAGGCCATGCTCCAGACGATCGCTAAGCTAAACGCATGGGGCAAAGCTGCGGGAATCACAGAGGCCTCGATGATGAACTTTGCAGTAACAGATGGTGTCAGCGTCGTTTGCTCACGGTACATCAGCTCCAGGACTTTAGAGGCAGCCAGCCTTTATTTTTCTTCTGGCACCCGGTTCGAGAGCTACAAACCAGGACACTATCGAATGATCAAGGCGGATAGGCGAGAGGATATTGTCGTGATTGCATCGGAGCCCCTGACGTTTGAGAAGGCTGACTGGCTTACGATACCGACCAATAACTTGATTGTCATCACCTCAAAGCTGAATGTGCTCATGTATCCGATTCTGGATGAGTTCTATAACCCCTCACCTGTGGCGCGCGTACCGGAGCAAGCGTCAGTCGCTGTCGTTCAGGGAGAGGGTCGAGATGATGGGGCTCGTGGATCACAGAACCGTGAGGTGGTTTTTGTTGAGGACAAGCGCTCGCTACCAACTGCGCTCCCAGATTCCTCTACACAGACACCACCAAGATTGGAATCTTCGGCGCCTCCAGTCAGTCCCTCTTTTAAATCAAATTTGTCTACGCAGGCAAGGGATGTTGGCGCACAGACGGCCGTTTCATCTACACCATCACCTTTGATGGTAGCTTAGATTGCTGAAGCTGTTAATAAAAACTTGTATTGTACTTTTAAACATATTCTATGTGTCTAAGGTCTAAAGAATAGCTCAAAGAAGGAGTTCAAGCTACGTTTCTATCAAGATGTTCCTTCCGGACATACTCCCGCCAATGGTACAGGAACGTCGTCTCACCATCCTCTCGTCCCCATTCTTTAGCCTGCCGGCAGTCGACCAGACCTATCTTATCCATCCAGAAATCGAAATCCGCAATCACGTCCGCATGGGTTTTTCGGATCGGGAACATGATGTGGAAGGCAGGTCGTCGCCGGGCCAAGGGGATTGCGATGTCCTCCGAGATCAGGTCTCGCTTGAGATACTCGTCCACAACGTGTGCTACTAATTCTGCGTGGCCATGGTCGTACACGATCTCCGCGCCCAGGATCAAGTCCATTCGATCCTGCTCTGAGATCTCCTGATCTGAGTCTGCCTCGACAGCAGAGGGTGTCTTGGTGACATTGTCGTACTCTGTTGTGGGCTGCTTGCCATTGCTGGTGTCGCTGTTGTACTGCCAGGCATTCTGACGACGCTTCCGTCTCTGGAGGATATTACGCCAGTCGAGCAATCGAATGTCGCATCTGAGATCGAGGTGGTTCAGCGAGCTATTACGACGAAGGGTCGAGATCACATTGGGGTGGTAGTCGGACAGAATCACTCTGGGTCCCTGCGGGTTCGAGACAAGCGTCGCAGCAAATCCGACGAGGCCTGTTCCGCTCCCGAGCTCAAGGGTCTTGGGAAGGGGTAGTGATGCGGCTAATGAAGAGGGAGATGAAGAGGTCCATGGCTCGAGCTGGGGTATATCGCCATGGACAATGTGCCTAAGGAAATTGTTATCATTGGATACAGAAGATCGTAATTAGTCTATCCATTTGTGTACAAAAATAAAAACGTACACAAGCATATGTATACAAACATGCAGTGCGTTCATTCGTCAATAGATCAGGAATTTTTTAAAAACGAAGACGATGATCCTTCAGGGGATGCATCTCGATGATGCGCCACCCCTACTCCTGAGGTTTCACCTCCTGTACTGTTCGCTCAAGATTCGTCCAGGCACTTACTTTGATAGCAGATAAGCAGATCCGAAGGTCTTGAAGCCCACATCGCCACCAATAAAACTTGGATCGTGGATATGGAGCGACTGCGGCGGTGTAGTTTTGTAGGTCCAGGTTCTAGTCATCGCTCCAGAGGCAGCTCGTCCACAGAAATGAGTCAAACAGGATGCTACCCGCTCTGTGAGGATCTCATGCTGTAACCGGTACTCGGCCTCCTGTGGGGTCTCTTTCGTGCGGACCGCTGTCTTTTTAGCCACAGAGCCCATGTCCGCCCCTTCATCCCTGTTGTTGTCCAGCTCCTCTTCATCGTCGTCCTCCTGTGGTGGTGCAGCCCCTTCCAGTTTGGCCAACAACCTCAGGAGCCACTGCATGTTGGCATGATATTCTGCCAGGTTCTCGCCCTGCCGGAACTGGTGCAGCGTTGGGTCTTCGATCTCGTTTCCGTCTTGATCCAGTCCTTGGTCAATCCTGTCCTGTGAGTATTTGTAAGTGATCCTGTCCTCTAGCGACTTGAGTCGAAGCAGCGATGAGGCAGGGAGGATAGAGGGTATGGTGGCAGAAACTGGCATGGTGTGTCCTGGAGGGAACGATTAGGCGGTTGTGGGTAAAGTGAAGGAGAAGAACAGAGGAACAAAGAGACGAACAGGAGAGGGAATGTTTTTTAAAGTTGAGCTCCGAACGGCTAACATTCAGTTCAGGGTCAAGCCACTTCTGCAGCTTAGTTTTATTGCACATCCGATTGGCCTTGCCCACTTTCAATTGCAGAGCACCCTATCGGCAAAGTAGCCCGCTTCCTCCCCAGAAAGAGTCGCTCACATCCATCGCATGTGCCACCGCGCACAGACAGGGATGTATCAGATAAATAATCTGAAAAATACGTCCTCCTGTGCTCAACATACTTCGCCTGCCTCCACTTAAACCCTGCTCGCCGTTGCATCAATTCCTCTTGCCAACAGTCTGCGAATTGGTATCAGCCGCGACAGCCGAGAGTAGTGATGATGACAAAGTAAGTCGACGTAGTCAATTCGGAGTACCAAGGCGAGAGGGAGATAGCAAAGGACCTGATGGGGGGACGGTGACACGAATGGCACAGAGAAACTGTATCCGGCTCCTGGCTGGTCCAATGTGTGAGGTTCCTCGGCGATTGGACTGAACTGCATGTGAGACCATGCAGGCAAGGCTGCTGTCGCGACCGCTGTTAGTACGGCCCTTGTTGACACTATGGTATCTGCGCCTGTGATAATATTGGTTGTGTCGATGTTAATGCGGATGTATCGACAGGCATACGGAGGAGGCGAGGACGACCCCGTCTGCGAGGTTCAGTGAGTTTTCTCTGGAAGTCGTCCGGGATGCTGGGTTGGATAAACTGGAACTTCTCTTTATTAGTGCTGCTGCCGCTGTCGTTTCTTTCGGACTTTGCCTTCCGAGGCTCCGGAGGGCTCTCGGGCGGTCTGGCTGTCCGGATCTTCTTGGTAGGAGGGATAGGAGGGAATGCCTCAGAGGTCTTGGGTGGCTCAGGTGTTGAGATTGTCTCCTCTCTTGCCCTAGTTGGCCTCATTATAGCTGTTCGCGCATCCTCGGCAGACGGTCTGGAGAAACTGTTGTTGTCGACTGCACAGGGTTTGACATAAAGATCATAAGGGTCAGAGACAAAAGCTGCGAGTATCATGACTCCTGTGTAGTTGACGCTTGTCGAGATGGCCGTATCATAAGAGTGAGGAAGATGTGCCTCGTATACTGAAAGGACTTCGGCGAGGGTATCAGGGGAAGGAGTCTCTCCTGCCGTACCTCCGCTAAATGGGCAGATTTCTGTTAAAGGAGTAGCGGCTTCAAAGTGGGAGAGTGTGGTTGTCGGGTGTGCAATGGAAATGTTGGTCGCCGAGTGAGCTATAGGAAGAAGACCAGAAGAAAGAAAGTCATTGTTCGCTCTCTCAGCGGGCGAACAATCTGCTGCGTACGTTGTGGCAGGAAAGCCAGCGGATATGCGGTCTCTGGTGGAAGCGGTGTATATCGTTTGCCCTGGTGCACTCTGTATGTTTTTGCCGGATGAGTTGTTTGCGAAGGTGGTGCTTGTCGAGCCTGGAGTGGACGAGTCAGAATACTCGGATGGTATGTTTTTAATGGACGCTGGGAGAGCGTGCGAGACAGAGGGAGGTATGTTCGCGGCCGGAGTGATATCCTTCATAAGAAAGTACTCCAACTCCCTCTCACTGAAAACGCGTCGCGATGCGACATTCATTCTTGGGAATGGACGTCGTGATGCGACATTCATTGTTGGGAATGGACTTGTGGGTATCTGAAAAGGCGCTGAAGTGGATATTTAAGATGGTAAATGTTGAAATTATATGGCTTCTTCGTCAGGGCTAATTCCTTTTATACTTTTTTTCCCTCTTATTTCTAGCTATTACCGACGTTATGCTCTGCTTTCACAGAATTAGAAGATAGCTGGCAGAGTAGAGCGACGAATGCCAAGGAGTATGCATGATGATCTTTAGGTTCAAGTGAGGCTGTGTGCATCCCGATTTGAGACCTCATGCTGCAATGAACACTACGTTCTCGATTGCTTTGAACTAAACCAAAGCTAGATATCTTCCTTCCACACCGACGCCACCCTGAGACCCCAGGTCCTCAATCGCTGGTCGCCAGCAGCTACACGTTAGATCAGTCTCATCTAACGCATCGACATCTTTTCACTGCAGCGGTAGCCATGGATATTCATAGCACTATAGAAGTCTCGGTCATTATCCTGGTAAGAAATACCCTAATTTGGCCTTTGAAAAAAAGTCGGAACAGACTTCAAATTTCATCTGCTTGGGACGTCTGAAAGCAATTGCATGCTTTATTTTGCCGTGAAGATAGATCATTGAGCTGAATTAAACGGTCTTCAAGATCAACACATTCATGAGACCCCAGATACACCAACGCAAGATGATGAGAGTTGTGTTTTGTGTTTGGTGAGGCCCCGTTTAAAGCTTCGATAGATGTAGAATGGGGGACCGGATTGGCAGGCAGCTTTATATTCAACTATCTTCAGGCTGGCTTAGAGCAGGTAAATGAACTAAAATGGTCAAAGTTTGGCTGGTAAGATGTAAATATAGCCAACAGAAGTCGAAAATGCATGGTGTTTCTGGATAGAAGATTAACGAAATAGTACGTTCCACAACCGTCGCCACAGGGCCCAGACTGTTTTGGTCCATGCCTTCCCAGCAACAGAATGGATTGTTGAAAAAGGGGGAAAGTGGACAACAAGGGCTTATGATGGACCGGTCCACTTGCCATAAGAGGTCTTTTTGTCGATGGCGAAGCGCTTCCATGCGTTCTGATTTCTTATATCGAGCAGATATAAATAAAGACAAAAAGGCGTACGCGTGGTTGACTTTCTCGTGATAGTTACCATTCCCCCTCAGTATTATGGCCACAGCCATGTAACCAGCACAAAGCCTTCCCCAGCTACTAGAGAGTACGTTTATCGCAGGTAATGGGCATTTGTATGTGAGGAATGACAGGAGATATACATCCAAAAAGGGAATGCTTCTTTCTGCACAACTATAAAGATCTCGCTGACTGCACTACCTAATTGCAATTCAGCATTCAGTACTCAGCACATTATATACGAACTAAATGTTGTAATCTCACAGACAACATGACATCTAAGCCGTGTGAGCATTCCTTGAATAACGTCCAGGTCGATTCTACTTTTCAGAGGCTCGTCGCCTACAGAATGATATGCAATATTCATCTATTTTTTAAAACTGAGACCTTCGCGCTACGTCTCCAAAAGCACAGGCTGGCGTGGCTGCGATCTGCTCATACGTTCGAGGTCACCGCCCTGCAGCAGCGCACAAACATTCCTATATATGTCTTCATAATGCGAGTCGCGTCTAAACCGCATTTCCATGCTTTTATCAATGACCGAAGGAGGAGAAAGTGTTTAGTTGATGTGTCTAAGCAAAAAAAAATTTGCACGCGAACTTCAGACTAGCGTGGTGCCTAAAACGTGCTGCGATCAACGTGCATTACGTTTGAGCCATGGCGCGCAAGCTCTTTGGGCAGTGGATAGAGCGTGAATGACCTTATTATGCACGGTGTTGGCGAGCCATTCTCGGCTAGGCAGCGATGCGTTCTCATGTATGGTGGAATTCCAGGAATGTAGCTTAAACTCCGGTTCGCACTTCCTCCTAGATTTTTGTGCCGCTACATGTCTGCTTTTTTTTTTATGGTAGGTACACACCCCTGTCCTTTCTAGCGCCGTCCGCTCCAACTGATCGCTTTTCATTTCAACACTTGTCTCGACCGTTGCTTCTACATGCCTATCGCCCCCTACGACCAGTTAACGTTCTGAATCAATACGATCACTCTTCACAACTCATTAAATCCTAAGTTTAATGGATGGGCTAAATTTTCCGAGTAGCCATCGTCGGCAGTTACACATAGTGAGAACCAGACAATGGGTCCAGGAAAGAAGGTCCGTTATTGGCTCCATCGTTCTCTGCTCCCCCCCCCCCCCCCTCCCCCCCAGCACTACCCTCCTAGGATGGTGCGAGCTTTGTCCCCAACGATACTTATCCATTCCTCTTCTGTCTGTATACGTCCCTTCCTTCCCCATTCCTATTTTTATCTCCTTTTCTGTGCCCCCTCGATATCACTTTGCCCTTTTTTGAATCTGTCAGTTCTGTGTGTCCCTTCCTGGTCTCCGTAAAAATGGCTTTTACATACGGTTTTCACCTGGTTCCCCATCCTGGCGACCTAGCTATCCGTAGCGTGTTCGACCTAGGCTCCATACGATGTCTTTCTGTACAGTTATCTTCTCTTTCACTCCTTTCCTTCGGTGTCTTGTCTCATTTCGCTCTTTCTCTTTCTGCTGCGACTCTCTCCTTTTTTCTTTTGCTCGCCTGCTATCGTCTCTCTTCAGACCGAGATCCCAAAAACCGGTTCAACAATCCTCGTCCGCTTGTCCAAACAACCTACACTTTGTAGCTTACAGTGTCTCTGTATCCTGTCTGAGCAATTACCTTTGTATACACTTATACCTGTGACAGCGACGACAACTATTCACTCTGGATCCCCTAGCGTATCCTTCTACCAGGACAATAAACGCCCGAGCGATGGAGCCCGTTGTTAATTCCACAGAATATTGTGATTGGCGAGTACAGTGTCAGGGCAACTGCATCGGCTCGACCTATATTTCATTCCTATACACGATCCATATCATCTCGTCATTTCTGTTTTTCTTCATATCTGTGGGCATTCTCATCCATAATATTTGGTGGAAGGGACAAAAAATCTGGGAGTTCTCCAGAAATGATCGTGCATTTCGACCACGGCCAACGGAAGCCTTCGTGTTCTGGTGTACAGGCTATTTTTTCTGTGAGGATGCTTCTCAGAAATTCGCATAGTTGTTGATTGGATACTGCAACAGTTACACGGAGCTAACTTTGCATTTGCCCATCTACACTCCCTGCTCTCAACAAAGTCCGCTGCGTACTTTCTGTATTGCTTCTTGTAGGCGTGAACGAGGGTAAACGGGCATTACTGGAAAACTTTGTAAGCCTCTCTGATATCTGCATTCTGCTTGCTACTCGAATTGTTGTCTTGTTTCAACTAAACAATGTCACCTGCCTACATTCCCTTGCTGGACAGGCTGATATACCTTGGGTGTTCGTATCAGGGGCCATGGGTTTCTATCTTGTCGGTATCATCTACGCCACACCGGTGTCATTTTCGACCCACAATGGCTTCTCAAGTAAGGAGAGTCGCAACAGCCAAAGAGACAATCTTGAAAATGCAGACGACATCCACAGTGCGGGCCGCTTCTCGTCCATGATGGAACCCAAACATGTTTACTTGCCCTCGCCCATGGTTCTGAATTTCACGTTACTCGGCTTGATCTTCTTGCCTTTAGTCGCAAACCAGGTTTTAGCATCGTTTGGTGGAGCGGCGTTTGATCGCGGAGATATGGACATGTACAACAATATGATATCGGCCATGTATGCCGTTTGGGTGTTTGTGGTGGCCATCATCTTAGCGCTCTACATCTTTTTCGGAAAGTAAGTGGCGCATCCGCCCTCCATGGTCCCACGGATTTGAAACACACTCTACGCTTTTTCTGACCTCTCTCTCTCCCATGTCGCGTCCTGAAACTTTTCTAGACAACTGCTTACGATTATATCCTCGAATATGGCTTCCATCAATGATAATGTCGGCCAGATCTCTTCGCGTATGGGGGCGGATTCTGAGTATACTGATCGGGATGATAGCGAGCGTCAACTGAATACCCTAAAGTCGACATATAAGCGAATTCGAGCCATCCTAGTTCTATGCGGAAGTCTTTCGGCCATGATGGGTCTGATGATGCTGCTCTTCGCCATTTTCAGACGACAAATCCTACGTGATAAGACAGCTAGCGAGACTTTTTCGCTCGTTTGGATCCATGGAGCGAGGTAAGCCGAACCGACAGCCAGAGCTAAGAAACCGTTCGTCGATAGGTAGCAAAGAACGCTGGTTGTTAATCTCTTCCTTTGTTCTTAATGTAGTGTTGCGCTCGGATGTTCCCTAATCTTCATCCTCTTCCGCAAGACTTGAGCGTCATGGCCAGTGGAGACATACAAGGAATTGTTTTCTTTCGTATACTGTCTTTTTTTTTTTTCTGAAGATCGTTCAGTTCATTGTATAAAATCGTGTATATCTATCCATTCTGTCCCACCACCCTATCATCCCAACCCTACAAAGTGCCACTGTACTCTTTGAGTGAATGAAGAACAAGAAAAGAAAAGAAAAGGTTAGAAAGCACCTCCGCGAGTTTTATTTGTCGCCGTCAGTCAAAGGCTTGCGTACCTAGGGATTACGGGAGCATGCAGTGATGTACCCCTTTGAGTACTCCCACGCCTTTCTAATGAGTTATAAAAAAAGCATTAAGGGACCTGTCCATCGACTCTACTCTTCTCCTCTCCATACACATTTACACACACACACATACACGCACACACACACACACACACACCAATAAAAACAATGGCCGACGCGAAAGCACGTTCGTATGAACTCCATTACTTTCCAATACATGCCCTCGGGGCAACCTCACGAGCTATCCTTTTGCTCGCAGGTGCTGATTGGAAGGACCGCGTTCAGCCATTTCAGGTACGCAAAAGATACTGCCCTGAATCCGAAGGAGATCCCTCCTTTATTCTGTAAACAACAATACTCACATAGCTCCTTCCCCTACATCAATGTTTTCAGACCTGGAGCGAGGACAAATCCAAGACCCCCTTTGGATGCCTGCCTGTCCTTACCGTCCGAGACTCTCAGGGCGAGACCATCCAGCAGATCCCCGAGGCAGAAGTGATTGAGCGCTACCTCGCCAAAGAACTCGGTTTCTTTGGGTCCGCCCCAGAAGAAGAGCTTCAGATATCTATCTTCCTATCCCAGGCCATCACCATCCACAACGTCTGGGTCTTCCGTGTCGTGCCCGCGCTCGAACCTGTTCGTGAGCAGGTTCTTAAGACGTTTCTAGAGGGTTCGCTCAAGAACTGGGTCCAGAACTGCGAGAAGCACCTGGCTGCCAATGGCGGCAATGGTCTTTTTGTGGGAAACAAGACCTCTTTGGCGGATATAAAGACTGCAGTGTTGATGGATATGTTTTTGGCGGTCGATGTCATGGGTGAGGTGCTGAGTGCAAAGCAGGCACCTGGGCTGTGGAAGTTGAAGGAACTGGTGGATATGAATGTAAGGTATGCAGAGTATCGAAAGTCAGAGGCGTTTAGGGTGCAGGATGAGGAGACGAAGAAGAGGGTGGTGCCGAATATCAAGTTGTTTGATCTCTCTAAGGCGCATATCTTTACATGAGAGACTAATAGCAAAAGCGAAAAATAAAAATAAAATAAACGCTGCTTCTGTGTTTAGCATGGCGATTGTGTTGACATCGGTCTCGTCAGTATATATATCTCCCCATACTGCTGTGTTTGGTCTACAATGTGATGTTAGCTCGCTGAAGGAACTGCACGATTGTATGCTGTTCACAGGGATGATTACATACCGAATTCTTGTTTCTGCAGAAGGTTGAAGCCGTTGAACCCTATTGCTCCCTGTCATGTCGTACAGTTGCATGGCGAACTATGTTCTTGCTTGCAGGTGCGATGCCAACGAAAACAACGCGTCCAATATCCTGATGTAGGCGAGAGAGAAAAAAAATTGAAGATGGTATGCCTTATTCATATTCGGACGCTTCAACGTTGATACGGGGGGAAAGAAGACAAGTAAATCTGTGCAATCCATGATGCTCAATGCATGATCATCAGGGGTACGTCGAAGCAAAGAGGGCAATCTACAGATCTTCATCTGCCGCAACGTGGATGTTTTTGGTGCGACCATCACATATGTCACTGCATCTACTGGAGCAGCAGCAGGATTCGCTCTCGAGTCGTAGTAGATGGCTCAGACGGAAGAACACGCAACATACAGACGTGCCTGCTTCCGGTTAGCACGTCCGTGGATACATGTTTGTTCGGTTGCACATTTGCAGGTGGACATTGGCCAAAAATATTTACCCGCCTGTGTAAGCGAGAGAGATAAGGTTGGATTGATTGCAGTACAGTTTCGTGGGGGCGGCTGCTCTTAGAAGACTTGGCCTCATGCGTGCATCCCGCGTGGTAGCACAACGCTGCGATGGTTTGCTTCAGTCCGTCGACTGACCCAGCTCAGCAGGAGCGCGATTCCTCGGTGGTTATTCGCGATTGGCTGGCTCGCTTCTGCTGCTTAGTTTGCTAAGGATGCTCTCCTTCCCTCTTATCTCTCGTGCTTTCTCGTGCAACCATGCGAAAAAAAGATTGCCTGCATTGCTCCTTACTCCCCATTCCTTATCGCACGAGAAGAAAAAAACAGCAGGCATGGTCTTGCTGGCAGTAAGCAAGAGGCATCAGTCGATCGGTCGCTTGCTTGACCCCCAGAAATGGTCCCCCATGGCTCATCGTGAACGTCCTGATGCTGATAAGTGATCCCTCTCACTCCTCTCATCCCTCTTTATATCTCGCGCAACCCTCTTTCTTGTCTCTTCTCTTTTTATCTCGCTCTCACTCTCTCTCACCAACATCACATCGCGCTTCAATTTCCCTCCCTCAGGTTTTTTTTTTTTCTGCTTCGACTTTCACTCATTCTCATTGCAACACTCCATGGAGATGCAATCCTCATTCACCTCCACTCCTCTCATGTCAACCAAAATGCCACTCTCTCTCGAGACCTCCGTGGCCTCGAGCACTATGCCAAGGTCACCTTTCATGCTCCCAGAGCTTGATCGCCTCATAGCCAGTCACCTCGACCAGGACGCACTGGCCAATGCCTCGCGCGTCTGCAGGCTCTGGCACTCCATCTTCAACCCCATCCTCTGGAAGCAGCTCTCGCTAAAGCACATTGTCGACGACGACGACTACGATGAGGACTTTAATTTCGTTTCGCGTGTAACACCTCAATCGCCTTTACTCTCTCCGCCCTCGTCCTGCTCCTCCACCTGGTCGGCCATGTCCATGGGCTCACCTGCTTCGCCCACAAGTCCCGTCTCGGCCTCTTTCCCAAGGCTTTCGCTGCTCCAGCAGGCGTTTATACATTCGAGCCGCAATAAGGTCCTGAAGGGCCTTCTCCGACACGGACATCTGGTCCACGAGCTCAAGGCCACTGGTATCACAGATCAGGAGATGGCTGTGATCGGCATCTTGTGCACCCATCTTCGCGTCCTGGAAATGATTGGAGGTCGTTACACCGCCGAAGATCTCACGAGCCTTTTCAAGCTGCGACGAGACACGATCCAAGTCGTCCGCTTCCGATCGTGTGTCCAACTCAGGGATATCTTTCAACCCATGCGGCAGCTCTCGAACCTGAGGGAATTTGAGCTGTATGGTTCGTTTGTTGGCAATACGATCACATCGCCTTATTTCTTTGACCGCGATCTTTTTCCGATGCTGCAGGCCTGTCCCCAGCTGCGCTCGATTCTGATCGAGCAGGTCTACATTGTGGATCAGAATGTTGATCAAGGCGGTAGCGGATGGGATGGTGGCGGTGGCAGCAATGAAATTCCACACCAAAACCAGGCTAGTGATATGATAATGATGACCGCAGCGACAGCGCAATCTTCGTCGTCTTTGGCCTTATCTCTAGCGCAAACTTCGATGCTCTCTGCGCAATTGAGATCATCCCCGATCGGCCAGCCTATGCGCAACAATCCTCGGATTTATTCTACCCCGACATCCTCACTAAAATCGCTTACGCTCGATTGCGGTGACATTCCGGATTCCGTCATCAACGCCCTTTTGTCACGCTGCCCACTACTGGAAAGTCTCTCCTTGGGCTGGAGTCGCAATCTATCGGATGCCACCCTCCTTTTGCTCCACCGATTTTGCCCCAACTTGACAGAGATCTCACTCTACCGATGTGATGAGCTGTCCTCAGACGGATACAAGGCCCTATTTCGAAACTATCCCAACCTGTCCTCCATCGATCTGGACGGCAACGTGCTTTCGGACAGTGTCCTAGAAGAATTGTCGAGGTCGTGTCGATTCCTTCGGCATTTGAGCATCAACTCATGCCAGAACGTAACGGATCTGGGCATTCAGGCCATTCTCTTGAACTGCGCCTATCTGTCCTCATTCAGTCTGCGATTCATCTCCGGACTGTCCAGTGCGCTCTTTGATGACACCACAGGAATGCCGCTCTTACCGTCATCAAAATCATCGCCACCATCGCCATCATCGTCGAGTCTCTCTTCGTCACCCTCTTTTGTTGCGCGGCTCATGTCCGAGCCTGGTCCCTACCGTCGTTGGGCCTGTCAAGAGACACTGGAATCACTCTATCTGCCGGATCTTACCTTGTTCAATAATAACCTCGTCGATATATGGCGTCGACAAAGGGAGATCCCTACCAATAACGACAGAGTGATGCTTAAGGACGACCAGCTGATCCAGTCGCGTCTCCGGGAGCTTCGGAAGCTCAGACATCTTACGATTGGTGGACAGGGACTGGATCTGCGCGTCGCTTTAGACGGATTGAAGAGTCCGCGAGATCTGGAAGCCCTTAGGATCACGAAGCTGAAGCGGACAATGACGTGTGATGATGCTCAGTGGTTGGTGGAGCAGGCAGCGCCGAATCTAAAGAGACTAGCAATACCCGTATTTGGAAACCGTGCACTGATGGATTGGATGGAAGATCGGCGACCAGGTCTGTTGTCCTCTGATAAATAAAACTTTAAAGCCCTTGTAACGCTTACTCCAACGGCAAAGCCATGCAAGTGTCATTCCGACTCGGTGATAAAACAATGAAGGAATAAAAGCAAAGTTGCAAAAGTGCTAACACCTGGAATCGAACCAGGATCGTCTCGGCCACAACGAGATATACTAACCATTATACTATGTTAGCCATGTCGACATGTCAGGTGACTTCCAAATAGTTATCTATTATCAAATTAATTTAATGGCACCATGTAAAAGTAACCTTTTTTAGTCCTTTTTGGGGCCCCAGGGGTCCCGGAGACACTCTTAGGATAGCCGCCACAGGTCTAGAGCATAGAAAGCGATGTAGTAAGGGTGCCAGAGAGATCAGCGGAACAGATTCGGGAAGCGCGAAGTGAGTTGTATTTTTTTTTTTTTTTTTTTTTTAAACTGGAGCTGCTCTGGCCCCGTGCTCGATCCAGACGCATCTCTCGCAAAACAGGACAAAGGCCCACATCAGGAACTGGCAAGAGGTGGATTGGCACTCGTCGCTCGACATTATCCATGATGGTAACGCACCGAAAGGATATTTCACTAGCCAAGCGGACTGCAGCAAGAGGGCGCACCGGATCAAAAAGGTGCATGGAATGTTGCCCACTCTGTCGTACATGAAGGGGTGGAGACCGGACCTATATCCCACCGACGAGTGTAGAGTGTGTGAGCAGGAAATAGAGGACACTCGTCATCTATGGCGTTGCCCGGCGACACTGGCGAGACAACAAGAGCAGTGGTTTTTTTTTTTTTATTAACATAAATCCCCATGAGCACGCGACGCATGGGACAACAAGAGCAGTGGTCTGACGAGTTAGGAAAGATGAATGCGGTTGGAGCAAGAGCATGGAGGAGTGCAAAGAAAAAATGGGAACAGGACGTCAGTCAACGCACCCCACCGACTTTTAAGGAGGCCGGAAGAGACGTCATGTGGGAAGCACTCGAGGTCACGTTCCGCGGGGTGCGGGAGATACGCAGGGCAGAGGCAGCAACAGAGGCAGAAGAAGGTTTCGAGGGAGTTGAGTGGGCCGTGCAGGATCTGTACCACGGACTGACTCCAAAGTGCATGGTACAGACATGGAAACGCATTTTCAGCACTACGGAACGAATTGCAACGTACATGGTACACCGCTTTATGAAGGCCATTGAGGAGATCGGGCGGACTGAGATCTGGAACAGAAGATGCAAAGTCACCGTCGACTGGGAACGTGAACATGGGATCACTGCTGTGAGCAAACGCGCCCGGGGATGCAACTGTGTTGGAGAGCACAGACGTAGCAGCAATGATTTTATGGGATCTACCCTGAGGCAACGACAAGCACCCGATGGGAAAGAAATCAACGACACCGCGGATGAGAGGGTGCTGTGGTATTATTTTGGACAACAGCGTTTGGACGTGATGGAGTGGCTGGGAGGATGCCGCTTCTATAAAATGTCAGAGGACCGTGGCTAAAGGATGACCTTCGCGCACAACAGGCCACGTAGGGAGCAGGAGCCTTTGGCACGCCACTCATGCGGTTGTAGATTATGAAACCAAGGATCCGTCGTGGCGCTAGTCGGGGCGGGCAGTACGCTGCTTATTTTCTGTCCCACCTGTAGGACTCCTTCAGACCATAGTTAATAAGTCCCATGTCTATGAGGGTTCTCGTTAATAAAAAAAAAAAAAAAAAAAAAAAAAAAAATGCTCGACCCAGACGCATGGAACAGGAACGAACGCTATCTGGGTAGCCCGCTGCTGTGCATCCAGCGCCATTTGACAATTTAGACAGGGCGGTATCACCTCTACCTGTAGGGGATACTGCGCTCTTCACACCGCGAGTCCAAGAGACGCTCAGCCAGCGTAGCGTAAGGAAGCAGGAATACATTCGACGTGTTATGGTAAACATGACAGGCAATCGACTGCGTAATCAAGACGACTTGGACCGTGCTTTCGACAGAGAAGAGCACAGACTCGATCAACAATGGATTAAACAGAAGCGGGCACAACTGAAAGTAGTACAGAGGCACCTTCGGCAACAAATGCAGCAGGCAGAACAGCAAACACGAGAACAACAGCGACAGTTGGAGGAGGAGCGGCGGCGGGCAGAACAGCAAGAGCGTGACCGACAGCGGCAACTGGGAGAGGAGCGGCAGCAGGAGAAGCGACAGCAGGAGGAGCAACGACGCCTGCGGGACATCGAGAGACGGGCTCGACGAAGACGACGCAATTCATATCGTAGATATATGAATGTGGATGCAGAGGCGTGTATAGACCACTTGCGCGAGGATGCACACAAGACGGTGGACAATATGACGACACCTGTTCGCCAACCATTGCCGGCAGTATCAGATGAAATTGAGCGAGATTTACTGGGATTGGCGCTCCAGGTACCAACAATCCAGCAAATTCGGACAGCTAGGAGACGTTTGCAAACACATCGAAGGCTTCACTTCTGCTCGGATGGGTCAGTGATTCACAACGGCACAGAGCGGGTCAGTGCAGCATTCGGAGTTGTCGTTTCTGTGGATGGTGGTCCCTACACAACGGCGTTCAGTGGCCGGGTCGGTGGATACGCGTCGTCAACAATTGCAGAGATGTGTGGGCTCTTTGCAACAATTCTTATCAGCCCAAGGGAAGAGAACGTCCACATCTACATCGACAATCTCATAGTTGTCAACAATTTCAAGGAGTTGGTGCAGCAGCGGGATTCAGCAACAGCAAGGCAGCGTTTGAGATCTGCAGATGCACAGTGGTGGGCGATGGTGTATTATGCCTTCTTGCAACAAGGACAAGGTATATCTGTGCATTGGATACGAGGACATGCTGGACACCGTGGCAACGAGGCTGCAGACACTGTTGCCAAGGCAGCACATGGGATCGATACAGGAATATGGAGGCTAGACGCAACGCAGCACCATGATTTGAAATGCCACGCACAGTTTGCAACACACAGTGCAGACCTGGACTTGAGAAGGATACTGAAGCTGCAGTCCGCGGTACGGCACCATTATCAGTGGACATTGCAGCATCGAACGAGGACTTACATCAAGGATTGGCGGTCGGTAGCATGGGCGCCCACGCTGCGGATCTTACACGATAACAACCCGCCAAAGCGCTTATACACCAGCCTGGAAGACTGTCGTTTACGTTCGCACAGGATCAAGAAGTTGCATGGAGATTTGCCGACATTGCAGGCGATGAAGAAACGACATCCAGATACCTACCAAACGGACATATGTCGTAGGTGTGAAAAGGAAGCAGAGACGAACGATCATCTTTGGCGTTGTTCGGCTATCTTGTGCGACCAGCGACAAGAGTGGAGGGATGCGGTGGAGGAGGTGGAGTCGAATGGATATCGTGCATGGAGACAGGCAGTGCGAAAATGGGAACAGGAGAGAGAGGAGGCCGAACGGAAGGACAAGCCCTTCACTGCGACTTGTCCCAACTTCTCGGCAACAGGAACGAAGGCTATCTGGGAGTCAATGCAGTGGATTCAGGGGACGGCGGAAAGACGAGGGACATATCGGGTTGCGGAAGGAGAGGAGCCGGAGAGTGAGGCGGATTGGGGGTCAAGAAGTTATACCGAGGTTTGGTGCCAATGAGACTCATTGAGACCTGGAAGCAGCTATTTACCACCACCAAGTGGATTGCGACGATCATGGTGACAAAGTTCGTAAGCAGGATCGAAGAGTTTGGCAGGACCAAGATATGGAACAAACGATGCGAGGACATTGTCGCCTGGGAAAAGTCAGTTGGAATCACCTTCATGAGCAAACGCGCCGGAGGACGCAACGGTGATCGGAGACACCAACGTAGTGTTGGTGATTTCTCTGATTTGAAAGGGAGACGGTTAATTGTAGCGGAGATCCAGGAAGGTAGACGGACCACGGATTACAGGGTGCTCCAGCATTGTTTGGGGTGAGGAAAGTTGGACATAATGGAGGGGTTATTCGGTTTAAAAACAACTTTATTAACATTGGATCTGGACTAGGAGACGTGTATCGCGCAACAGGTCACGCAGGAGTTAGGTTAGACTGGCTATGCGACATGGGTTATGAATCTGACGTCTCAAGCCAACATAGTTGGCAGGGGACGCGGCTCTGCCCTGCATGGAAGGCATCTATGGCTTCAAGGCCTTTGCGGACCATGCGTCTTGTGCTCATGAGGATTTATGTTAATAAAAAAAATAAAAAAAAATAAAAACACGAGACGCGTGGTCCGCAAGGGAAGCGCGACGTAGGTTGCAAGGACGGAATACCATTTTTTTTCTGACGGATCGTACTTTGGAGCAGACACACCGGACGCAAGCAAGAGGGCGCACCGGATCAAAAAGGCACATGGAATGTTGCCCACTTTGTCGTACATGAAGGGGTGGAGACTGGACCTATATCCCACCGACGGGCGTAGGATGTGTGAACAGGAAAACAAAAGGAATAAGGCAGCGGATGAGACGGCTAAGAACGCCCAAGCCCACCAGGCGACGATATGGGATCTGGACGGCATCCAGCACAGCGATCTCAGATGTCACGTCTTATTCCAGAGGCAGCTGCTGGAAAATGGCTTGAGAGACTTATTGAAGTCGCAGTCGGTGACCAGAACTCATCAGCAGTGGTTGGCGCAGAATCAGACGAAGAAGAACATGTATATCAAGCAGTATGACAAGGTCGAATGGCGATCCACGTTGGCCATTGTCCACAACAAAAAATCGTTGAGAACCCTTGTTAATAATAAAAATAAGATGTCCACAATAAGACCACAGTTAATAAATTCTATGTCTTCGGGGGTTCTCGTTAAAAAGAATCCACCAAATGGATCGTACACGAGTCCTGCTGACTGAACGCGAGGTCAAGGAGTTGCATGGTATGCTGCCGATGTTGGCGATCATGAAAGAAAGAAAGCTTGTTGCGACAGGTACAACGGTTTATTCGAGAATGATGTCATCGTCATAAGAATGCTTCGCCCAGTTTCTAGAGTATTCCAGCGCTACTTTGTTTAGCCATATCCTTCGTATATAGTAGCTCTTTGAACGTAGGATGAGATAGCAATCAATCGTCGAATAAACCACTGATTCAACCCTAGAGCCCCTTGACCATTCCGACCCACCGACTGTTTGCTTGGTGGCGAAGGAAACCTCGAACCATCCCTCGGAACCACTGAACCACTGAACCATTGAACCATTGAACCATTGAACCATTGAATCATCAGCATTTTCATTCGACCTGTCAAGAACACATACCATGGAACAACTCTCACGAACACTCTCGGCCCTGAAAATCTCGGACGATGCCCAACAAGCCTTTGCCAACGCGTTTCACGCCATCGCCTCCGCTTCCGAGTCAATAGCCAACGATACAGCCCGCACACTTGCCACGGTCTTCAAACCACAGAAACCGAATCCATACAATGGCGCTATCGACGCCGTCGAAGCTCTCAACTTCATCGAGAGCCAGGAAAAGTATTTCGCTATCATCGAGCTTATTCAGAGCAAGTGGGTTCGATACGCTGTCCTGAGCCTCGTGGGAGATGCTAAAGCTTGGTGGCAAGCTTCTGGCCTCACCATCGAGACCCCTTGGAATGACTTTCGCAAAGCCTTCCTGAAAGCCTTCACGCCGCCGGATACTGCTAATACCGCTCGTCTAGAACTGACCAAGCTTCGCCAGAAAACCCTTACAGTGGCAGAGTATACGAGCCGTTTCAAGCGTCACCTGCGGCTCATTCCGAATATGGACATGGACACAGCGCTGTACAATTACATGGTCGGACTGGAACCCAAAACCAGCAAGGAGGTGCGACTTAGACAACCGACGACGCTGGATGCCGCTATCCAGCAAGCTATCATCGTCCACAGCATCTTACACCCCACCAATCCCAACACTGCCACCACGATCTCTGTCCCAACCGCCCCCTCATCCGCCGAGCCCATGGACCTGGACGCAATGAACGTCCTCCTCACCAACCTCACCACCTTAGCCAAGACAACCACCGTCGCCAGCATTCGCCAGCGCCCTCAACACACCGCTCGTTCATCATTGCGTCCATCCCTCCCCAAACTCGACGCTGCCACACGCGAATACCATATCCGACATGGTCTTTGTCATCGATGCCGTATTTCAGGCCGCATTTCCAAGAACTGCAGGGGTGATAGAGCATTCAACGATATTGAAACAGGCTCCCAGACAGCTGGCGAGTCGAGAAAAGGCCAGGGCGAGCTGTGAGCCAGGCCAGCTTCGCCCGATCGCCATGCCCACAACCCCTGGATAGACATGGGCGCAGTCGTGATTTCAAGCAAAATGTAACAACGATTTTCATCATGCTCACGTCAAGACCTCGACCCTGACAACCAAATCAATTGCCTTCTCATCTTCCCTCTCGACCTCATCTCTTCCCTCGACCCCATCTCTTCCCTCGACCCCATCTCTTCCCTCGACCTCATCTCTCTCCTCGACCTCATCTCTCTCCTCGACCTCACCTGTTCCCTACACTAATACCTGCAACAAACACCACCGTCGCAACACTATTTGTCTTCAGTCTTTCAACACCGTCTACAAACATTCTCGCCAATTTCTCACTTTCATCGGTACTGTCCACAACTGCTCCGGACGGATCCTGATCGACGACGGGGCAGAAGGGAACGTGTCAGAGTTTAGCTCTGATTAGTACTGTCATGTGACGCTAGACGCATCTAAAATGGATCAGCTTCGCCGTTATCACAGAAAGCTCCATGAACAAAGTCAGCACTGAGAAATGTCTAGAACCATGGATTACTAATCAGGACCTTTATTTCTCTGATATATATTGATATATTGATATATAAGATAGGACAGACTATGTAGTGGAGTCTCAGTTCATATACTCACAAGTAGTCTAGCCAATAAACATTCGCCTTTCACACTCGTCTTCGTTTACTTACTTTGTTCGCTTGTGTCCCCTCGCCCCGCACTCGTTGTTCCTCGTTCCTCCACAGGTCTTACAGAACGCCATTAGCTTTTCGATCTGTAGCACCAACAAGATATCTTTGCGAGACAGCACACCACTCATGCTGTCATTGATTATGAAATATGGATCCGTCGCGACATAGTTGGAGCGGATGACTTGCTGTTTGATTTCTGTTAATAAACCTTAAAATAATAGTAATTTGAAGATGTGTGAAGGAGTATTTCGGCTACTTTTTTTTATTTTATTTTTCGGATGCCGAAAGGTCGCGTTCACTGGGAGGCTAGTCCTGGGAAGCCAGCGATGGATATCCCGCTAGGTATTGGAAGCACCAATAAGATTCCACTTTGATCTTTGTCAAGTCTTAAACTCCTCTTTTTATGGTGCGCAGAAAGAAGATTTTATTGAAGAGGTTATTTGAGAAGAATGGATTAGCTATGTCATACAATGCATGAGAATTATTTATCTGGAGGATGAAGATCTCCTCGCCGAGGACGTGTGATCGTGGGGATTACAATGCATTCGTGCAGTGGGTTCTTGGACGTTATGCGGACACCTCACCAAAAGTGGTATTCAGTTCTTAAGCAGGAAGGTCAGATTTGATCAAGGAAAGAAGACATGCCTTTTCGGGCTGCCGCCTTCAAAGACACAATTCTTCAGGTTCTCATGATCCCATAATCAATTTTGCATTTCCTTGCGGAACAAACTTATACAGCAGCAACAGCTTACAAGGCAGGTACTTTTGTTTTTTTAACAATGAGTATCATTATTTTTAAAGGACAAGGTGATCGTTCATCGTACGCGTGATACTTAGCAGAATACATATTTATCGAGTACTGGATAAAAATTAACAAGTAGAAAGCGCTTCCGCAATAATACGCTCTTTTTTCATAATAATGAAAGCGCTATCGATGTCCTGAGAGCGACCTTGCAAGAACAAGCAGGCCGGTCGCGATACCGTCGCTGTCACCGAATGAAAGATGAATTGCACGGTCTTACCTAAGATTTCGAACCTTTAAGCATTGAAATTTGTGCTTTACGTTAGATGACATTAAAGGAACTGCAGTGACAGAATACTTCATAACAATATGCCTCAGGAAGATTTCCTGATGGCAAGAAGGTTGTGACATCGAACAGAAATGATCAAATCTCCTAATCATTTACTGAATTATTTCCGGACGCAAAGGCGTAAACCTACACCTGTTTCTCGCCGATATTCTTCACGAAATCTTCGCGAGCCTTGGCGAGCAGCTCTTTATCCTCCCTCTCAAAAAAGTCGCATGCTTCGCTGGACATTGTGTTGGTGATGCAAGACACAGCGATCCTAATATGATAAGAGTGAGGATTTAATTAACAACCTGGGCTGTCATTCTTGTTTGACAACCCCTGCAGAAAAGCCACGTAAAATGTTTGATGTATTTACCGAAGATAAAGGCATCCTGGAGCGTAAAAAATAGACCTTTCATAATGCAAGTGTCGCGGTTCGATTTTCAGGCTGAACGAGCTACATGGATTTTTGGATGGGTTGTCACTCTTACTTGACAACCCCTGCAGGAAGATGCTTGGTGCATTAACCGAAGATAAAGGCAACCTGAGCGTAAACAGCAGATCCTCTCGTGAATCAGTCGCCGTGTGAACACAGGAATGGTATTGGGACAATCAACTACGTGGGTTTCCGTATGGGCTGTCAAATAAGACTGACAACCCAGGTTACCAAGTTTGCTGAAGGGTCATAGTCAAATTCATCCGCAGGTTCACCTCCGCAGACATTCCGTTTCGGCTGCAGATGAACGAAAAGTGAAGGACAACCTCATTTGTGAGGAGGTCCTTGCTTGGTCACTGCGACTTGTGTGGATTGAACACACGACCTTCAGATCTTCAGTCTGACGCTCTCCCAACTGAGCTAAAGTCGCGCACGATAGACGGTTTTCGTTAATGTTTAAAGTTCCAGAAACTCTATATTGCAAGTTTTTATGTCACGTGTCGGCGCCGGCTGCAACCTTTTTGAGCATCCTGGGCTCTTTTACGCGGGCGGGCCCGCAAGGGAAGGCATCTAGGGCTTCAAGGCCTTTGCGGACCATTCGTCTCGTGCTCATGTGGATTTATCTTAATAATAAAAATAATAAAAAAAAAAAAGCGGGCCAGCCCGTAAGGGAGGAGGAAGTTGATAGCTATGGAGGAGATGGGGAAGGCGCGTTTTTGTAACTCTCGTGCTCATGTACCATGCGTCTCGTGCTCATGGGGATTTATGTTAATAAAAAAAAAAGTACCTTTTTTGTAACAAAGAGTTTTCAGCTTTTAACACACTGATGAAGTATGCCAATTGTTGCGCAGGCCCTAGGGGCAGGCCTGGGGAATGTAACCCGACTATGGGCCATATGGATTATGTTAATAAAAAAAATCAACTGGCGACTGTGGATCGGCTCTGCTTGGCGGAGAGAATAACTGCAGTAGATCGTTGCTAGTTAGTCTGATAGATTCGAAGAGTTATTTGGCTCGAGAGACAAACTGTTATAAAAAAAAACTTCGCGCTTTTCACGTTTTTCGCGCGAGACGACTGTAGTAGATCATCCACGTGCATGTTTCCTTCGTACCACCGTTAATAAATTCCATGTATTTGTGGATCCTCGTTAAAAAAAAAAAAAAAAAAAAAAAAAAAAACGAGCGTAGTAGATCATTGCCAGTTAGGTGTGATGGATTCGCAGGGTCAATCGACAAACTTCCCTACAAAAAAAGAAATAAAAAAAAGGCTTTTTAAAGAGCGAGCCTGTGGATCATTAGATGCAAGGGTAGATACTTTGGTTTCGCGATGGTATCGCCCTAACTTTCCTAGTTTTATTGAATTCCTTCGAACATGTAGTAAGCAGTGTCAAGAATTTCGACCGCGTTGATCCCGAATTGGCAACGCGTTGGTAACATGCAAGTATTCATATGTAGGGCCTCAGACAGGAAACAGCTTTTTTTTTTTTGATTGGACTAAGAATGATGGCCGAATTACGATAATGCAGCAACCAACAAAAAGCGAGAATCGAAAAATGAGGATCAATATCGATCCTTGCGATTTTTAGGCCTATTATGATCGGAATCTCTTTGTTGATTTAAAATATCGATGAACTCCCCAAATCTTTATTTCAGTGCTTTGGCATCTTTCTGGCCGATGAGGTGTACAGGCCATGGTAATATAGGCCAGCATCTATCTCGCCAACTTGCACTGCAACCGCAACTATGAAAGAGTAGCGGCATGGATAGAGCAGCTCATTAATACCATGACCCCCTCCAATCGGCTGCTACTCATGAACCGACACCTTATTCCAGGCATGTATATGTAGTCCATCACCACCACAATAAACATCAATCATTCTTGATCCTAACCCTGTCTCCTAGACCCCTGTCCCCATACTTATTGCAGCACACACAATGTGTCGACACGCTTCGTTTGATATAATGTGCATGTGGTGGACACTATTTGGAAGAATGGGATGCAGACATCTTCGGCGCCGAAATACTGTTCGTTTGGCTGGTTTAGCATGCGTTTGGACCATATCGCCAACCTACAAATGTCTCCCGTGTCCTTGGAGGCGTTACTGGTGAGCAAGGGGGCAACTGATAGCGCTTTAAGAGTACTTCTCATTTGGCTGGGAGAGATAGTGATAAGCCTGAGAGGTATTGCCGCAATTTGCAGGGAATTTATTTGCTATTAATGACATTGATATGCAAGGAGCTGACGTCGCACTCTTATGTCACTTGGCTTCCTGGTCATCATCGGCATCGGAATCAACGGTTGATGGTGGTGGTAGTGGCGGCGGTGCCGGGATTTTTATTCCCCGAATATAGTAGGAGGGACGCCTCCATCTCGCTGTTGGGTCATGGTCAATGACGCGATTGTTAATCGCCTCCAAGGTTGTTTTGGCCACCCTCTACCACATATTAACAGAAAAACACTGTAAGCCTTGATAGATGAATTGGTTACAGCAAAAGTATTAAAACAATCTGACTTACCTGAATTGCAATCAGCGGACTGAGTGCTGGTAAAAGTAGGCCTAACTGTAAATTGTTTCTTGGCAGTTCGAATTCTCCCAGGGTCTCATACATGTAAATCGCTTCGTACTTGAGAGTCATTGCTACGACACCACAACGGGAGGCTGAGAAATAGGAACCAACGCAAAGTTAAGAATAAGTACACCTGCAGCACTATACACTTAATTCGATGTGTATGTGAGGGGACATACCACAAATGAGAAGGCCAACGACAACCGGCTCAGGGACCCCAGCTGCAAAAGTCTGTCAAGCATGACCTTCATTATGCAGGGAAGTTTGCGCCCGTCTCTGTCACACTCAGGCATGTCTGGTTCAACTTCCGGCTTTTTTACCTCGACAACAATAAAAGGTAGGCCGACCTTCTCAGCGTAATAATCCGGTATATATTTCTCTTCAAATCCCTGTGGCGTCGGAATGGAATACCTTCTCCTGGAACAATATTTTATAATCGAATTCATGAATATTGAAATACGTTAGTAGGTCATTTAGGCTTCATGAAGACAAGCAATGGACGATCTAAAAAATACTAACTACCAGTGGTCTGCAGCATCGAGGCCCCCAAACACTCCAATGATAATGCTCTCCACCACGGCGTCTGTGGATGTGTCTCCATTTCGGGGCGGTGTAAGCTCTGCTGAAGACTGGAGAGAAAGGTCCCGCCAAAGGGTTGGCCTAGTGGTGTAGGCTTTCAGGACTTCCTCGATGACAGTCCCCGCCTGAATGTGGTTCCTGAAGAATTGTTTGGTTTCCAGGAATGAATGTGTCGCGGCAAATATTGAACATTCAGACAGGACCTGGATCTCATTATTCGCAGGAATAGGGGTAGGGACGCGTGGTATCTTTGTAAAAACCTCAGAAGCAAGATGTTTCCTTATATACTTGGTATCGAAGATGAAATTCAATGCTCTATACAGGAATTAACTGCAAAGAGATTTAAAAATAAGCTGACTTACAGGAGATCTGAAATGTTGTTAATGTTGCATTGGTTTGCAATGACCTGTCTCCCCGCATCGAGTAGTACTTGTGAAACGTCAACGTCCTGGATTCTGAGACGGGCAGGTGTTTTTAATCGAGACGAAGTAGTTCCTGGACCCACCAGGTGGTCATGAATCGAAAGTCTATTGAATTTAAGGATAGACGGGCTGAGGAAGGCTCTGAACTGATAAAGCCTCCGTCGCTTTGTGAGGATTGAGACGCAAGATCTGCTTCCATGAACTTGACTTTTCTTGGTGGTTGTTCTTCGTTGTCTACTTTATCTGTAAGAGGAGAAAATCAACAAGTATTGTCAGCTATTTAAGGAAATGAGACAATACATAGAAAAAGCATGGATGATCGGGCATGGGACACAAACGATTGTCCCACAATAAAGAATACCTTGCCCCTTGCATGCTTGGCTGTGACTTGACTGTGCGAAGTAGTTGAAGGTTCCGCTGAAGACGAGCTTGCTGGTGATGCTGTAGCGGGGAAAGATTTACATCAGAGTTTAAGTTGAGTAAAATATGGTTAATGCGTGTACTGGAGGCCGAGAGTATGTATAGCCCATAAGCACCAAGATTTAGGATTTGGAGTTTATTCTTACTTTGCTCTAAGGCCTTCGCAACAGAAGCAGCCTTGTTTCGGAATCGTAGACGCTGTTCATTAGTTAATAAGTCGTCAACATCCTCATGCAGCTTTTTGCGCTTCGCTTTGAGCCTCTCGTCGGCTTCCATCGGGAAAAAGAACTCATTCTCGAACTTGGTATGTTTGGCGGAGTATCGGTCTTTCTTCATCTTTACAGATACGTCTTTCAAAGCCTGATGATCATGTTGTTCCATGTAGGAAATTGCATTAGCCCAATGTTGCTGCGCTTGTACGCGGCTCAGGGAATGCGGGCGCGTCCACCCGAGGTAATCGGGATAGTTGAAGGAGCGGGGCGTACTGCATGACCGAAAGTATTCTTTTGCAAACAGAGTACCAAGGCTATCTCTCCATGGCACTTTTTTTGGTTCTGGCAGAGACTTGCTCGTTGGTTTTTTGGAGAGTTTCCTGTCACTCGATTTGCTTGCCGCCGCGCGTTTGTTCGTGGACATGTTGTTACTAGAGATCTACGTATTGTATTACTCAAAGATAAATTGAGTGATGTATTCAGAGCCAAAAAATTCCAAGCCCCCCAAACGCACCGCATGGCCATCAATGAGCTCGAGCAAATATTCATCCATTAACTCTTGTCATCATCGTTATCGCAGTTGAACACCTCCCATTTTTTTCTCCTTTCACTTTGGTTGAAGGGGCACGAGACTGACCATCAGCCTCCTAGTCATTACAATTTGACTGGGCGAGCCTGTCCTGCCTCTCAGCGTTGGAGTGCTCAAGATTACTCAATCTTGAACACCAAGAGAATCACTTCTCTTGCGGGTCCGACACTGTGCAGAGTCTCGTTATTGCTAGAGACTCTGTCACAGCATGAGCCCTCAGGCAAGCCTGGCATTCTGACCAACTCTAGCAGGGTTTGTTGGGTCGTGCTTTAAAGTCAATCTGCTCTTCCTAGTCATCAGAGCAATTGTAATTTTTGTTGTGATTGGCTGTAAAGGTGTTGTTGTGTTTGCCTTTCAGCGTTGGAATTCTTCACCTTGAAGCCCAATGAAGATTTCTCTCTCTTGCGGATCCAACACTGTGCAGAGTCTCGCTATTGCTAGGGTCTTTGTCACAGCATGAACTCTCAGACCATCCTGGCACTCTGCCACATAATCCCAGCAGGATAGTTGCAGATATTGAGACTTTTCCTTTATTGCCATTTCGCTATTATTATTATTATTATTATTATTGCTTAACAATCATTTCATACCCATGTAGAAACATCTTGTCATTAGCGGTTTGCTTCTTTAACTCTAGCAGACTTAGCGAGTCCTGGTATGCATGTGGTACATGAGCGCTTTTATGATCCTGTTTTGACCTCTCGCTTTGTCTAGAACCTCTATGATATGATGCAAGTGTTTTTGGACTAGGCCCTTGAATGGAAGGACAAAGAGCATGTCTTCTTCACCAACCTCATTACCCACTTCGGTCTGACCTATCGAGAATCCGCGACCAAGTCGTTTGAGGATCTTCTGCAGTCTTCAAGAATCTCGTCGAAGCGCCGTGAGTTTTTAAATGCCGAATTCAACAAGTTTCAGAAGCACTATGAGGAACAGTTTTGGACCAAGCAGAGACTTGCATGTGCGGCACAGGATGCAGTGGTCAAGGAGGCGGAATCGGCATATGGTAATTGAAGATGCCGACCGATGTAAGATATGCCAGTTTTGTCTCTGTCTCTTCTTATTAACATGTGCCTCATATTTCTAAAGCTGAAAGAAGAATAACTGTCGCATCAGCATCATCCTAAATAACATCGACAATAATAGGCTTGGAAGGTATTACTTTGATTGCTTCGAGGCAGAGATGGCTGAGTGCCTTGATTTTTAGACATTTACTCTACATACAAACATACAATCGAAGTAGATTCTCAACAGAGAACAGCTGAAGAGACGCTCGAAAATGAAGGTACTGCTGGCTTCGAGTTTATGCCATGGACAACATTTTAATTACCATGAGCAATATCCATCAGGGCTAAGCCTATGACCTTGTACTGAGCTCATCCTGCTTTTCATTATATTTCACAGATCAAAGCGCTACAATTGATAATCAAGATTGAGATGATTTTCTCGCAAGTGTTGAGCGCTCAAGTCTCAACCAATGCGAAGTAAGTGACATGCTACAACAACGCTTTCTGTTGAAGGGGTATTGCTTATGAACACGGACAATCTGGCTTTATAGTGGATCGTGGAAGACAGATGCATGGCATATCTCTTTCAAGAATACCAGAAGATATCGATCGAAGCGTTATATTCCAAAGAAAATAAAAAAGGTTGATGTGGCGGATGCTATGTAAGTATCTATATTGCTTCCTTTTTGCCGCTGCATTGTTTTTACATTCCATGATACTCAATGTCCTCTACCATTTATCTGGGCGTGGATTTTCAACTGGTCGTATATGAGTACGATAAGCGTGAAGAACATCAAGATGACTGTATGCAGTCTTTTTTTTTTTTTTTTTTTTTTTTTTTTTTTCGCTCGTAAAATGATGATCCTCTAAGATCGTAGTATATTATTAGACAATGACATGAAGGAAATATAACCGATGTATCGATCTGAAAAGCTCAAATGCATCCAGTGGTTTTTGCCTCGCTGCGATGTCGATTTTTGTTTGTCCGTCGAATTGAGCCCTCACTAGATCGCGCGTACTTGGTCCGTGCTGCGCGCGATACCGTCAGGCGCCAAAACAAAAAGGACGCGGTAACGGGGACGTTGCGTGGTTATGAACAACGAGAGAGTTCTTTATTTTTTTCAGTAAAAAAAGGATCTGCCCGGTAATGTCCCCTTTTAATATAAGGTCCGGTATTTTTTCCCGAGAAAAATAAAAGTATTTATTCGGCGTGGTGAGCGGGGAACTCAAAGACAACCTCCTTGCCGGTCAAACGCTTGTAGACAGCGCAGAAAGTATCGAGCTTGTACTCCAAAGAGGTAGAGTCCTTGGCATCAAGGAAGCTGGAGGAAGCAGAGAAACAAAGCACAGCAGATAGTTAGTGACACTGGGCGCAGCCTCGACGTTTGATATATCGCGACGGATTTGATTCTTCAACAATTCCATGCATTCGGATAAAAATACTTACACCTTGATGATGCGTCTCTGGTCGGTCTGGACACGGGTGCGCTTGCCAGTGATCTCGGTGGGGTAAACCAAGTCCTCCAAAAGCTTCTCGTGGACAGAGGTGAGAGTGCGGGAACGGGGACGCTGCTGCTTGGCACGGGAAGTGCGGGTGGGCTTGGCCATGATGCGGCGCTGGGCGACAAAGACAACGTGGCGGTCAGAGAACTTCTTCTCGAGCTCGCGGGTGAGTCTAAGCGAAGGGAAAATGTACAGAAATATTGTGAATTGCGTTAGTCGAGGGTTCAATACTCTATGGTCAACCGTGATGGCGCAACGAAATCCTGAAAATTTAAATATACCTCTGCTGGATCTTGTGGAAAGCCTTCAGCTGGGGGACGGGGACGAAGACAACGATGGCCTTCTTACCGTTACCGGTCTCGATCTACGTGAGATTACACGATAGAATAGATAATGACATGTGGTCAGATGCTTGAGTTCTGGTTCACGTCCAATGTCCTTGCTTAACCATCCTGCTTTTCCATCAAGGCTCCATAGCAAGAATATTGCTTCCTCGATTGTATGCTGCTAAAATAATTTTGGTGCCGTACTGGTGATCCCATGTATGATAGAGTTCATGTGGCCATCAGAGTTGCAGCACTGTAGTAAGGCGAATCGCGCTTCTCAACCAACTGAAGGATGGAGGGTCTGATATACAGCTGGGATGTTGAAAGACAGTACCCAGTCGCCTGTGCTCCCTTTCTGTCCAGTTATGGACTTGCGATTCCAACCTGATCTGGTCCTTCTGAGATGATGGTTCTGTTTGTAGCAATCCTATGCTAAGCGATTCCTGTGTGGTGTGCTGTGCGGACTTGTTCGATTGTCACTACTGTTGTTTCTGCTGAGTTCCTCGCCTTGGTCCTGGCACTTGAGTTGAGAAAACGGGTCAAGGACTCACCTCCTTGGCGCTGGAGATTTGAAGGGGCTTGAGCTCCTTCTTCAAATCAGCGACGTTGTTCTCCAAGTCAAAGAGAGCCTGAGCAACAGAGAGCTCGATCTCATCAGCGGGGCCGTTCTTGGCAATCTTGTGGCTGGCCATTATGTCTGTGATGGTTATGGATCAACCGTTTTGGTGTTGCAGGTCGTTTGTTGTTGGAGTAGATTAGATGATGTTGATTGGTCCACAAAGCCAAGTATGTTTTCCATTATCCAGTCGATGTTGGTGTCCAGGTAAAGTGTTGATTCGGCGATTCCACAAGACGATTTGGTTTGGTTTGGTTCGATTCCAGCGAGAGAGTCCGATCAAGAAGGTACGCCACATAGTCCATGATAATAGAAAAGGTATAGTCCCGAAGAAGTGTCGATGGTGTCCGTTACGATGCGGACGGGTATCAACGGCGATCATGATCAAGAATGGAAGATGGGTAGGTAGAGATAGAAAGACGCGATGGTTAGTCTATGGCCTCATTTCCTTTGGACGGATGGATTGTTGTACGCCATGGATGGATGTCTATCTCAACCAGCAGCAATCGATTGTTCGTTGCCCTTACAAGTGAGAAGTGAAAGAGGGAACTATTTGTTGCACCAGCTGCAGCCAATTTTATTTTCCACCGCGCCCAATAATCTGTGCTATCTCTATGCAACCATAACTCAGGCCCCTTAAACCGTTCGCCTTACTGTGAGCGCGCCAGGGCAGCTGTGGCCAGTGTCGGTGAATATCTCGATGCTCCATTACGAGGCTACCTGAACTTCAAGGACGTCGACAATGGCATTATATCAGTGTGAAAGACCATGGGTGCCTAATAGTAAGTAGTAAATAGTAAATAGGGTAGCGGTCAATTTTGGCCAAGAGAAGCAACTCTCCACATCAATCTGCATGCATATGAAAAAGCAGCTGTATTTTTACCCCCAAAAAAAGTTGAGCACGTTCTTCACATAAAAAAGGTCTAGTCTTCACATAAAAAGGTCTAGATTTTTTATTTTTATCTTTTTTCCTACTCTTTCACGCCCATCATCAACCTTCTCATCGCCCCATCCACTTCTTCTGCATTATGTCTGTCTCCGCTGAAAAGAGAAAGCCCGTCCGCATCTGGGTCGACGGGTGCTTCGACCTCATGCACTTTGGTTAGTTTCACACGCTGCATGACCTGAGTGATGCAAGGAACACAACTTGACTAGACCTCTCATCATCTGACCCACGTTCTGGGAACTTCTTTTTCATATTTTCTTTGTCTTTCTACGCCACTAAGGGCACTTCAACGCCCTTCGTCAGGCCAAGGCCATGGGCGACTATTTGGTTGTTGGTGTCCACTCTGACGCGGAAATTGAGCACCACAAAGGACCCACTGTTATGAAGGAGGATGAGAGGTATGAGAACCTGGATCACATTACTATCGCCATCGGTCTGTTCAGCAGGCAATAGGAAGAGCTAATGTGTCTCAGACACCAGTCTGAAGTACTCTTGAGTCAATGGCGTTGACATTGGGATGAAGATCAGGCGTTTTTGCTTAAATTGCCCGTTGTACTCGTGGCAAGCACATCTCGCGGCCATGTGCTTTATTTCTCACGGGAGGATTTCAGAGCAAAATTTAAACCAATTTACTTTGTCCTTCCATTGCTTTAGATATGCCGCTGTTGCTGCTTGCAAGTGGGTCGATGAGGTCGTCCCCAATGCCCCCTACTTGACTTCGTTGGAGTGGATGGACAAGTACAATTGCGACTTTTGCGTCCACGGTGATGATATTACAACCATGGCCGACGGTACTGACTGCTACCAGGTTGTGAAAGATGCTGGTCGTTATAGGTAAATCGACAGCCTGATATTTTCAGTCTGAATTTAAAGAAGTTCTTCGCCTCCTCTGCAGCTGATCTACGTCTTTCTCATATCTGATTCTTTGTTGCTACTATACTAGGGAGTGCAAGCGTACCCAGGACATTTCCACAACTGAGCTCGTCGGACGCATGCTGCTCATGACCAAGGATCACCACAAGCGTCGCGGCTCCGTTTCTGCCTCTTCGATCTCGTCTGTCAACACTGCCGAGCTGGGCACCTTCTCGACTGGAGGATCCAAGTCCAAGCCCGACACCAAGATCTCTCACTTCCTGCCCACATCTCGCAAGATCGTTCAGTTCTCTGAGGGAAGAGAGCCCAAGGCTGGCGATAAGGTCGTTTATGTCGATGGAACCTTTGATCTTTTCCACACCGGTAATACATTAATCTGTTTTCGACAAGAAGCGGAGATCAAGTGATCGCATCCGTTGAGTGGGTTGGTTACTAACGAATATGTAATCCTTTCTTCTCCCAGGCCACATCGAATTCTTGAAGCGCGCCAAGCAGATGGGTGACTACCTCTTGGTCGGTATTCACGATGATCAGACCGTGAATGCGATCAAGGGAGTCAATTACCCTCTGATGAACCTTCACGAGCGCGTCCTGAGTGTCTTGGCTTGTCGCGTAAGTTTTAGTTAAAGAACTTGTCATTGCAAAATCTATGTTGATTCGCTGCCTTTCTTACAGCTGACTTTTATTCTGCACTATCTACTTCGAATCGATGTAGTATGTCGATGAGGTCGTTATTGGCGCTCCTTACAGTGTCAGTGATCAGGTCTTGGAGAAGGTCTACAAGGTCGACGTGGTCGTTCACGGAAACACCCCATCCTTGAACGACACCAACGGCGAAGATCCTTATAAGCTTGCCAAGGAGCGTGGCATCTATGCTGAGATCGATAATCCTCAGAACTCTGTCACTACCGAATCCATCATCGAGCGTATTATTACCCACCGCAAGTTGTTTGAGGAGCGCCAGCGCAGAAAGGAGCAGAAGGCCATTTTGGAAAGAGAGGCCGAGAAGGCTGAGAAGGCTGCTGCTGCTGCTTCGAACCAATAAATGTGGATGTACTTTTACCCGTCTATACTATCACCACTAACAATAAAGACAGATAGCCTCTCATTTTTATGTTTGCTTTGCATTTATTTCTCACTCGACAGACGTTTGATAGATGATATGTACTGTACACAGTCTTTGTTCGACTATGAGAAGGCTCCGCCCTTGCTTCTCGAGAACTTGGAACCCAAATCCAGGGCCTGCTTGACTAGCTCGTCTCGCTGGCGGTGATCGACGCGACGTCCTCCCAAGACGTCCTTTTCGCGATCAAAAGGTCGAGCTGAGGGGTTATCGTCTGAGTTCTTTTGCCATGATTTGGATTTGATATACTTGGATGCATGCACCTCGAATAGAGACTGAGATCTGTGCTCGGCCTATGTGAAGGTGAGGTCAATCAGTAAAAAGAACTCACGAGTATCAGCAAAGATTCAATGGGCATCAACTACGGTAGCACTTCTGCAGAAAGATGGTCTAGGATGACGTACGTTGTACTTTCGAATCTGCTCCTCGCGCTCAATATCGACTTGCGAGCGACGGACTGGCTCATCATCGTCATCACGATGCTTCGATTTCTTGTGTCGGCCCGAGTCTCCACCTTCATCTCTGGGTTCTCCTCGCAATCTTTTTTCACGGTCCGCTGGAGTCTCAGTCCACAGCGATGAGTCTTGGGGCTTCAATTCGCGCTTTTGAAACGTCCTTGCCGTTATCTTAAGCGGATCGTCTTTGAAAAGGAGAGTATAATGAGAAGGGCTCGCTATGAGTACATATGAAAATCGAATAGGGCATAGTAATGAAGATGTGCAGAAGACCAAGATAGGGCCTACCCCCAAAGAGTCTGGACTCTGGAGGCACCGTCATCCATTCTTCTCTTATTGGCTTGTTGTCCTTGGCTACAGCCTCTTTATCGTTCTAAGTTTTCAATTGAAGCAGAATATGGGTCAAAGGCCAATCAATGACTTTAAATCCGCGTCTAGTTCGCAGGAACGTTTGTACGATTTACCCCAGCCAGTTTTTTCCGCATCCTCTCTGCACGCTCTTCAAACTCCTGGATTTTGCTCTGTCTGGACATGGCCTCTCGATCCACGTTTGAGGGTAAGACTGGCCCAACAATTTCATCGTCGCTGTCGCTGTCGTCGCCATAACGATTAGATCCCGACGAAGCTGATGCAGAGGGCGGCAGAGTGGGTCCGAGGACCCGTTTGGAGATGTTGGGCTGTTGTGCCTTTTCTCTAGCCAACCGCCTGGCTTCAAGGAGTTCTGGCGGCAATGCGGGGGCAAAATCTTCGAAGCTGACAGGTTCATCCTGTGGAGGCGGTATGCTGGGTCCGATGCTGGGCCCGATGCTGGGTCCGATGTCGCCCTGATCCCCATCACTACTGTCGCTACTGTCGCTGTTGCCGTGGTCGCTTGAGGCACGCCTCTTCTGCAGATGAGGCGGTAGTTCTGGTCCGATACCCATGGTTGTGAGGTGAGAGGGTGCAATGAGCGGTGTGTGAGAATGGTTGTTTGGGTGACTGTGGGTGCGAATGTCTGTGCCCTGAACCGGTTTTCGAGTCGTTGACATCTGCCGAATAAGATTCAGCATGCTATTTCCTTTTTTGAAAAATGACGAAGGGAAGAACTTGATCCCTTCTTCTTCATCCTCCTTCACTCGACTCCACTCCATCACACCCCACTCTACCAAATGCTGTCGTTGACGAGGCCAGTGGTGTCCAAGGCCACAGATGCCTCGGCCACCCGGGCCCTCTTCTCCAGTCCATGGAAAGGCGGATCCTTGACAGCACCTAAGATGAATCGCTTACCTCGCTTGCTCCAGCACTCATTTCCTCATACCTCCTCGTCCAGGTTCATTTCAACGACTCATCCCACCTTTCGACCGGCTGCCTCCCCTCCTTCCGCTTCTTCTTCGCTCCCCCCTCAGCCTCACCCACTCGGCGCATCCCTTTGAAGGTGTCTGTCCCCCTTATCACTCTCGCCACAGGTGCTGTGCTGTATGGCATGAGCGATTCGTTCAAACACAGAGCCCTCGCCTTTCGGAGGGTTCTACTTGCAGCCGAAGCGGTCGTTGTGACCGGCTACGATTACAAGTTATCGCTTGGCCACGGAAATCGGGACTTGAAAGCCGACGATCCCGAGGATGAACTCGAGCGACGGAGACGCAAAAGCAGGCTGCACAAGAGGAGTGCTGAGCGAGTCATGGCCATGATGCGCGAAAACGGGGGGATCTACATCAAACTGGTATGCTCAGCACAAACAATGGCTATGCTTTGTTTTGCAACATGACCGGATAACAGCGATCTCATGCAATTATCACCCCTTTTTTCACGTAGGGCCAACACCTCGCCAGTTTAAAGTATCTGCTACCAGAGGAATGGACAAGGACCATGGAACCCCTTCAGGACCGCTGTGCACCTTCGTCCATCGAATCCATTCAGGCTCTCTTTCTTTTTGATCTCGGTCAGCCACTCTCTGAAGTCTTTTCGTCATTTGACCTTAACCCAATTGGCGTGGCCTCACTCGCCCAGGTCCACAGAGCGGTGCTCAAGGATGGCCGCGAGGTAGCTGTCAAGATCCAGCACCCGGCTTTAAATGAGTTCTCAGAGATCGACATGAAGACTATTGAAGCTCTCGCACGTTTCATCGCCTATGCTTTCCCAGAGTTCGAATTCCTTTGGCTGAGCGAAGAGATTCAGGACAACCTGCCAAAGGAACTCGACTTTCGATTCGAGGCCATTAATGCACAGCGCACAGCCTTTAATTTTGATCAGGCCCGTGCTCAGGGGAGTCCTTCAACTGTCAAGATTCCGGATGTGCTTTGGGCCCAGAAGCGCGTCTTGGTCATGGAGTGTAAGTTATAATTTTATGATGTTTTTAACATGTCAGTAACTCGTAAGAGATTAGTTGAGTCATCGTTATTAATCTTTTTTCTTTAGTCATGGATGGGTCCAGGATCGATAATGTCGAGTATTTGAAAGCGAACAACATCAAGGTCGCCGATGTTTCCAAGGAGATGGCCCGTACGTTCTCCCAAATGATCTACAAGGACGGTTTCCTGCACTGCGATCCTCATCCAGGCAACCTGATGATCCGTCCCAAGCCTGCAGGATCACCCTCCCATCGCAACTTTGAGATCATCTTGCTGGACCATGGGCTCTACCGCGAGCTCCCTCTGAACTTCCGTCTCGAATATGCACGACTTTGGACAGCCATTATGGCTTCGGATCAAGAAGAGATCAAGCGCAGAGCCTTGAACCTCGGCGGCATTGACGCATATGAGTTATTCGCCTGTATCTTGACCGGTCGCGATTGGGACGTGATCCAGGACGCGCAGTTGACGAAGAAGGTACGAAACAAGGCAGAGACGTCCAAGATTTCGAAGGGCGCTGGTAATTGGTTGGTCGAGATTGCGGATATTTTGGCCAAAGTACCACGCGATCTGTTGCTGTTGTTCAAGACTAATGATCTCCTTCGAGCTCTGGACGAGGATTTGGGCGCGGACGACGGAGCGCAGATGAGAACGTTTGCGGTTATGGGACAGTACTGTGCACAGATTATTTATGAGGTGGAGAAGAGTGACATTCGTAAAGATGTTGCTTTGAGTGGTAGCAGCAAGCCGATTGTATTGGTCAAGTCGTTTAGTGCTTGGTGTAAGGCGTACTGGCAGTTTATCTTCAAGACAATTTCTCTAGATGTGTTTGTTTGGTGGGTGGATCAGAGCCAGGCGAACACATTGGTTTACTGGTTTGTCTCCAAGCTTGGATTGTCCATTATCTAGATATCATATCAACTAGAGCATACAAAAAAAACAAAAATTAGACTACAATACCACTTTTTAGACACTTGTTCAGAAACGTCAGATTTTTTTTATTGACGCCAGATCCCCCCAGACGCGCAGGCGTGCCACGTTCAGAAATGTCAGATCCTAGTGATCCTAGTTATGATTGCAGACATCACATGTGGTCAATGTTTGTTTATTGAGGCAGTCACCAAAAAAAAAAAAAAAAAGATACGACACTTGTTCAACGCGCCCTCATTCTTCCCCTTACCTCTCATCCCGCACTCATGCCCGCCATCAAAGCAGAAGCACCCACTAACCACATGACACTCCGGTCTGCCGACCACTCCGAGGTCAAGGACAAGGTCAAGAAAGAAGAAAAGAAAGAGAAGAAAGAGAAGAAAGAAAAGAAGGAAAAGAAGGATAAAAAAGAAAAGAAGGACAAAAAGGAGAAGAAGGAGAAGAGGGAAAAGAAGTCTCGCAAGGCCGCCGATTCCTCGGAAGAATCTGACTCGGAGGACAGCAGTAACAAGAAGAGCAAGAAGGTCAAGGAGGAGAAGGAGACGGCGAAACCCTTAGCCAAGAAGGCCCGCCTTGAAGATCTGTCACCACCCCCAGCAGAGACTCCCCGCGATTCGACACCGGAGCCTGGTGCGGACAAGGAGGTACATGATGAGGTTCCAGAGAATTTGCGTCTGAGCTCGTACAGGATTTCGCCCTCCACGATTGCGGCATTGGCGGCTCGAGGAATCAATGCGTTGTTCCCTATTCAGGCGGAGACATTCGATCATATCTACAATGGAAACGATGTTCTTGGACGGGCTAGGACTGGAACTGGAAAGACCTTGGCGTTTGCGTTGCCCATGGTTGAGATCTTGCTCAAGGACAGAGCCCCCGCAGATCGTGGTCGTCCCCCTCGTGTTCTCGTCCTTGGTTAGTACAAATCAATGGATTTTCAATTGGGTAGTATGTATTGCGTGATATGCTAACCATATCAACTGTGTTGTATTATAGCTCCCACCCGCGATTTGGCCATCCAAGTATCGAACGAATTTACGAATGTTTCTCCCAGTCTCAAGTCCGTCTGTCTCTACGGTGGTACACCCATGCCAGAGCAGACGGCTCATCTCCGCAATGGCGTCGACGTCGTGATCGGCACACCTGGTCGTGTTCTCGACCACGTCAACCGCGGCAACCTTAAACTCGATAACCTGCGTTTTGTGTGCCTGGACGAGGCGGATCAGATGCTGGATATCGGATTCGCGGACGATATGGAACAAACCCTGCAGCATGTGCAGACCCAGAAGGAGGCCCGTGGCGCCAGCGCACCCAAACACCAGACGCTCCTCTTCTCTGCCACAGCTCCTGAATGGATCAAGCGCACGGTGCAGAAATATCTGGATCCAAAGTACATCAACGTGGACTTGGTCGGGAACTCGCGCGTGAAGACGAATGAGAATATTCGTCATTATGCGATCCCTTCAACATGGCAGTCGCGCAAGGATGTAATTGGTGATGTCGTTGCCGTCTATGGTGGAAACCGTGGGTTGACGGTTATCTTTGCGAACACAAAGGCGGAGGCAGACGAATTGGGATTGACACCCAAGTTGAAGGCGGACGCGAAGGTGCTGCATGGAGATATCCCTCAAGCGCAGCGTGAGTTGACTTTGCAGGGATTCCGTGAGGCTAAGGTCAAGTGCATCATCTGCACAGATGTGCTTGCGAGAGGAATCGATATCCCCATGGTCGATCTTGTCATTAACTGCCAACCCCCCAAGGATGTCGAAACCTATGTCCATCGCTCTGGTCGTACGGGTCGTGCGGGTCGCAAGGGTGTGTGCGTGACCTTCTACAAGGCCCAGGAGGAGTACATGATCCAGAACATTCAGCGTCGGGCAGGTATGGAGATGGTCAAGGCCGGACCTCCACAGCCGGAGGATATCATTGCGGCGACGGCTCAGGATGCGGCGGATATTGTGTCGAAGGTCGTGAAGAATGTCATCCCTATGTTCAAGCCTATTGCCGAATCGATGATCGCTGAGAATTTCGATGGAAACGCCACAGATGCGCTTGCGGCCGCCTTGGCTCAGATCTCGGGATACGGTGCCGGTGTTCGTGCGCGCTCACTCATGTCTGCGGCCGAGGGCTTCACGACCATGGTCTTCCGTCTGACGCACGAAATCCAGCACCCAGGATATGTTCGCAATATTCTGACCCGCAACTTCCCCAAGCTGAGCTACGAGGATGTCAAGGGCATGCGCATGACCAAGGACATGATGGGCGTCGTCTTTGATGTGGTCTCGGACAAGGTGGAGGTGGATGAGAACAATACCATCTTCTTGGGAGGGAACAAATGGACGGATCTGGACAACATCTCGCTCGAGGTCGCCAAGACTCTACCAGAACTTGAGCAGCGTATGGACGATCGTCGCAGCGGCGGTGGTGGCGGCGGTGGACGTGGTGGATTTGGAGGTCGTGGTGGGTTCCGTGGTGGACGTGGGGGTGGCGGTGGTGGGTTCCGTGGTGGTCGTGGGGGACGTCGCTAAAAAAAAAAGAAGTTTGCACTCTCATTATGTTTCCCTGTACTATATCTTTATATCTATTCATCATTTTCATTTTCCTCTTCCATTAATGAGATGCCCTTTCTGTCGAATGAATCGACTTCCTCAATTGATTTAGCACAAACTTTGGTTCCTGGATTTATTCCTCAGCCCAGTCTTTATGGCGGAAGTTGGATGACTTCAGTGCGAAATTAAAAAACTATGCCTGCTTTCTCAAACTCCACTCTCATCATATAAAATTGCTCATTCGAGATCAAAATCTGGTATGAAGCATTTAATCTGGGGTACCAACCCCTGATGGCCTTAGAATATGTGCCCGTTTCTGGTCAAAAGTTGACCCCTTGATTCATTTTTTGACACGAAATCTCGTGTGTCAATTCTGACCAGAGCTTTTAACCAGGAGTTTGACACAGTCTCAGGTTAATTTTGAGGGGAGGGATCTGATCGATTCTCCAGCTCAGTGATGACTTAGAACTTGGGCTATCAGATTTAATCTGGATGAGTTTTTAAATGAAAAGGCACAACACGAAGAACTAGGCAACATGGGTGAGAATGTAATAGTCATATCATTGCCCAGCTATGAGTTGTGGGGATTAAAAAATCATTTTTTTGAGTGTTATTATTATTATCACCATGGCATCAAGATATAAAAACCGTAATTGTGAATATGGAGAGAACCCTCTCCTGACGTCCTTGAGAACCCCTCCGCACACTCCTTTCACCCCCCTCTCTGAATGATCATGACGATCATCCAATCCATTGACAGACGGCCGTCACCGTCTGTCCGAGCACCAATGCCTCCGCACGGACTTCAGTTTCTCCGAAATGCATCTTGACCTCGACCAGGACCTCGGCTCCAGGCATCATGCCCGGGATGTCTGGCATTGGGATCTGGAAGTCGCCCAATTTCTTGACCGAGGGCTCGTCCACATAGCGGGGCTCGTTCTCCGAGTCAGACACGTACAGTGGGCAGTCCAGTGGGCGTGGGTAGCACCAGGTCATGTACTTTTTCGTCACACACTCGCCCAGCGCTACAGACTGACCAGGAGTAATATAGACCGAAAACCTGTCCTTACAACGAACTGTGCCATCGCGCGAGAGCGTCTTCTTCTCCTCGGGATCGACACCCGGAATAAAGTCCATGGCCGAGTCGACTCCGTACCAACGACGCGCGACACGGGAGATAATCGAACCCTGGTGAAGACCATAGGTGACCGCACCACGCACGACCGCCAACTCTGCACGAGGAGGCACACGCACCTGTCGTCCTGATGTCGCAAACTTGGCCGTGACCCTATCAAACAAGTACCGCGACGAACCGAATCCACCCACCAAGAAAATAGCCTCACAATGCGTCTGCTGAAGCTGGTACTCGATCAGGTCCAGTACATCCTTCACCACAGGGTCGAACACGCGCTCGTGCAGTTCCGAGACCATCAACTTCAACATCCCGTCCTCCAACCCAATATCGATATCATTTGCGTCAGGCAAGTTTGGGATATTGGGAACCTGCAGGTACATTTCTGGGTCCGTTCCTGGGAAGATTGGCTTTGTCTGGTTCACAAACGTGTCCATGATCGTGCCCCATCCCATGGGTGTCAATGGGTATTTCCGGAACTTCTCTCTCAGCAGCTTCTCCATGTTTGCGTCCAAGAAGGCCGATCCACAGGAGGCTCCATGACCCCTCGTGACTTCTCGCAGACTCCGGATGCCCGTCTCCGGGTTCACATCAACGACCTCAAAGACGATCAAATCAACCGTTCCACCACCGGCATCACAGATCAAGAATCGGTCGTGCTTCTGCAGGTTGAATTGATCTCCCTTCGACTGACAGTACATGGCCGCGGCCTCAGGCTCGGACACAATGATCAATCGATGCGCAGGATCGTCCTCCCTGATCATTCCCGCCCGGACAGCCGCCAGACGCATCACATGCTTCGCACGATCGGACCACATGGCGGGGACTGTCAGACAGTACTGGATATGGGACTGATCATAGGTCGATCCAAAGTTCTTCATCGCCTCCTTGACGACGTGCGCATGGAATTTGCACAGATAATCCGAGATCGCGTCCAGTGGTTTGATTCCCAGAGGCAAAGGTTCGATATTCTCCTGCTGATCATCCAATTGTAGCTTGAACTTACTGAGCAGCAGATGCTTCTTTGCGTTCGGGGTCATCATTACCGCTCGCGCTGGGTATCCCCAGTCCAGGAAATCGGGCGAGTCCAGTTTGTACAAGCTGATGGTCGGTACTTTCGGGTACTGATATGCCTGCTTAGGCCTATATAGAATTGCAATTGAATAGTGTTATAGTGTTAATACTTCCTTCGTCATCGGTTGCACATACACTCTCAGACAATCCATTTGATTTCTTCGTATGCCCGCCCCCAATTTCGTTTGTACTCCCCCCAAGAAGGAGAAGGAGACATGAAATGGGTGCTGAATGTTATTAAAAAGCTCATTTATTTGTTGTTAAACCCATGCTGGCCGTTCATCTTGAGGCGGCGGCGCTTTTTCCATGATTTCCTTTTGATCCTGCCCATCAATGCTTCCTGCGCAAAACAGCCCGCTCCAAAACCAAAAGGGATGGACCATCATGAAACCATTCATTCCAATTGTCGCGATTAACATGTCCCTGTCCCTGAACCTGATGGATATTGGTATCATAATCGCGCACATTGTTTCCTGTATAATCCTGTAGTCCTACTCGTTTTTTTGTGGCATAGGATGTAATAGAGGAAGGATCTTGCTTACCAGGTAATGATCTCTTGAATTTCTGGGTCCTTTCTGAACGCAAAGGCGCATCCTGTGAACGTCGTTCCGAAATCGATCGCCATGACAATCGGATAGTCCTCCTTAGGGTCTCCCGTCAACCTGCTACCATTCGGTCGAGCCATTCCTGGCTGCTCCTCCTGTTGATGAAGTTGCTGCTGATGCGAAGGAGAAGCGGTCATGTAGCTAGGATTATAGGGCTGACCCTGGAATGGGGCTGATGAGGGTGGTGGGATAGGCTGTTGGCGCAGTGATTGATACATGGGATTGGACGAAGGCGGGGGCATAATACCGCCTTGCTGGTGCTGCTGCAGATGCGAGTGTGGTTGAGGCATGGATGGGTAAGCTGGTTGCTGCTGTTGTGATTGTTGGTTGTATCCATAGCCCGAGGAAGACGATGGTGGGCCACTGACGGGCGGGTATCCTCCAGCTCCCGAGAGCGGCGGGTATCCGCCGCCGTATCCTCCAGAGGTGCCATTAGTGCCGTTCTGGTGAGATCCTGGTGTTGGTGCTGCTGGTGTTCCTGCTGCTGGTGGTTGAGGAGGGCCTTGTTGCGACAGGGAGGTGAAGACCATGGCAGTAGGGGCGGGCTGAGAGGAGGCAAGCGAGGGCGAGGGTTGTGCCTGACCATTGACGGGGCGGGCGGACTGTTGGTGCTGGGGCTGGGCAGGTGCGAGCGCGGTGGGAGAGCCACCGTTGGGCCTCTTGTCCTTTGAAGATTTACCCCCGAAGAACTTTTTCATGGCTGCAATGGGGTGATTTGATGAAGAGGAAGAGAGGAAGGAGAGAAGGAGATGCAGGAACCGAAACGGAGACTTGCCAGGGGAAATGGAAGCGGGGGAAGAAGTGGAGGCAGTGGCGGGCTGACTGGCTGCTTTGTGCGAAAAATAAATAAAATAAGATAATAGACTAGTATGTAGTGCAAGATGGAAGGGTGGGACGGGAGTATATGAAAAAGAGAAAAGCGAGAAGAGAGCGTGCGAGTGGCGAAATGAGGGAGGAGGAGGGGAAGAGAGAGCACGTTCTCTCGCTGAGGACAGATTGAGTAGAGGGCGGGAGTAATGACAAAGAGATGAAATGTTCAATCCAGCGGAGGAAAAAGAGGGGAGGAGGATGAGATGATGAGGATGAGTTGATGAGGAAAGAGAGTGTGAAAGTGTGTGTGTGAGAGTGTGGGGACAACGTGGTGGCAGAGCAGAGCAGAAAGTAGAGCAGAAAGTAGAGCAGGAAGTAGAGCAGACTGGTGCCCTCGGTCGGCTCTCACTTTTTGCCTGTCGTTTCGAGAAGCGGACATACAGAAACTTGTTTCTTGGGTACTTTGCAGCAGTTACAGCCCAGTAAGAAGCAGAGAGAGAATAGTCATTTATTTCTACCATGGAAAGCAGCTTCATGGAAATGTACAAACTCTTCTCTTGTGCGCTGCTGAAAAGACTCGACAGAGCACAGCAGTATCCGCCTTCCAATGAATAGTATTACTTTACTCTGCGACAGTATCTTACCCCAAACGAAGACTGTGATGTCCCTGCAAGAATAGACTGATGCATCTCATGTTGCAGCGGACATTTGGAGTGAACTTTTCATGTTGCAACAGCGCCAGTGCTTGCTTACGCCGCCAATGAACACTGGCCATATCCTCCTCTTAAGGACATATCCGCAACAATAAACTAGCTGTAATCAGTCGGCACTTAGACTGTTCATGAGTGCTATGTGTGCGCTCGCTCTTTCTTGCCAAGCGAACGGGACTGGAAAGAAGACGGTGGGGAGAGAACCCGAATTTTTTAAGTTTGAGCAGCTTGGGTGCGATCGTACTAGTTGATTGCAGGCTCATTAAGGCTCCTAGGCTACGCGTCGCGTCGTTGTGTTCTTTACAGCATTGGACCAGACGAGCTGTCAGCACCGTCTTATCAATACATCCTACGCGTTCATGTTTCAGACGCGTGTTGAGGACGTCTGCCAAATTGGCTGTTCCCATTGGCTAACAATTTTTTGCAGATCCATCCATCCATCCTTTCCTATTCTCTCAATTGGATCTTCGGCGCAGGATAAGGGTTCCTGTAGATCTAATACCCTTACTCGAAACGAGACCACAGTCCTTGTTTCAAGATTGCGGTCATTAGTGCTCCTTGTGGATTTGCTAGACACACCTTTACCTTTGATCTGTTTCTGTTCGCAATAAGACTGCTGAGGCTGCCATTGAGAATCTAGCATTGCAGCCGCTACAATCCTTTGCAGGCGTTTTTGAGGATAAATGCTTTTACCGCTGCACTGTTGTGCGCACAGACATGACCTCCTTCATGAACGCGCCGCAGCGAATACAGCACTGCGGCCTTCGAACATTTCATCTATTCAGTTTGATTTGCATAATTCTGTGGCGCTATGCTCCATTCTGTTTATTGCCTATTTGTGCTTTGTGGTACCATTCGCGTCAATCCTTCCAGGATTCTGAGCAATGGCTAACTGTTTATCCATGTTTTCATAGATATGATGGTTCTCCAAGTAAGTTCTAACAGTACGCAGCACAAAACTCCAAATAACTCTTCACTCTCACCCATCGCAATAAGCAATACGATTAAAGAATGACTCAAACATCCACGACAGAGCCCGCTGTCTTTGAGGGCGTTAAGCCCCCCACTCTCGTTACTAGCAACGGCGACGTCGTCTTAAGTGTCTTCGCCACATGTGTTCTCAGATATGCCACCAGACTTTTCAATGGCACACGCGTCTGCCTCAGGGTCGGTCAAATCACTTACATTGCCCCATAGTCCGACCTCGAGACCATCCTATCAATCCTGGAACCATACTGTAGGATTATATTGCTATTGGTAATGTACAGAATCTGCAGGATATTTGGTTGAACGGTCCTTGGGGCGGAGGGATGCTGATCTCAGCCGAAAATGTCATGGGTATCTCGCCCAGTGCCCTTGCCAAGTTTGATTCGACCCAATTGACGTCCTTGGGGAACTATGCAATCGTATATGGAGGGATCCTTGTGGCGGATTTCTGGACGAGTCAGACAGTGGCTATCATGAACTCGACGAGTCCCAATCGTTCTTTCATAAAGTGGTTGAGCCATCTGACGTGCTGCTCACCAACATTGGCCTGCGAGTTACGGTTAGAAAGTCCTGCTGATGCCACATGCCAATCGCCGGTGTCTAGTAACCTGCTCGAGATATAAATGATCTGAATAGTGAAGGCGCTGATCTTACTTATTAGCCCTTTAAGGATGGGGATTGAGGTAGGACGCAGATGAAAGTTCATCAGAAGAGGCGCAGCCTCATTATCCTTTTCATCGCTTCTTTCATCAGGCCAAGCATGTTCAGATATTTGAGACGAAGAGGTTAGAGAGCAGCGTTAGGGAGGGAAATTAGCGCGCCATTTACTCGGCAAGGTCGCACACGATCAAGAGTACCTAGAATCACCTCTGAAGATGATCAGGGCTGGAATGGTGGTCCATCTAAAGATACAGGCTGGCGATCCAAGTTCCCGCCCCGATTGACATACGGGCTATCGCGCTTGACACTATAAGCAGCTCACCGAAGGTGTGATGCTTCTGCGCAACCTTGCAGCCGCGGAGGCCATGGTGGAGTAACTTGCTTACAATCTGAGAATCTGAGACTGTGCGATGAAGATGAGGATAAAGAGGAAGAGGAGGAGGAGCAGGAGTAGTCTCCCAGCAGAGGCTGAATCAACTTATAACGCGATCATCGCCATCCAACCAAAATAAACACAGGGAAAGAGCGCAGGGACAGACGCAAACAGCACCTGCGGATAGATAAGAAAGAGGCCATGTCGTTCTCTGGGCAGATCAATCGTCGAAATGTTACTGTCCAGTTGCCACAAAGATTGAAGATTGGACAAGCGATCGCAAGCGATAGCAAAAAAGACAACCTAAACCATAACTCTGTGGAGCGATAACGAAACGAAGAGCGCGGACTGTCTTTACCCTCACCGATCCCTGAGGCTAATTGAGGGCTCCTCAGGGCATCTGGAGGCATCTGGAGGCATCTGGAGGCATCGAGTGGACCCCACTCTCTTTTTTTTTTTGTTCGTTATCGTCAAAGGCATATCTCTTTCTATTGTCGCCCCAGGGTAGCCAGTGCCGCCGCCAGTGCAAGAATCTGCTACATACCAGCATAGTGTGTGTCTATCTGCCTCCCAAGGACTGACATTGTCCGAGGGATGCAGGAGTGACCTTCTCTTGGGGTGTCCGCTATGGCTGACCAGCAATGAGGCGGTGGGATCTGTTTATGAAATGCGCTGCATGGTTGTGTGGCGCTGGCACGTCAATCAAAAAGTGTATCCGATAGTGGACATGATAAGACTGCAGCAAATAAAAATGGTGTTTGTTCCTTGCCCTTTCCCCTTCCTCATTCCTCTCTTTCGTTCGCTCATTCATTCATCAACCCCATCACTTCCTAGCTCCTCTGACAATCTCCGTCTGTCCAACTACACCAGCCTCGAGTCCTCAGTCGCCCCCCCGAGATAGAATATTTTAATCGACAACATGTTCAACGACTCAATCAAGACCAACCTCGAGTGGACCTCGTCCCTCGATATCGACTTCCAGCCCAAAAACACGCGCAAGACCTCCATCATCTGCACCATCGGTACCGTATCCACGGAGCATTAGCAAAGAAATTGCCTTGAGAAATGGACCCCATACTGACATTTTGTAATCTGTGCTAAATGACGATATATCGCTCCATCTAGGCCCCAAGACCAACAACGTGGAGATGCTGTCCAAATTGCGTGATGCCGGTATGAACATTGTCCGCATGGTGAGTATTCTGCCGTGTAATCGGATGCTCTACGGAGATGAATGGTGACGCGAGTTCCATGTGTATGTGGTGGAGCGTGGGAAGGAGAGACGATTTTATTTTTGAGATTGATTGCCATGTTTCTGGCGTGCATGAACTGTGGACAATGCACCTATCCCCCATTTATGTTTCACTCGCGTCAATGAGGCTGAAGGAGGACATTCCGGCTTCGGACTTCCTCTGAAAGGGCACGATCTGGCGCGTTACGCTAAATCAAAGTTTGAATGTCATTGAGTCGCGACCTTGAGCTGACCCCCGAGAGCACCTCCTATTGTCCGTTTGTTAGAACTTCAGCCATGGTTCATATGAGTACCACCAGTCTGTCATCGACAATACCCGCCAGAGTGTTCTTGGTAAGTATCAATTTTGCCTCATTACTATTATTCCGCGCTCATTTTGCCCGCGTCCGCCAGCCCTGCCGATCATTCTACGAGCACTTTCTTTCACCCCAAATGCGGCCGTCTGACAATGTCCGCGTCTTGTTACGGTTATTTCCGCCATTAATCCTCCCGTTTATGATTCTGCATGAACCATCGTAGAGCACCCTGGTCGCCCCGTCGGAATCGCCCTTGATACCAAGGGTCCCGAGATCCGCACTGGCTTAATGAAGGACGATGTCGAGGTCCCTATCTCCGCCGGTCACGAAATGATTTTCTCCACAGACGACCAGTATGCAGAGACCTGCACAGGCGAGGTCATGTATATCGACTACAAGAACCTGACCAAGGTCATTGTTCCAGGCAAGGTCATTTATATCGACGATGGTGTTCTCTCCTTCAAGGTCCTCGCAGTCGAAGATGATCACGTCAAGGTCCAGGCTTTGAATAACGGCAAGCTCTGCTCCAGAAAGGGTGTTAACCTGCCCAAGACTGAGGTCGATCTCCCTGCACTTTCTGAGAAGGACAAGAAGGATCTTGAGTTTGGTGTCAAAAACGATGTAGACATTATCTTTGCCTCATTTATCCGTCGCGCGGACGATGTCCGTGAGATTCGCAAGGTCCTTGGCGAGGAGGGCAAGCACATCAAGATTGTCAGCAAGATCGAGAACCATCAGGGTGTCATGAACTTTGATGAGATCCTCGAGGTCACTGACGGTGTTATGGTCGCCCGTGGTGATCTTGGTATTGAGATCCCTTGCGAGCAGGTCTTCCTCGCCCAAAAAATGATGGTCTCCAAGTGCAACCTCGCTGGCAAGCCCGTTATTTGTGCCACACAGATGTTGGAGTCGATGACAGTAAGTGATATCATTCGAGCAAGGACATCCTTCACTCTGCCGATCTATACATGTGGGAATATAAGCTAATGGCATCGAATTTCTTATTAACGTGTTATCTTCTATTCGTCTGGACACTATAAGTACAACCCTCGTCCTACTCGTGCTGAGGTCTCGGACGTTGCCAATGCTGTTCTGGATGGAGTTGATTGTGTGATGTTGTCCGGAGAGACTGCCAAGGGTTCGTACCCTCTGGAGGCCGTCCGTACCATGGCTGAGACCTGTGTCCTGGCCGAGTCCGCTATCTGTTACCCACCACTGTTCAACGAGCTCCGCATGCTCCAGAAACGCCCTACCGAGACTACCGAGACCGTGGCCTCGTCGGCAGTGTCTGCTGCACACGAGCAGAACGCAGGCGCGATTGTTGTTCTCTCCACATCCGGTGACACTGCCCGTCTGGTCTCGAAGTACCGTCCTCAAGCCAACGTTGTCATTGTCACCCGCAAGGAGTCGACTGCTCGTGCGATTCACCTCTCTCGCGGCTGCTACCCATTCTTCTACACCGAGCCTAAGAATGAAGACTGGCAAGAGGACGTCGACGCCAGATTGCGCTGGGGAATGGACCAGGCTATCAGTCATGGCTTGCTTAAGTCTGGTCAATCTGTGATTGTGATCCAGGGCTTCCGTTCTGGATACGGCAACACCAACACGATGCGCATTGTCTTTGCTTAAGGAACATATTGCCGCGCCGAGTTCATTTAGACCGAATGAAACGTCTTGCTTGTACAAATAAAGATCTCACGAATGTTGAGAAGAATGTAACCTGGAACGAGTAGAAGCAGCCAGGTGTCTAACAATACCCTTGGACTCGGAATACGCATAATGAACAACGAATGTTTAAGGTCATGCCTCTGAAGGATACATATATTGCTCCATTGCACTTCATTATTCGTCTTCATTTGCGCCTGTCGAACTCGATGAATTTAGGCCGAATCTCCATCGACAGAAAAGTCAAGGCCACAGCGGATGGGTCAACGGCTAGGACAATCAAAACCATCTTCTCTGATTTGGCAGACAATACCTTGATGCGCTCTGAGGATCTGCTTGGAAGAATCTTTGAGGATATCTGGGTCTCGATATCAGTGCCGGACATTACGACGAGAACGACAATTACAATTACATCCCGCATTGTGGCGACGGTGATCATGTGCTTTGACCGCTGCCAGAAGAAGCTATGGGCTGCGCACCATATGCCAAACTCGAGTTTAGAGATCAAATGATATGGGATCAGCAAGGCGACCGCGTCGAGAATGGGGCCATGAACGGGGCGGAGCCTAAGTCCGAGAGCAACTTGGTCCATTGTGTGCTTTTTTGGTGGGATACGAATAAAGACGCGTTTTGAAAACTTAAATGGGGGGGGGGGGGGGTTTTTTTTTTTTTTGTTTTGATGCATCCTCCTCCGCCTATAGCCATTACCTCTTCGCTTTTGCTCAGGCCACCGTATGAATGCCCCATTTTCTCCCCTCCGAATCGCCCTCACATCATGAACTTACAGGACTTGCTAATGAATCCCGAGTCATGGGATGTTGATGCAGTAGAGCGATGGTTCAAGGCAACATTCAACCTACCAGAGGAGACCCTCGTGCTACTGAAAGGTACGCCTGTGCAAAGCTTAGGCATATTTTTCAGTCATGCATTGTATACTAACTGAACCTTGGTACGCTCTGTAGAAAATGATGTCGATGGGTCAATCTTGGTCAACGATATCGACCACCGGGCCCTCAAGGACGAGTTCGGTCTCAAGTCCTTTGGTGTGCGTTGTAATATCCTGAAGGAAATCGCCAAATTACGAGGTAAGCATTAGTGTTTAGTCGCCTTTTCTCCGGCTTTTCGTCCAGACGGCTTTGATAAGACATAGGACTGACATTACTTTATCTGAATTCATAGCGACCTGCATCAAAGAGGAGATCAAAAGTGAGCAAGAACGTATGGACTCACTGCTGCCGCCAGGAGTTTCGAACTTGAATGGTCTGGATCTTCAAGAAGCAACCTTTACTCGGGATCAGTCAAAGGAGACTACCACCAACGATCGCACATTTATCTTCGCGGAGCACACACAGGAGATTCCGCTGCTGGCGCAACCATTAGAAGTCTGGCGAGACGACATTGTCGACAGCAAAATGCACCATAGCTCAAGGCGGATCAAAAGGTCACAGACGCCGGAGGCTATATCTCTCGACGAATCTGACGGTGAAGACGACAAGGATGAAGAGGATGAAGAGCAAGAGGATGAGGAGGGCGACAGCGATCTGGAGGATATTTATTTGGAATACATCGACCACCATAGCGACTCTGACCTTCCGCTGGCGGTAAGGCTCGAGACGAGCAGGAAGTCAGATACTAAAGCGAAATCAGCCGTTCCTGGACAACACAGTTTTGTTGAGACGCCTACCTCTCAATTCGCGTCTTCTTCACTTACCACAGGAGTGCAGAAAGCCGCCACTGCCGTTTCATCTACATTGTCCTCAGTGCATACAAAGAGAATTGTACCCACGGCCATATCGACAGGAATTCCACAGCGAGCCATAGGCCAGAAACCAACGTTCGCCTCTAATTCATCCTCACCTGCTCTGGCAACTAATGCATCACCCAAATTCCAAAGGATCACACCCACGTTTGTATCGCCATTTCCCACTCCCCAGGACCTTGAGCCCGCGATCCATCCAAGCCCTGGTTTACGATCCCAAAGCATGAACGACACCATCTCAAGTAACGACCACATCCCCAACAGCAGCAGCAGTCCCAAGTCCACTAGAGTCTTTAAGAGTAGGCCCTCAAAACAACACTATCTCACCCAAGCACGCCTCTCCATGGATGAATTATTCTGGAATAAGCATGGGGCGGCGTTGGAGAGTAGCAGCGACGACGAGTGGTCAATTACTGCATCCAGACCACCCAGGAAATCGGTACCTGCAGGATACCGATCAATTGTACAGCGGAATCTCAAGCGCATTTTACGAGAGCCTCCCATTTTTGAAGCCTCAGGACAGACTATATACGCTCCTTTGAGACGCAGAGCCAAGGATGTTCCTGTCAAAATCATATCCACTCGCGAACCAGGTGCCAAGGTTGAAGGTACGTATAAAAGCACTGGTTACTGGGAAGCGACATTAGACAGCCTGGCAATCCACGCAGCATAGCTGACTGCTCCTTCACCTGTTAATCTATTTTAGTTAAGAACAGCACATGGGATAGCGTGTTCAAGGACCAAAAAAATCCGACCTCATTAAGGGTAGAGTTGACCTTGGGCGAACACGACATGTCGTCGATCGACTTTCGGACATTTACTAGACCGCAAGGGACAACCCACACCACACCTCTGCTAGCACCCGATGATGACCCTATATACCCGCTCTATGGGGACTCGGACGCCTCTGCATACACCACAGACGAGGAGCTGTACAAGGAAGTCGCAAAGGAGGAAAAGGAAAAGTTGAACAAGCTGTCCAGACGCGATCGAGTACTATCAGTCAAGACGGTTCTTTCGAGCGAAACTGTGCGAGAAATCATTGAACAGTACACGGCCGAATACATGGAGCAATGGAATACATTATCAAGGCCGCATCTTCAGAGAAATGTATATAAGATCTACAGACAGCTAATGTACAATGGATCCACAGCCAATTCGGAGGCTGAACTCATGGGGTCGGTCCGGCAACTCGAGGGTACGAGGTTACCGTCTATTATCGAAGCTTTTATGGATACCGCATACAGAACCAGAGCGGAGGTGCGCAAGGCTTGTGCTGCCATGGACAGGACGCTGGACCAACTGGCTGAGCAACAGTGGAAGCTGGAGCTCATTCGAGGACCTGCTCCATCACCAGATATTGAGTCAGGACAAGAATCTGGCCCTGATTCAGAAATCGACCTCACTGAAGGAGGATTATCATCAGAATCCGGGCAGAAAAAACAATGGGGGCGCCGTAAGCGCCATGACAAGGAGCATGACGAGCTCTCTACGGAAGAGGAGCGAGAGCTTGAAGAAGAAAGACGACAGCGGGAACTGGACGATGATTTCATTGATGACTCGGAGATGTACGTGGACTACGAATCGGAAGTCATCGGCAATGGCGATTTAATTATGAGTGGACGTCCTGCACCAAGAAGAAGGAAAAAGCCGTCAACAAAGCCGATCGCCGCCAAATCTGGATTCAAGAAGTTGCCAGTTTCCAAGCCTGCAGATAAAGATGATGAAATGTTGCTGCTCTCACTTCCTTCTCCGCCTTCGACCTCAGCCTCTCCAAAGGACGAACAGCAGTCTGCAGAGGTGAACCCATCACAGAAAGAAGAGGATGACAAAGAGGACGAGACGTTGTATATCAGGCGTAAGGGCAGCAGAAAACATCGCCAGGATTCGTCACAGATCGGTCTATCGGATGAGAATGTTCCGTTATCCGTAAAGCGAGCTCGGAAACCCTCGCATGATGTCATTGAACCACGATCCATGTATCATGACCAAAAAGCGAGAGCCTCTTCACCAGTTGTCATTGAGCTGGATGACAGTGAGCCATCGCTTCCGGAATCCCCTGCAGAAGGCGAAGTCTCCTCCGCCAACCAACTCCGCAAATCGTCACCTAGCACTTTAGGCTTGAAAGAGGAAGTTGCACAACAGGATGATGCTGAAGAGGACCAGCTACCGACTGACCGGACTGAGCATGCGGACGAAACTATTGAGGAGTCTATGGATGTGGAAGCTGAGCCTGACTCAGAAACTTCGGAGATAGAAGACACTGATTTACCGTCATTGGCCCCTATTAAGAAACTAAGGACTTCAAACTGGAGGGCAATTATCAAGAACCAAATGGATGATATGCAGTTAGAGAAGAAGGTTCGCGCTATTCGAAAGGATATATCTCTAGGGTAAGCATGATGGGATGGATATTCGTCTCGATAGGACAATTGTCTTGATACAAACTAATGTGGATTGTACTTTCGTACTGTGGCCCCATAGACGGATAGCGCGCGCTCAGGAGCCGTATATATCTGTTTGGCAAGAGTACGTCGAGTGGATCGAGCTGGATTGCGGAGACACTATTTCGTTCCGAGAGTTCCTTAAATGGAAAGACGATGGCAACAACACTATGGCATATCGTGAAAAGGCCCGGGAGGCTGCGGCTGCTCAGGCCAAGGCGGACAGATCGGCGGCTCGCCAGGAAAGGAAGGAGCGAAAGGAACGAGAGGTGCGCGAAAAGAAAGAAAAGATGGAGCGCGAGAAGAAGGAAAAGGTGGAGCGTGAGAAGAAGAAAAAGGTGGAGCGTGAGAAAAAGGAAAAGGTGGAGCGCGAAAAGAAAGAAAAGGTGGAGCGCGAGAAGGAGAAGGAGGAGGAGAAGGAACGAGAGATGCAGGAGAAGAGGGAGGAGAAATCTGACAAGCCTAAGGTTCAGAACGAAAAGAAGAGGCCATCTGGCAAGGTCAACTCCATCATAATTCACAGTGAAGCGAGTTCAGATGAAGGACCCAAGATCACCAGGAAGGTTCGGCCGAAGCCGAAGGGCAAGGGCACTACAAGTACTGCAGCGCTTGTCTCGTCAGACAGATCCCAGCGATCCACCGCGCGGTCGAAGGCCATCAGGGGCGAGGAGGTCAGCACGCCTATCTCAGGTCTTGGGTCGGTTGAAAAGGATGGCATCACAGAGGATGGCTCTAACCCTGACGCCGCCACAGCAGCGTCGCCTACCTTGGGCCTCAAGAAACGGTCACGGCGCATCCGGAACCGATTTGGAGATACTTCTGAGGGCGAGGCCTGGAGCTCTGAGGAAGGGGAGGAGAAAGAAGACCAGAGCAAACGCCGCTCAAAGCGGAAAGCCGCCATGCCTATGAAAGACGAGAGCGAGGAAGTTTTGAGGCTGCGGAAGGACGCGGCTAAGAATGAACTGGAGCTTCAGAAGCGTATCAAGGAGCAGGAGATGAGGGCCAAAATTCGAGGGACAACCTTGGATCCACTCAAGGGAGATGAAGTCCTTATCAATCCTGGCCACAAGAAGACGGAGCATCCAGTGATCATCCCGCCGTTCCTAGTGAAGAACCTCAAGCCGCATCAAATTGACGGTGTCCGTTTTATGTGGAAGAACATCGTCATGTTTGATGGCGGTTGTATTCTGGCCCACAACATGGGCCTGGGCAAGAGCTTCCAGGTCGTCGCGTTCGTGTATGTGCTGCTGCGTGAGCTTCATGCGGGCAACAAGGACATTCCTGAGAAGCTACAGGTTAGCTGTTTTTTATCATGTCAAAGGGCTATCCAGGCTTATATGTCAGAGGATGTTCTAACAGCTCTGCTCATACTTTTGATCCTCAAATACAGGCTGGACGAGTCCTGCTCCTTGTGCCTCCTATCGTCCTTCAAAACTGGGAAGATGAGTTCCAGAAATGGTTACCATACGATGAGCAGCATGTTGTTCAAATCAGGAGATTCTGTAAGTAGAGTAATATACTTGACTCTCGATTGCAGTGCTACTGTGAGTTCTTAATGCTTCAACTTCATCTTACGTCTACATTTCTGATAGCGCCCAAAACAAAATCGGTATCGTCAAGGATTGTGTTGGTAGAAGAATGGTATCGGGACGGCGGTGTTTTCATTCTGGGCTATGGCATGTTTCGAGAGTTGTGCGTTCCCAGAGGAGGCCAGGGATCTGAAGTCGGTGCTCGATATCGGGAGCTGTTTCAAGATGGCCCTTCACTCATCATAGCTGACGAAGGCCACAACCTCAAGAACGCACAGGTACGTTTATGTGATCATGCGTGACGGACTCGAGCGACTGCATGCATAAGCGACAATCTGACCATGGTGACCTATGGAATATTGAATATATCTGTACATTAGGCGAAGCTGGCAACCGCCGCAAATAATTTGAAGAGCACAGCTCGAGTGATTTTGACTGGCCACCCATTGCAGAACAGACTGGAAGAGTACTGGTGCATGGTTGATTTTGTCCGCCCTAACTTTTTGGGCGATATTGCTACATTCCGCCACAACTATATCCGACCCATCAACGAAGGCCTTTACCCAGACAGTAGTATTTTTGAAAAGAAGGTATGCTATATCAAGATACTGCAGAATTGAATGTCATAGGAGGCGCCGCTTTGCTAATGTTATCGTTATTATGAATTATAGGCATCTGCTAAGAAACTGAAGGTTTTGACGGAGCTGATTAAGAATTTTGTCATGAGGTTCGTTTTCTGTCCTTTCAGTTTCTATTCTCTGTTGATACGGTGAAGCATATGATCGCCCAGCTCATTATACGATAATCGAAACGGTTATAGGAAGGATTCTTCGGTTCTGAAGGCCACGCTCCCGAAGAAGGTCGAGTTTGTTGTCTCTTGCAAACTCAGCACGATGCAGTACTACCTCTATACTGTAAGACAGATTGCGGTGCTAAATGCAATCCATTCTTTCTTGTCGCATCCAACAAAATTGACACTAAGCGTTTACTCCTATTGTACAACTCTAGTCGTTCCTCCCCACTTTGGATCCGACAACCAGAGCCGTCCTCGGTAACGGCTATTGCCTTTTGACAATCTGTAATCATCCGGCAGTTTTCAAGGTAACATTTAGGAGAATCACAATGTGGTCTTGACTGTCTCTGATAAGTTAGAAGCACACCAAGAAAACGAAATAACATCTTGATTTGCTCTCATTTAGGCCACTCTGTTTGAGATGATGCGGCGAAAGAAAGCGGACAAGACTGTAGCTGCAAGCAGCAATGATACGAAAGCGATCTCGGCTGTGGACTCCCCCACAACGGCTGTACCAGAAAGCTTGGCTGACGCAGTTGGTGAGGACAGTGGTGATGAGACAACTAAAGAAGCTGAACAAGCACTTAGGTATGGATTCATATTGCCTCGGACGGCATCCCTAGCAAACGTGCTTTACAGTGAATTTGACCAGGGAATCAATACTGTTTGTTTATATAGTCAGAATGCGTCTGTCCTTTCAAACCATTGGAGTGGCAGCTTTATTCAAGAAAAGAGTAAGTCTGATGAGGACGAGTGTACGTGCATGGGTAATGTCGGCGTAGGAGGGTCTAATATTCACTTTAAATTTTTGTCTGTAAAGACGTGAACGACATTTCACACAGCTACAAGATCAAAATATTGATGGATATCCTGCAAGCGTGCCGAGATGTAAACGAGAAAGTGCTTGTGTTCTCGAGAAGCATTCCTACCCTTGGTAAGTTTTGTTCCTACTGGTGGGGCATCTGGCTTGGGTAATGAGGCGAGAGATTCTACCAACGACTGACCTCGATCGTTATATTACAGATTATATCGAACGGATCACGAAGGAGGCAGGATTCTGGTCCATGAGATTGGACGGAGACACTCCGATTGTTGTAAGTTTACTATACATTTCCAAGTGCAGATGAACTGGGTTCTTGCGAATCAAGGGGTGCTGATGCTGAATACATTCTTGCCTGTCCAATGTATATTAGGATCGACAAAATATGATCAACACGTTTAATACCTCTGCAAAGTATCATTTATTCCTTATTTCGTCTAACGTAAGTGCAGTATCTTGATTGCTGCTTGGCCGAAGTGACATTGCAGCGGTGAGTCCAGCATCCCAACTAACGGCCTTGCTTCCCTCTCGCAACTAGGCTGGCTCTTTGGGCGTCAACCTGGTCTCTGCCAGCCGCGTCGTGATTTTTGATGTCGGTTGGAATCCGAGTCATGACGAACAAGCCATTGCACGCGCCTTCCGATACGGCCAGAAACGCAAGGTCTTCGTTTACAGACTCCAAACGTTTGGCACATGGGAGGACAAGCTATACAAAACCAACCTTCATAAGCTAGGTCTGTCGACTCGGGTGGTGGATAAGAAGAACATGATCAAGTCGTATACTAAGACGGAGATGACAAAGTATTTTGAGCAACCTCCAGAGACCACGCCTGTCTGGGCATCGCAGGAGAATGTGGACACGCTGTTTACTAGGCCCGATACAGATGATCCAGTACTGAGATCTGTTATAGATAGGTGAGACGACGTATCCTTAACCAACGACGCATATCTCTGGCAATTACTTGCGCCTTTAACACCGTTTTGCTGGACTTAATTAGCAATCGCGAGACGATCGCTTCTGTCGCCCTTCAGAGTGACCTGGTTCGCGAGGAAGACTCGGATCTGACAGAAGCGGACATGGTTGAGATCCAAAATATGATCGCAGAGGAGCAGCGACGAATCGATGGACATCCGCCTTTAGCTCCTACAGTGCCGGCGCTTGCCCAGATGCCGACACAGCAACAGCAGCAAATACAGCAGCAACTGCAGCAACGGATTCTGCAGCAACAGTACCTACAAATGCTGCAACTACACCAACAAAGTCAGCAGCAGCAACAGGTACAGCACCAGCAGCATCAACAGCACCAGCAGCAGCACCAACAGCAGCAACAACAGCCGAATCCACAGCTCTTTCTTCATGAACATCAAAAGCAGCAGCAGCAGCAGCAGTCCCAGCATTCAGGTCAGATTCAGTATTCTCAACCTCTGGCTGAGCATGTCGACACCAACGCTCGCGTAAGAGATGATACTTGGGCAAGACTTTTGGATGAACAGGGAATCCATGGTCCTACTTCTTCAGGGTCAGAGTTAGGGTCAGGGCCTGCGGTGACTAGCATTCAGATGCCCGCAGTGCAGGCGCCAGTAAATTCTGCTCAGCGACTTTGGCATTCTTATACCTCAATTAGTATGCCGCAGACGGCAGGGCAGGAACAACAGCCAGGACTAGCGACATTCACGGCAGGGCCGATCAGTAACATGCCACAGCAAATCCCGCCATCGTCACTGCCAAGACCTATTTCGATTACGATGCCGACAACAACCCCGGTCGCATTGTCGTCATCTTCCGCCACTCTCCCCACGGGTGGCCCAAGTGATCCAATTTTGCTCGAAGATGTAGGATCGCCCATGGACTCTCTAATCCCAAGTACGGAGTCATATTCATCCAGCATGTCTATCACATCGGGAGAGCAGCAGCGGCAGCAGCAGGGGGGAAACACGATAAGTGCTGGTTTGAGCAGCAACGACACAGACCTAACATTCAAAAACGCTCTGGAATAATATCATGTGGATCGGGCAAAGCAGTCTTAGAGGACCCGAGCGTTGACGCGGAGCTCGATAAAAAGGGTCATGGATGGCGTCCGTCATAAGAGGTCGTTCCTGACAATGAATCATGAGCTGTCTTGAACAATAGTATGAATGAAATAAAAATATTTTTGTATTAACTATTACTTTGAACGTTTTGTTTATTTTCCGATATGGATCATGAAGCCTGCGCTGGAAGGAGAGAGTTTCTGTTTCCGCCTTCGAGTGCACGACCTTTGCCGATGGCCTCGATCTCCTGCTCAAACTTTTTACTTTTAATCATTTTTTGCGAGTCGATATCGTAGAATGGGTTGCTGGCATGGTTCACATAGGCTGCATGGATCCTGCGGAATACCTAATAGAGCGAAAAAAAAAAAGCAGGAACCGGGAGAGCATTAGGGTATGAAGAAATCGTTGCTTGATCGTGTATGTAATCGGACCAAGATAAAAGGTGTGTGTGTCGAGCGGGCACTTACATTCTTCATATCGAGGTCCTTGATGATGACATCGGGCACTGTGAGGACTGTGATGAACTTGATCTTGGTATTGGTCATGTATCCGTAGACGGAGAGGTCCTCCATAGAGAATAATACGCCAAGATACATGTCCTGAGCCTTCATCGCCGCTATTTTGTTGGGGAGGGGGTATCCATTCAATATAGCGGATGCAGCAGCATTAAAAAGTGGTCTTTAAGATCATCGTTTCCGAGTATCCATTGACGCTGGCTGTTGGGGTCGAACACAGAGAAGAAGAAAAACGAACCTCGTTCCTCCATGACATCGCATGATGTGTGTGCGATATAGTGGTATTTGAGATCTGGGTGTGAAGGGTTGAAATTCTTGATGAATAGAGGGTTGTTCTACAGAAAAGTATGAAGAGGTTAGGGGGACGAGGACGACGCGCAGAGCGTTGGTTGGTATGCTGCAAAAAAAAAAAAATAGAAACAGCGCTTGCCTGCTTGCCAATGATGGCGATGCAACTGATGTTGATGTTCGACATGGTGATGGGTCTTCCTCCTTGCGAGATGAGATGTACTGTTGGTCCTGGCGTGTTTCGTTGGTGTTTCTGGGGATGGCGATGATGTCCTGCGGTTCTTGTAAGAGGTTGATGAAAAAGGGCAAAGTAAGGCAGTCAAGGCTCTTTTTTTTTTTTTTTTTTTTTTTGGACGCGAACGTTGAAGGGTAAGGGTCGCCAAAGCCACTTTCATGAATCCCATGAAGCAGTGTAGAGCATGCGTTCTGTCGCGTCTCACGTTGAAAGTACCATTCACGAGATTTTTTTTTTTGGTGTAACTGATGTGCTTGCTTGAATTAGTAGCGGCTAATTGAACGCGTTGGGGCAAAAAACATGTCCTCGTCCTCCCTTAATGACTAGCTGGTGGATCGGCGCCTTAAAAGTGTTACAGTTGAGGCCCTCAGCAGTTGAATAATAAAAACTGTATCAGTTTCTACGATAAATACTATATCAGTTTCTATGATAAAAACTACTGTAGTTGCTGTTTGGACAGGCGTCATAGAAAAGGCGGATGCCTATTCCGTAGAACGACAAGCCAGTACCGTCTAAGGGTCGCGCAGAACACTCTTACGACTAAAGTTGGCATGTCATCAGACTTCCATCGCAGGATTGTCCGCCAGAGTCCCCAGTCCTCTTGCGGATCTCGTTGTTAATGAAGTATTCGACTCCATGAGCGTGTGCAGTCTGGCGCCGGTTAGTCTTTGAGGCAGGTTGATCTTCAGCTTTGGCTTTCTTTTATTACTTTTTGAGGAAAGAAGCCCTGAGTGGCGAGGTTTTTGACGTCGATGGTTGCTTAGCGGTACCAGTGATTTGATTCGCGATATTCTGAAATCGTTCGGTCATGAATTGGTTAGAAAAGGATTATAGTTTTGTGAATAGGGGGAGATAGAAATGTAGCTTGCGATTCTGCCTCCATACAGGCTTGGTGGTCATGATGATGCGGTACATGCTATGCCAGAGTGCCATGGTGCGTATATTACTCCTGTAGCTGTCCGCAAGGATGGAAAAAAAAAAATACAAGCAGCTGTGACAAAACTCCTTTGAGGCTCGATCGCGTTATCTACGCCTACAAAAAGGATTAATTTCGGCGCTGTCAAAGGGTTGTGTGGAATCGGAATTTATTACAACTGTACAATGAAATTGGTGCGATGGGCTGAATAAGAGTCGGGCGACTGCTGCTGGCTAGAGGTCACCTAATGATGGCGGCGTTAGTGCCAAAGGCTTAGACGTTGTGCCCGGTGCTGCCTAGTGCGATGCTGGCCCGTCCGTTGGCCTCGAGGCTCTTGTCTTCTGCGGGAGATCCGGCGTTCTTTTGGATGTTGCTCTCAATACTGTGTCCGAGATTCTCGGCTTGGAGCTTGGCCTCGGCGATCTTCAGGGAGGTGTCGGCGTGGGCCTTCTGGTGTGCGCCGGCGGCGGCGAGATCGGCGTTACCGATGGTCTCGCCAATAGTCTGCTTGGCGCCTCCGATGTAGGAGCTGGCGGTGTTGGTGATCTTGTCGATGTTGGACATGGTTGTTTGAAGGGGTGGTTATGAGCTGGGAGGATAGGAAGTTGTAGTGATGGATGGAGAATGTTGGAGGACAGAAGCTGGTGGGAAGTCGTGAGTTTTTATATTCGAAAGGGCTCCCAATGATATCAATATGACATCATGGCATCTAGGATAAGATACGCGTTGTTTTTGGACGCGATGGGAGGTTGCGCGTATGCACGTGCTGTGACCATGTTTCATTTATTTTTGTGGACGCGTTTGAAAACAACTAGGGCCCCGCGTCGCTTTGTAGAGCTGTTCCTTTGTCTTTGCTGCTCGGATCAATTCTAAAGGGCAATTCTTCCTCTCGATCGCTTGCGTCCTCCATCTTCGACATACTACGCATCCTTGCACCGGCCCTAAAGCAATAGTTCCTTTGGACCCGGCTAGTTTCTCTCGTACCGACCATCTTATTTGACAGGAAACGCCACCATGTCGCAGGATGCCCATGCCGCGAAGAAGCGTCGAATGAACTCGGCAAAGTCGGCTCAGCTAGAGTCGCAATCTTCCTTCCTGAAAGAGCTGGAGGAGTTGCAGGAGACATCGCAGGCTGCCAAAGGTAGGCTGTCGGTTCATTTGCGTAGTATGCAGTATGGCTGGTGCCTGTTGATACGTGGATACTAAGCAACTCGTTTATTTTCTGATGGAATAGTCGATGACCCCACGTTGCTTTGGCTTCGCCCTCCTGTCGAGAAGCTCAACCCGAAAACCGACCCATTAGGTATACTTCATGGTTTGACTTCAATCTTATCTTTGTACTTTTGTACTCCAACGACATCTAATGTTTATCTTTTTTCACCACAGTGTTTCAACAAATCGAGGCGGACGAGTACACGCACTCAGGAACGCAGACACCTGTTGTTCGGTTTTATGGAGTCACAGAAGTTCGTCTCATCACCATAGACATCTAGCAACCTTCATGCCTTCGTGGAGCTACATAACGGACATGGATACTGAACTCCTGGTTTATATATGGTACAATAATATAGACCGGAAACAGCGTCATCTGCCATGTCACAGGATTTCTGCCTTACTTTTATGTGCCGGCTCCAATGGGCTTCAAGATTGAGAACATTCCAGCTCTCACCTCGGCACTAGAGGTAACAAATCGAGCTTGGTCAGTAGAACTATGTTTGTCATGAAAAGATGGTTTTACTTGAACAATTATAATCCTCTTCAATAGGCTAAGATGGACAGGGCCCACAGTGTCGTCAAGATCGAGTGGAAATTGAAGGAGTCGATCTATGGATATTACGGCGGGGAGAAGTCTCCATTCTTGAGGATCACCCTCAAGGATCCTAGAAACATCAACGTAGCCAAACGGGCCCTCGAGTCAGGCATATCGTTCCCAGGATTCTCAGACTTCAATGTGCAACAGACTTTTGAAAGCAACCTCGCCTATCTTTTGCGGTTTATGATCGATTGCAAAATATCTGGAGCAAACTGGATCGAGTTACCCTCAGGAACGTATCAACTCAAGAACGACCCACATTCGAATGCCCAGATCAATGTGGAGATTAGGTTAGTGTGTTATGCGTATTCGTACGCAGTATTTTTGCAGTGTGCCTGGACAAGCACTAATCGTGTTATGACCATTTTTTCATAGTTATGACAAGCTGATCAGTCATCAAGCGGAAGGATATTGGTCTAAGATTGCACCCTTGCGGATCATGAGTTTTGATATCGAGTGCGCGGGTCGCAAGGGTATCTTTCCGGAAGCAAAAGTCGATCCAGTCATTCAGATTGCATCAATGATCACTGTGCAAGGCGAGACCAAGCCATTCATTCGAAATGTTATGGTCCTCAACACTTGCGCGCATATTGTCGGAACACACACCATGTCTTTTGATCAGGAGGACAAAATGCTGGACGCATGGGCTGACTTTGTCAGGAGAGTCGACCCAGATGTTGTGATCGGCTACAACACATCCAACTTCGATTTCCCGTATCTGTTGGATCGTGCTAAGCATCTTGGAGTGCTCAAATTCCCCTTCCTCGGGCGTTTGAATGGTAATCACCATTCGTCTCTGTGAGCGCTCTCGGAAGAGTTGGTGGTGAATATGAATACAATATTGAACGACTGCCTTTTTTCATTTATGTACCCAGACATTCGGACAGAAGCCAAGGACACGAGATTCTCAAGCAAAGCGTACGGAAACCGTGAGAACAAGGCCATCAACATGGAGGGTCGTCTTCAGCTCGACATGCTGCAGGTCATGCAGCGCGATTATAAGCTGCGTTCTTACACATTGAATTCCGTCTGCGCGGAGTTCTTGGGTAAGTACTTCATGCTTTGCTCAACAGTGAATCTTTTTATCCTTAGTTCCATGAAGTATTCCAGGTATTAACCTGTGATCTTTGTCGTTTGTAGGTGAGCAAAAGGAGGATGTACATCACTCGATTATTACGGAGCTTCAAAATGGAAATGACGAAACGCGTCGACGTCTTGCTGTTTACTGCTTGAAGGATGCATATCTTCCCCAGCGATTGATGGACAAGCTGATGTGCCTAATCAACTACATTGAGATGGCAAGAGTAACGGGCGTACCTTTCAACTATCTCTTAAGTCGTGGACAGCAGATTAAGGTCGTTTCGCAGCTGTACCGCAAAGCGCTGGAGAAGGACTTTGTCATTCCCGCAGTCAGTAGTCAGGGTACGTAGAGTTTAATGGAGTTATAGCCGTTTGTCTGGCACGATTTATTTATATTAACTTGATCTGCTTTCATTGTTATAGGTGGTGATGAACAGTACGAAGGAGCCACGGTTATCGAGCCTCGCAGGGGATATTACGATGTTCCTATTGCTACACTAGATTTTGCATCTCTGTATCCATCTATCATGATGGCACACAATCTCTGTTACACCACGTTGTTGACCCCCGATATCATCAAGAGATACAATCTCGTTAGAGATGTGGATTATGTGGTGACTCCGAACAATGGTAATATGGTTTTCCTTTATTTTTATTTTTGTCCATGTGGCGACGACAGTATCAATATACTGACACCTTACCTGAAAAAAATATAGACTCGTTTGTGAAGGAGAGTCGGCGGAAGGGACTGTTGCCGATAATTCTCACAGATCTCCTGGATGCCCGTAAGCGCGCCAAGGCTGACTTGAAGAAAGAAACTGACCCCTTCAAGCGCGCTGTGCTGGATGGTCGTCAATTGGCGTTGAAGGTGAGTGACCGCTTGATATTCTTCATGAGGCAGCTATGATGGATCCCATTTTAACTAAAAATGTTGGCTTGCACTTTTTACAGATCAGTGCCAACTCAGTGTACGGCTTTACCGGCGCGACTGTAGGAAAGTTGCCATGTCTCGAGATTTCGTCTAGTGTCACTTCATATGGACGAGTCATGATTGAAAAGACCAAGAGGGAGGTCGAGAAAACATTCACAGTTGAGAACGGTTACAAATATACAGCTGAGGTTATTTACGGAGACACGGATTCTGTCATGGTAAAATTTGGCGTGAAGACGCTGGAAGAGGCCATGGACCTCGGACGAGAGGCCGCAGAAAAGGTGACAATGGAGTTCGATAAGCCCATCAAGTTGGAGTTTGAGAAGGTGTACTATCCATACCTATTGATCAATAAGAAGCGATATGCTGGTCTGTACTGGACAAAGCCTGACAAATACGACAAAATGGATACTAAGGGTATCGAGGTATGTGCGGCAGCCTCGGCACATTGTCACTGATGGTACACTTGCAGCTCAAACAATATGGTACTGACCAAGTTTTTGTTCACATTTCGCTGTAGACTGTGCGTCGTGATAACTGCCGACTCGTTCAGAGTGTAATCGATACATGCCTCCGCAAGATCTTGATCGATCGTGATGTTGTTGGAGCACAGGAGTACGTAGGAATGTTTTGTATTGTATAATGGTCGAGGGATTTAACGCACGCTGATCGTTTTGTTTTATTTTGTTATAAAGCTACACGAAGCAGATTATTGCCGATTTACTCCAGAACAAGATTGATATGGCACAGCTAGTGATTACGAAAGCACTGAGCAAAACAGGCAAGTCAATGGAGTATTGTAAGCTGTATAGCTTCTTTGTTATGTTATTATGCATTGCTAATCAAATATGTTATGCCATTTGAATCCCTTGTAGACTATGCGAACAAACAGGCACACGTGGAGTTGGCAGAGCGCATGAAGCAACGCGATGCAGGATCTGCGCCTGCGCTGGGCGATCGTGTGGCCTATGTCATTGTCAAGGGAGGAAAGGGCGTTGCAGCATACGACAAGTCAGAAGACCCACTCTATGTCCTAGAGAAGAACATCCCTATCGACACAAAGTATTACCTTGATAACCAGCTCTCAAAACCCTTGCTTCGTATCTTCGAGCCCATTCTCGGTGAGAAAGCCGCCGAGTCCTTGCGTAAGTGACTTTCTTTTGCACGATGCACTGTGATACTGCGTCTATTTGGAAACGACTGTTAATTGTGTGTTGTCCACTGAATAGTGGCGGGAGACCATACGAGGACAATTCAGGTGTCAACGCCATCGATCGGAGGACTTATGAAATTTGCGGTCAAGACGGCAACGTGTCTTGGGTGTAAGACTCCTCTGAAAAAAGACGAATCGGCTGTGTGCGCCAATTGCAAAGAACGCGCGCCCGAGCTGTACCAGAAGCAGAGGAATATTGTTAACAGTCTTGAGGTCCGCTTCTCGCGACTCTGGACGCAATGCCAGCGGTGTCAAGGGTCGCTGCACCAAGAGGTTCTTTGCACGAGTAAGGATTGTCCTATCTTTTACATGCGCAAGAAGGTCCAGAAAGAGATCCAGGATAGCGCTGCGACCCTGGATCGGTTTGTGGACTGGTGAAGAACGATGTCTTTGCAGTGGATATGCGTTTCAGAAAAGTACTTTATCTGTCTTCGTGAGTCAATAAACGGGGAGAGCGTAGTACATCTGCATCTTCAATTGGACACGACTCATTGTTATTGTGCCAACACATCTGTCTAAGCGCGATATGGTCAGATGAATCGCGTTCATCAACGCGGTGCGCGCATTGATGTTGTGTATGTAAAAACCTAGGCGACACGCGTCTGGTCGTTCATTTGGGTTCTAGTCAAGTTACACAAAGACGATTTTGTTGGGAAAAGGATACTGTAGCCTACCATTACCAATGGCAATGAGAAAATTCAGCATCTTGCAACGCGCAGACAACAATATTGCCATATTACTTGACGATATCACTGGAGACGCCTTGGCTTCTTCAGTCCTACTATGGCTACTCAGCCGTGCTCGGCGATAGAAATGACGCCAGATCATACCTTCACTGCTGAACAGCCAGCTAGGACCGATTTATCTTCTCTGTTGCCCAGAGTCCCAATCAAGCGCAATTATGATGGTTGAATTCAACTAAACCACTTTTTGCGGTTGAGTGGGACTCTAGTTGAGTTGATGCCGCAGAAATATAGATCCGTAGGGACCTTGAAATTACAGATGTTGGGGGGTTGTGCAAGTATCAATCAACTCACTGCGTCGCATATTGAATTATTGATGTCCGTGTTTCTTAATAATGGTGTGTCATTACACAAATGCCCGTTTTATAAATCGCTTACGAATGCGACTCCATAAGCAATCCCAAGAATAACCATTTCGCGATGTGCAGTGTAATATAAAATCAATGCAGACCCTCCCAGCAAAGGTCCTTGAGTACAGTTTACATCAATGACGCGCGAAGGCAGTACGTAATGGATGCACCGGGAGGAGGAGGGGATCTTCCCGGATGACGACTGGGTTTTGGATTGTTTGCCGAGTCAGGGTTGGTGCCAAAAAGGTATACGGGCTGTTGGCACGGCCCTCGAGATGATCTCAGCGTTTCATCAGGAATGGCCTTTTAAGGTTGAGTTGATGCGCCGTTACCTGAGATGAAACAGCCGCCAGGAACAGCAAAAGGCGGGTCATTATTATTTCGGCGCGCCCTTCGCCTCCTCCACCTTCATTCATTCTTCATTCCTCTTCATTCCTCTTCATTCCTCATTCCCCATCCGCCAGACGCCCCACCGCCCTCTATACTCTCCATATGACAGGTACGCACACGGACATATGGCAGGGACCAAGCAACTGGCATTACCATGGATCACCTGTAAAGACGAATAACCCGTTTTTTTTTATTCTTTCTCCAGACAACATTGCCACCAAACCAGAAAGCGAATCCTCGCTCCTGACACCCAGTCAGGAGCATTATCTCAAAAAGTATCTCTTCGGGGTACTCATCAACAACGAGCTCGAGCTCCTCCAAAAGGACCCCTTTCAGACACTCCCCAATCTCGGAGGTCCTTTCGACCTCAAGGACGAACATGCAGACTCGGCAACACCCTTCTTGCGCTACCTCTTTGAGTCCATAGTAGTCCCCTTTCCCTTCCTAACGAGCTCCAGGGGCGAGCTATGGCCGAAGCTGGAGCTATTCCTGCATGAATGGGCCAAGATTGATGCGGGCAACGGAGTCGAGCGTGACGAGATTATCCGCAGAAGGCGACTGAAGAACAAGGGCGAGAGGACCATGGTGCTCATGTACTCCATGGCTGTCAAGACCGTGGAACAGCGTGAAAAGGAGAGAAAGGACGCGCAGTTGAGGAAAGAGCAAGGATTGGACGAGAACTTTGGCCAGCTGCAGCTGAGTTCGGCGGCGCCCTCAAACTCCCCTCCATCCACGGCGGGGCCTAACACGCTTATCCATGGAGTGCGTATCAATGTTGCAGGCATCCGTATTGTCAAGGAAAAAAGACATATCCGCGAACACGAGCATGCTGTAAGTAGAGCGTTGGTTTGCTATTTTGCTCATGATGATCGATGATGCTGAACACTTCGTCATCACGCCGTGATGCTCTGTGAAACCGTACAAGTGAAAGAAAGCGAAAAATGTGCGGTCCAATTTTGTTCCTTTGTCTATCAACATATTGCCGCTCTGCTTATCCTTCATGGTCGAGGGACGTTTTTTATTTATTTTTTTGTTTGCGATCGTATTGCGGACCCAGGGTTTGCTCTCGACATGCTCTGTTAAGTACCGCGCCCAGATTAGCATGTGCCTGAAATCTCTTTTCTGGACCGAGCGAGGGCCTTGGCGACAGCCCAGCCTTTGTTTTGTTTGTTCCTCTTTTGGCTGAACCCCTAGTACTAAAACAATCCAAAACATATCCCATAGCAATTCTTGGTATCGAGCACCTTGGCAGACGGTCAAGAGTACGTCGTCGCAAGACGCCATGGTCAGTTCCGTCGCCTCTACGTCTCTGTAAGTCGGAATTTTGTTCTTGGGGGGACGAAACAGTCGGTTTCCTCCTCATCCTCATTGTAAGCACAAAGGGATGATGGGACCATCCGATCTAACAGTAAATCTTTTGTCACCGCAGCTGCGAGAAGAATTCCCTCAAAATGAGTTCCCGTTGCCTCCCGCAAAATTCTCTGCAAAGTCCGGATCTTCAGGCGCCAAGGTCGCTCGCGAAAAGGACAGGATCAGTCTCCGTGGATACCTTCACAGCGTCGCAAAGATCTCCCCTGAGGTCGTCAGCTCGAGCATTTTTACCAGCTTCCTTACCAAGGACCCAGTGACGCTGACAGAGGATGAGGCCAAGGATGTGCAAACACGCGCAGCTCTGGACGAACATCGGATGGAGCAGCAGGCCAAGTTCGACAGCGAGGTCGCCAAGAAGGTTGAGGAGCTTGATCTGCACCTGCAACAGGTCAAGCTGGATCTGTTGCGCCCTGGTGGGATCTCGCGTCTGTTTAGCGCATTCAAACAATACGAAAAGGTCGAGGATTTGCCACCGTTGTACCAAACGGTTTTTGAATGGGGTTGCATGAACTTTGCCTCAACACTATACCACGTCTTCACAGCCTCAGATGATGCGACGCTCAACTTTACGCAGCTCAAGCGCACGCACATGTTGGTGCCCTACAGGACCATGTGGGGTATCCTCAAGATCTCGAACCCCATGGCGATGATGAAGGGTATCCTGGACCTCTTCTTGGCCCAGCCCTTCGGAAGCCGCAGTCTGATGCAGCGCATTATCTCTGTCAACATTCAGGAGGAGATCACAGAGTACAAGAAGGACATCACGCAGCTCGAGGCTTCCATTGGCGATGCAGGACTTTGCGAGAAGATCAAGAACTATGTGTATGCGCCCAAGGCCGTCATTGACAAGATTATCCCTGATGGAGGTAGGATGCGGTTGAAGACCTTTGTATTATTCTTTCTGCTAGATCCTTCTCAAGGTACTGATATTACTCTGCGTATGTCCTTCCAATGCTCGCTAGGTCTATATGATATCACACAATTGGACCTGGTCATGGAAGTCCTGAGGTCAGACGAGGTCCAGCCTTTGCTCCAGCCTGCTCAAATCAAACGTGTTTGGGACGCCCAGCAAGACCTTGCCCATGAGGATGCTGCAAAGGAGGAACGTCGTAGCAAGATGTGCCAGGCGTTCATGGATGGTAATCAAAGTGACCAGAGCGACGAGTACAGCGAGAGCGATGTTTCATCCTCGGATGAACCCCACAGCTACCACTCATCCAAGCGAGGCCATGTCAGTTCTCCGTCAGAGAACCAGAATCTGATTCGTCTGCTTCAACAGCTCCTGGTGACGCATCTCCGCATCCGTGACAAGGAGCGTATGATGGGCCTGGTCTTCCAGGGCGTGACGGGCGAGATCTTCAAGGAGCTGATCTCGATCTTTTATGGGCCCCTGGTCGAGGTCTACAAGGCGGCGAATGTGGCGGACAGTTTGATGGATGTGAAGGACTTTGCAGACGAGCTCATCAAGATTGTGGAGCAGGCAGATGTGAATGATGGTACGTCTTTTTTGTTTTTGATATATATATATCCTTTCCCTTCAAGGCAACAGAACCTAACATCGTTGTTGGTATGGCTCTTCTAGATGGTCGCAGTGGAAAGCCGTCAACAGCAACGCTGTACCTGAACTTGGTCAAGAAGCATCTCCCCAGCTTTTACAAGTTTGTTCACTCTGTTCACAAGCAGGACAATGGGCTCTTCCACGACCTGCTCGAGTGGATCGAGAGCATTATCACGTTCATGAGGACGGGTTACGCAAGGGCCCGGATCAACTACAAGACCGAGGAGGAGATCCGGGTTGCTGTGGATCTGGATGGATTTGTCAAGGCCAATGTAGACAAGGCGCAGTGGGAGGAGCTGCAGGGGGAGGCCGAAGTCCTGAGAGAGTACTTTGCGACAATCAAGCAACGAAAGCGAGAGGAGGTCCACCAGATGGCAGGTCTTGATCGCGTTAGTCGGACGGCATCGTCGAATGCTCTGCTGGACGCACATGACCGTGATAGGGCGAGGATCTCGAAGGAGCTGAAGGGCATGGGGTTGCAGCAGGAGGATGTGGATGAGCTGGAGATGGTCAATTACCATGGCGGAGGAGACAATGACAGCGACGAAGACGAGGAAGGCCAGGGCGGACTTCGGATGCCCGAGGTCCCGATGATTGATGGACTCAAAGGGCCGTTTGTGAAGTTGATGGATAAGATTTTATTCCAATCGGCTCGTGAATGAATGAACATATAGCACACTCTCTCCTTTCTTTTTCTTTTCCAGAAGCCGTGTTTCTTTTAAATATATTATTGTAAATAGTAAAAGCAATCTCCCGAAATCGCGAATTTTTCCATCGCGAGGTGGATCTGAGATGAGTGTTAAAGGATGCCGACAAAAGGGATGGAAGTCCCAGGAAATGGTTTTACATGCTTGAAAACGGATAGTAGGAACACCACCAGGTTGGAGTTGTTTAGGAGAAGAGGACTTTCATCTCCCTTGAGCTCTGTCCTTTACGAACGTGCTACCGATGCCTCTGCTTCGTGAGACATCGCTTCTGCATGGTATGGACCCTGGTTTTTATGCAACCTTATCTGTCTCCTGCAACCGTCCATTTCTCTGCGCGAGCCTTCTTTTTTGTCTCCGCAACAGCGACCGCCGTCTACATCGACCTGGGATCGACCAGTTAGTGTCTGTTGTACGGGATCCGACACTTTTGTTGATCCCTTCACCCCTGGCACCGACGCCATCGTCAGCGGTGTTGTATGTCCCGATGCGGTTGTAGTTATTTGGGTTGCTGGTAGGATTGGAGGCCATGTCTGGACGACCGGATTAGCAGATGTCGACAGGAGCGGAGCGGCGATCGGGGGTGGGGGAGTGGTTGGAGGTTTTGTTTCGGGGAGGGGGGGGGTGGCTCCTGGTGCTGCCTGAAGATTGGGCGATGGGGGGTGTGGGGATGGGCGCAGCAGAAGAGGGGGTATATGGTGAAAGGAAGAACAAGGTAGCTGTGACCAGCGAAAAGAGTGGCAGAGTTTTTATTGTAAGGGAAAAAAAAAAAAAGTAGGATAACGGAGTGGTGGATGAAGGAATGTGGGCAGTTTTGTGATAGCGAGAAACGACTTGAAAGAAAGAACAAACAAAGGACGAGAGTAAAGTTTATAAGACAAAGGGTTTGGAAGATGGGGTTCCTGGCACCTTTGAGCAGCCGTTGGATGTCCTCCTGTCCCCCGATGCTTAGGACACTGCTTCCATGGCTGACTGGGCCTTATTCCAGCCCGCTCTGCGCCTCCTTCCCTCAGCATGGAAATAGAAACCGTACTATGTGTACACTGCGAACAGGTCGATGGGGACATCGTCGAAGGCTACAGTGTTTCCTTCAAGCGCTCGTTCTACTTTCGTTTTGTGTTGGTGGTCAGAGTTTAGATGCTGTCTAAAAATGGATCGGCTTCGCCCTCATTACAGAAAGTCCCACGAAATAAAGATGAACAAAGACAGCACTGAGAAACGTCTAGAACCATGGATCAGTAATCAGGACCTTCATTCGTCTAATGTATATAAGAAAGGATAGACTATGTAGTTGAACCCCAGTTCATATACTCACAAGTAGTCTAGTCAATAAACATTTGTCTTCACACATTCCGTCTTTGTTTACACACCTTGTTCACCCGTCTCCCTCTCGATTCCGCCCTCGTTTTGTTCCTCCTTCACCGCAAGTCTTACAGTAGGTGCCATGTCAGCTCAACAGCATCCACTCCTCTGCTTCTTTTTCTCCTCCCTTCCTTCCTCCTGCTTTTTTGTCTGTATATAGACAAACATGGACATGGATCAAAGCACTAAACATCCGCACTCTGTCGTTTTTCTTGAAGCCAACCACAACAACAGCAAGCAAAACAATGACCCGTATTGTCCGACTTTTCCTTTTTTTTTTTTTTTGCATGTGCAGCTTGTGCAACCAGTCTCACACCGTCCGTGCGTGCTGTATTTTTTTTTTTCGCATGCAGGGAATCAACAATAGCTAATGCATAGAGTCCATGACAATAGTAGTATTTTTCGCGCGCAAAAAATGCGATAAAAACCAGTTTCGACTGTACATTTTGTTGGCCGCGTTTTTGTTAAGAAAATCCGATCTAAAAAAAAAAAAACGAACTTCGACTGTTATTGTCCTGGACTCTATGTCCTAACCCGGGTCCAGGAAGAAATACCAACCAAAGAAGGCTATCAACTAAGAAACGATCAAACGAAGGCATGTTTGACTGTTTTGATTTTGTCATAAAAATTAGTTTCAACAACAAAATGCATCAAGGCGACTAACTTCCCTAAGAGATGTAGCTTTGAGCCTTCAGGGGTGGCACGTACTGGGGATTGGAAGGTGCATCAGTAGAAGTGTGGAATTGAGTGGCAGGATCATGGGGTGACTGAGGTGTGGCAGCACTTCCAGTGGGCGGCACGTACTGGGGATTGGAAGGTGCATCAGTAGAGGCGTGGACTCGAGTGGTAGGATCATAGGGTGACTGAAGTGTGTCAGCGCTTCCAGTGGGCGTGTAAATGGCCTGACTGTAAGAGGCATTGCTACCAACAACTGACTGGGGTTGGAAAATGGTAGGAGGCGTGTAGTTGTAGGCCGGTTGCTGCTTCTGCTCGTACGACTGGGATTGGAAGATCACAGGGCTCTGCTGCGGTTGTTGGTTAGGATCGACTGCATAGTATTGTGGATTATACGAATGGTGAGGATTGAATTGTTGCTGCTGCTGTTGCGGATACTGAGGCTGGATAAACTGCGGCTGTGTTTGCTGCTGATAGTTCTGTTGCATGGGGTATTCGTAGTCCCCGCCCTTTCCAGGGTAATTAGTTGTAACTACAGGCGCAGCTCCGGCTGAAGCAGCTGAAGCAGAGGCGACGGCGGCATTAGTGGACTTGCGGCGGTGTCGAATGACGAGGAATGCAACAAGTGCAATGGGAACCAATCCAACAACAGCGCCTCCAATGATGGCGTCCACTGGAGCCTTGCTAGGGTCCGAGCTATCATTCGTTAGGGCTAGCTTGGAAAGGCCACTGAGTGAAGGTGAGGGCTTAGAAGGCATCAAGCCGGGTCCGCCCCAGGTTTTTGCAACTGTGTCAAAGGTGTTAAATGTCGCCACGGTTGTGGCCGAGTACACCACGATTTGGGTGTTCAAGGTTGTGGCGGCAAAATCAGAAACAAAGGGAAGGCTATCGCCTTGGACAGAGGCCCGTTGTAGCTTCGGGGACTGGGAGGGATCGATGTAGTATATAGCTGTAGAATTATCGGAAGCCTATACACGTTCAGATCAGCCTATTAGCCTAGTCATTCAGTCATTCGCATAGTTTTAAAGCAAAGATAACGCATAACACACAGAGAAGTGGGATGTGAAGACCGTACCTGGTCCAGGATATATGCGACAGAAGCCATGGTAAGTGGGATGGCATTGACTGATAGTGCATATCCACCCATATCCACGCTCTGGGGATTGGCCAGAGTGAGAACGCGGTCCTGGTCCGACAAGATTGGTGCTACCGAACCTGAGGCTGTGTAGATCGCTCCGCCTCCATTCTTGTCAAAGACGATGTGGTATCCCTGGGCCGGAGTGTTGGACGCGGAGATGTAGGCACCGACAGATAGCAAAGGGTTTGGGGTCGGGTACTGGGAAATGAGGAAACTGTAGTTGTTGTTGTTTGTTCAGAAGTCAATAGCATTTGCGCACATAATCCGATAGGAAAACAATGTATGAAAAGGAAGGCACAGAGAAGTAAATAAAAGGGGAACATTAACATGAGGACAAACCAACAGATGCATGTGGGCCGAATTCTTAAGGTAGGGGTCGAGAATACAACTCAATAGGCTGTGCATCCTCAACACTTACTCACGAGAACTGTCCACAACCGACGTTGCATTAATCCGCAGCCCGGTCCAGGCAGAGTTGGTCGCGATATCAGTCACATTTGTCATGCCTGTGAACCAGTTTAGGTTCTCGACAGCACCAGTATGACTGAATAATTTGTTCGAGACCATGCCCACGTTCGGAAAGTTAATAGGGCTATCCACTGTGCCGTTCGGATAGACGTTGGTGAAGTAGGTCATTGGGCTGAACTGGTACATGAGGATGGGACTGTTGGGATTGGTACTATCCCCTGGATAACTGAAGCAGGCCCTTTGGGAGGTGGCGCTCCAGTGCAGGGGGCTGGTTTGGTTGGCGACGAATCTGGCGGTGGGCGCATTGATGTTGGAGAGATCGATAGAGTAGGTCTCCAGACGACCCTCGCCTGTAGCCGGAACTCCAATCAGCCAGACTACGGAGTTGGAGACGCCAGGTGCGATACAGACGTTCTTGTACACAGGGACTCGGACGCTCATGGTTGGATGACACAAATAAGGATTGGTGGAGAGGAGCAGAAGTAGGGTTCGGGAACGAGTGACGGGAGGAGGAGTAGGGATGGTCAATTGGTGTCGACTATGACGCCTGCGGACCTTGATGAATCTTTTTCCAACACAAAGGGGATGGTGGTTGTAGGTACACAAGCAGCGAGAGAAGGAAAGACGAGGAGAGAGGAGACCATGAACGCTTTATTTGTTCTGTTGTCGCTGTCGCTGCTGCTATTGCGCATTATTTTATTTGCCCAAGGAGCCAGTTTTTTGGGATATACCGAGGGATTTCTTTATTGACGTCAGATCCCCCTAGGCAGTGCAGGCGTGCCAAAGGCTGCCTCGGCTTGGACTATCAGTTGGCCAATAGTCTAGCTCATAAGTATAACATGGCACTGCCCAACTCAATTTTGTATTAAATTTCAAGCGCGCCTCGCCACTATGGCGGATTTCATTTGCCTCTGCGGCGTGTTTGCCCACAACTAGTATTCGCGTCCTCTTCTGACTTTTCAGCTTTGCGATTTTGCATCCTCTGTTCCTTTCATCGTCATCGCTGAGGATCGTGAGAATGATGAGCTGCTCCAGGTCGGATAGTAGCTGTTGGCATTCTGACTTGAATGGCATGGGGACTAGATTGGCGGATTGGCTTCGCTCATTTTTTTTTTTTTTGAATTGTAAAAGTCACAGGCGTGTTAGGTTGAACATTTTGGCGTGTTTTTGCAAAACGCGTTTTTGGTCACAAACGCGCCACGATAGACTTATCTGCCCACAAAAAAATTTATAGCACAGCCGCAAAAATATCAAAGTTTTTGAAACCCCCTAGTGTTTTCCACGTTGTACATACACATTTCGCTACACACCTGCCCTCGGGCTGGCGGAATTACTGGGTTTGAAACTCCCTAATTTAGGGGAGACATCTCCGTGTTTTGCATGTCCCAATCTGCGCTGTGGTGTGTGCCTGATTGATGATTCACATTGCAGACATCTATCCGTTACAGCGTTATCTCTACCTTACCTGCACTTGACAACAAGGCATCACATCTAGCGAAATGGCATGATATGAATACGTGAATAGTTGGGTGGAGCGTTTCCGTCTCGAGGGTCCAGGCACGACGCAATGCGGGAGCGATGGATCAAGAGGATGTATTTTTTGGTGATGTGGGTGTGGGTCTGGAGACATTTTGTTGGTGGGAGTTGGCGAGAACTTTAAAGGGGGAGGAGGGGGGGGGTACATCTCACGACCTAAGACATGTAAGAAGGAGCGGCGCTGTGTCGTTGAAAAAAAAAAAAAAAAAAAAAAAAAAAACTGACGAGTTTCTCCGAACGTCAATGGGCTGGTATTTTGAGGATGAGACAGGAGCTAGCCCCGGTACGCTGGGCGGACTACCGGGACAGGTCCTCAAGTTGTCTGTGACGTTAATGGTAGGATTATAGACACGTTTTCCGGCTACACTCTCTACTTTCCAGAACCTACAGTACAAGTATTTTTTTTTTACTCACGCTCTTTATTTTGTAGATCGATGGCAGGACCACTTTTGTCTTCACCAGCTCCGATCTATAGTTCAGGAATATGAAAAAAAGAAAAAAAAAACAAATCCCGTTGGAAGGCCGTTCGCTCGTTTTTTTACTTCTGGTTATTTTGTATCTGTTCCCCGTTCCCCGTTGTGTTGTTGTCGAGCAACGACCGCGCCTGTCATAGTCACCCGCTTGAGGAATGGTGCGTGTGTTCATGTCTTTTTTTTTTTGCCATCCTCAACAGACAGGCAGGCAGGCACCGCGAGATTGCATACGGGCCGGGTCACTGAATGGGTAACAATGGCAGAACGGAGTAGTGTCCAGCACCTGGCTCTGTCGCTTAATAGGTTATGATGATATCTAGCGCATATACATGCACTATACAGTGCTCCAGATGTCCATTGACTATCAGCAGATCCTCAGTACCCCTTCTCTAGAAGATATACTATGTACGAACACCTTTTTCTTTATATATATGATCTATTATACATGCTGCTTATGCTACATGTTGAACAGTGGTATCGGTGCTGGTTCTTTTGAGCCCATCATGCCCATCTAAAGAATCCATATCATTCAACCCGCCCCCACTATTCTGCTCTGCGACCGTATGGAGAGAACCAGGTCTATAACCCCGTAGCTCCTCAGAGATCCACCTTGGCGCTGTCGGTGTAGGAGGTGTAGGGAATGACGGCGCGGCAATGGAGGGTATAGCTGGGTGCTGTTGGTATGGCGGGGCAGCCCCTGATGAGGACAAGGAGAGCCGTGCCTGTGCTGCTGCCTCCTTTGTCGCCTCTGCTACTTTTGTTCGTTGAGACGGCGGGTCTTGGTCTATGGACGCGCTCGATACTGGAGCAGACATTTCAGATCCGTCGCCGGGGGTATATGGTTGTGGAGCAGATGGACTGTGTATGACGGCTAATCCTAGCAAAGGCGGCATTGATTTTGATCCAGACATGAATGCGGTGGTTGGTGGAGCGACCTGTGAGGTCGCTAGAGTGAGCGTTTGTGTAGGCAGTGACCTGTTCTCGAGCGTAGGATCCTTCATGCTCTCCGCCTCGAAATCCTCAGGGTCCGCAGTCAAGGTCGTTACAATAGCTGGTCTAGGGTGTTGTTGGAGCATCACCTCACGCATATACCCTGTTCCTGTGTCCATGATACCATCCAGCTCCATGTCATCGGTAACCAGGATCTTGCCCCGCCCATCCAGGTCAAAGCTATCCATAGAAGGACCCTCGATCTTGTTGATATTGCGCATGTCCTCATGGCCGTCGTTGTCGTCTTCTACGCTCATCATGGCTATAATCTTTGCCCTAATCCTCCGCTTGTAACGTGGCCACCGCCTCCGAATGAACAAAAACAGCGCTACTGACAGCAATACTAAAGCTCCGGCAACTGATCCGCCAATAATGGCCGGAGTGTAATTGGGTGGATCCGCTAGTGGAAATCCGTATGGATCCGTGATGTTGATAGAATACGGGACGGACTGGGAGATGCCAATGGTTGAGGCTCCCAGCGCAAGGCCCATGGTGTCGTAATCAAGAGATGCGATGAATGCAAACGGCTCCACTTTCCCGTCGTCGCTTCCACCGATCGGCTGAATAAGTGATCCCGAAAGTCGGTCAATATCCGTCATGATGTAGTCGCTGAGTGCAGAGTCCCTGTTTGCCCCATCCTTGAACGTCATTAAAAGTCCTTGTCCTGGGAAAGCATCGTTATCCAAGCCCTACATATAATATCAAAGATATCATAACAAAAGATTAGTTTAGTGCAATCCGTTAATAGTCTGTGACGCGTTGACTTGATAGACGACGCACCTGACAAAACACATAGAGAATGTCCTTATAGAACCGTGCGGAGACAGAGGACGGAACGCAGTAGTTCATACTCGTCGCATTGTACACAGGCAGATTTGGTGGCGGTTTGAATTGGAATGGATCCCCATTTAGTGGTATCCTCGTCAACGTGTTCCTAAGGGCCCCTGTCCTGTTGTTGACGACGAGGGTGCCGAATTGGTAGAGAGCATTATTGCCAAAGACTAGTCTACTCGGATAGCCGTATATGTTTGGATCCTAGCATAACATAAAAAAAAAAAAAAGAATCTGTTAAAAACTGGCTGGCTATGCATCGCTTCTGCAAGCGTGCCCAATGCAATGGTTGGACTTATCAAAAGCAACAGGTCATCTGCAGCTTGTGTGTAGCCCGAATATAATTTAATACATTAGCCTGACCCCTCTCCCCTTAACAGAGAGGTCTGAAATTCAAAGTGCATTGGTAACAGGATAAAAAAAAAAATTGGTAACAGGGAGAAAACGCCAGGACTTCCTTACCAGGCCCCAGGAAACGACATTGATAAACTCTTTGGTGCCGTTGTCATCGACACCGAGCATGCCGAGGTGAACTGCGTTTGAGGTGCCGACGTTGGCCTGAAAGAGGTTTGCTGTGTCGGGCCATTGAAACAGGGCGTATGTGGCCGAGTAATCCCCCCATTGATAGCCTGCCTTGAGCGTGAAGTTGGACCAGCTGTTCGACCTTGGGTCGTATTGGAATCCGCCTGGTGGGCGTGGTGCCTGAGTTTCGTTGTAGGTGAGATCTGTGATGCTGAAGTAGGACATGGCACTGAAAATGTTTGTCTTTGGGTCGACGTTGCAGACGATCGGGGCGTAGTCATGTGGATCGATGATCGGCCGCGGATAGGCGGCGACCAGGGACCAGGTAATGTCAGAGACACTGGTTGGGTTGGGGTTGGATTGAATAAGGGCTACGATGTCGTTGTTGCCGTCGCTGTCGTTGTTGTCGTTGCTGTGCTCGATGGAAGGAAATGTGTACGACATGCCCAGCAGGCGGGTCCCGTTTGTTGTGACACATTGCAGCGAAAGTATGCCCATTGGTGCATGGGATGTTTGCTGGTCCGATGGAAGGGATGAGGATCAGATGTCGGCGATGGCGGAGTGCTTGAGCGGTGGGCAGAGGTAGATACTCAGACACCCTCGGCGGAATGGAGTGGGAGGCGGGAAGTGGGGAGTGGGGAGTGGGGAGTGGGCAAGTGGGGGAATGAGTGTGGGCGTAAGTGCAGTATGGGTGTAAATGCGAGTGTGTGGAGTGCAAACTGAGCTCGAACGTGATAGGCTGGAGTATTTTTGGCCAACCAGAGCAATTTATCCCGGACGATTGTTTGTAGACTATGTAATGGATCCTGCTGTCGTTCGTGCGCCATCGCCCGCGCACTGGCCCATTCCCTGCATATTCAGGGTCTACACGGACACCCATGTCCCCAAAGTCCATCCATCGATCCTTTATTTGCACACCGTCTCGATCTACACACTACCATCTCATCCCACCACTCTTTTTTTTTTCCTCTTTTTTTTTTCTTTCTTTTTTTTTTAAGCCGCGCCTGCTTGACCCTCCGCTGCTGATGATTCAACACCATACAGCTTCGTGATCTTGCCAATCGCAATGGTCCTCCCTTCGTCCCTCAGTGCAAATCTCCCCATCTGGGGCGAGTCTGCAAACGTCTCAACACATAGGAGGCCCCCAGTCTCGATCACCACAACCCCCTGCTGCCCCTTCTTCAGGAACTGAGGTGGCCGTTTGGATTTGCGACCTGTCTTCTTGTCGATCAGATGGACCATGGCTGACAAGGTGATCTCTTCAATCGCAGTGTGAACATGGAGCACCGCATTGTAGCCTGCGCTGATGATGTTCTTGTGGTCCAAAACTCCAAGCGCTGCTTCAAACTTTGTCACTGCATGCACGGGATGCTTGAGGCTGCAAAGGACGAATCCGGTCATGATGTCCTAAACGTTATGGCAAAAGTATCAAGAATTTTGCGCATCAGCAACTTGTTAGTCATCATCGAACGACTAGGATCAGTACAGCAATTCCTAAGCTAGCCGACATACATCCTCTTCTACACCTCGGAGTCGAAGTCGAACGTTGTCGCCAACGCCTGCCATCGGAATCTCCTCTTCCTGTTCACTAAACAGAGCAGCGATTTCGACCTTAACAGCATTTGGCATCATCAAAACGTGTGCGCCCTTCTTGATCGATCCCGCTTCAATCTTTCCCACTACAATAGTTCCCATATCCTTATATTTTTCACTGATCGGCATACGGAAAGGCGCATTCAACTTCCTGTCCGTCATATGGATCGTGTCAAGACGCTCGAGCAATGTCGGTCCTGAGTACCAATCGCAGTCCTTGGGGTCGACCTTGCTCTTGATGTTGGCACCCGTATATCCTGAAACTGGCATAAATACTACGTCACCCTTGAGATTGTACCGATTCGACTTTAGGAACGGCGACAGTTTCTCCACGCACTCATCGTATCGCTCTTTGGACCAATTGACTGTCGGGTCGTCCATCTTGTTAATGACTACCACCAGTTTGTTGACGCCGCTGTTTTTAGCCAGGACAGCATGTTCCCGAGTCTGTCCACCCCTCTCGAATCCAGTCTCAAACTCACCCTTGCGCGCAGAAATGACCAGCACGGCTACATCTGCCTGAGCAGCGCCTCCGATCATATTGGGCACATAGGCCTTGTGACCGGGCGCATCCAGGATGGTGTAGCGACGAGTATCTGTCTCAAAATAGGCGCGCCCGACTTCGACAGTCTTGCCCTATAGTGTCGAAGGAGAAGGAGAGGAGAGTGTGAGAAATAGAGATCCATCCACGCATGATCATCAAGAGATTTACCAAGAGTATTACTTTTGCACGCTCCTCAACATTCGTGTCCAGTGCCCACGACAAGTACCAGGATTCGCGCCCCGCCTCCCTGGCCTCCCTTTCAATTTTCTCCAGCGTTCTCTTGTCGATCATCCCTGTCGCCTCTCTATGTGGATTATGTAAATGAGGTTGTTATTCGCCACGGAACATGTATCGGGACAACAGCATATAGCAAATATGAAAGACACCTACAGGATACGGCCTCCCATCGTCGACTTTCCTGCATCGACATGCCCAATGAATAAAACATTGATATGCTCCTTTCCAAAGAACTCTGTCAACGTCTCCTGGTCCACTGTGTCTTCCTCCGTTCCATTGTCCGCAGCCGCCGTAGCAGCCGCTTTCTTGGATGGCATAGGCGAGGCAGACTTTGATGCCGGCGTGATGGACCTTGGTGCTGGAGGCGCCGTTGCGGGGGTAGTGACAGGAGTTGGCGCCAAGACGTGTGATGGAGCTGTGCTAGAAGTCTTCACCGAAGTCTTGTTCACGACAGCTGTAGGAGGAGAGGCGTTGAAGTCGATATCTGAGGGCGCGATAGATGGAGCGCGTGTATTGTCTTCTTGGGTGGGCTGAGGCATCCCAGAGGGTACAGAGGTCTCGGCTGCTGCACGCGATACAAAGGTCTTTGCACTCGGATCGAGACTCAGGTCCGATAGCTTCGTTGCGGTGGTGTCGCTGTTGTTGTCGTGTCCGCTCATGGTCGGAAAAGTGAATGTCGATGGGGATGCTGCGGAATGAATGAGTTCATGGAAGAAAAAGGCGAGCAGCGAAAAGTCACACACAGCACGCGACATTGTTTCTCCAAGAGCCCGTCGTTCCGCAAAGACCTGTTGATGTGATTGTCCAATCATACTGAAGCAACGTTGGATTGTCCACCCACTAATTAGGGAACGCGAGCTGAAACTTTTCCTGCACCATCTCATGTAGCGGTTGATGGCTCTTTCACCTCGTCTCGCTTGTCCGAGCTACTCACCTCGATCCGTACCAACATGGTCGCCTTCAGATCTTCTCTCTACTTCATACAAGCTTGACCATGATGTGGAAGTTGGAAAGTGTTGTATAAAATTTGAGCGGAGCGATATTAATTGAGGATTCTCAATGAGGATGATCCCATTTCAGCTCATTCCTTAATACCAATTCCAAGCAAATGCCAACCAAGTTACATTTCTAGCTGTACCGGGGGCCAGGTGTCAATATGTGCACTTTAACACAATTGCATTTTCTTATTAAAACTCATTGGATGAATTTAGGATAAGGGATGTCATTAAAAAGTTCTGTTTGGTGAAATATATTGTGGTTAATGAGGTTCAAAAGACAAGTGAGAAAAAGATGTGGCTCCACACACGATATTTATTGATCAACTCTATGGTAATAAAGTACACCGGACTCGGCTGAATATGCAGCTACCACCCTTTTCTGTCTTTTCATGCCAAATGACTGCTGTCAATAAGATGTTGAAATGCTCGGGAAATAACGAGAGACAAGTGCTAAAAGCAACCGTTTTATACTTGCTCTTAGAAAAACATCGTTTATTCATCCACAATTGAAGTTTATATCGACAACACAGCTTTATTAAAACAAAGAGAACCGTGCGCAACAGGTTGATAGAATGGATCACAATAACGCAGTGGTCCGATTCAAACACAAAGTCAAATGAAATGACTCTCTATTCCGACAAAGTACCTTCTGTTAGAGCTGCAAAACAATCGTAATCCCTGCCATCAATGCCATTGTTGAGACGCTCCCATCCAGTATTTGCTTTTCGCAGGAAAGTCTCCAAGCAGAATAGTTTATTTCCTGAAGTTTGCCACCCTCTTGCATAGCCGCTCCAAACGCTTCATCTCGACTTGCTATCTCTGAGTAGAAGAATTACAGAGGTTCGTCTCCTCGAGAAGCTGTTGGAAATCCTTCTGTTCACCCCACCTGTCACCATTATTAGCTCCTACACTGATGCCTCTGCCAACAAGAAATTCAGGGTATTAAGCACGCTGCCAGACCGGATATGCACCTAAGGACTCCCAATCAATGGTGCCAGTAATGTCATTTCTTTCAGCCATGATGTTACCCATGTATAAGTCGATGTGTTGAAGGCAAAAGCGCTCCAGCGTGGTTGCTGTTGGACAAAAATAAGGAACAATCTTCTCGGGTTGCGCACAAGTATGTCCGTATACATTACTCTTAGGCTAATCAGGCTCTGAATCGTCAGCATCATCGTCACCTCATGTCGGTGTGCCCACTTGTGACAAACAGGAGAGGACACAGGGAAGAGAGGCAACTGAAAAGTCCTTTATTGTGTATTGTGAAAATAGGCTGTTTATATGTATTACTGTCACACCACGAGTACTGCTCCCGATCCGAACGTCTGCATCTGCGAGGGCTTCAGCACACAACCTCCGACCCGACGTGTCCTTCCCGAGACCCCAGACACAAGCATTCCAAGCCAACACTCATTGGCGGGATCAGTATCTCTCACACAGAGCACAATGACCCGAGCTGTACCCTTGTCTCCAGAAACGCCCTCAGATGCAAAGTCCTCATCATACCAAGAATGAATGGTCTCCGACAACGTAACCGTCCCAGTAGCTCCAAACCATAACAACCCTGCCCCAGTGGCGAGCAAGTCGCAGATTGTTTGCCATCGTCCAGCTGCAGGCCACTTCGCCCCGTACATTGGCATTGTGGATACAGGGACGATCCTTCCTTTCGCAGGGGCAGCCTCAAATGCCAGCCAACTAACATCATGCTGCTGCACTGCTAAACCTATAAGCTGGGCACACGCTGGCAGTCCTCTTGGCACGTCAGGAATCAGCTCATACCTTATAGAATCAAACACTCCCATATCATGCATCCCTCCACCACAACGATCATGCGTCAGTGCACCACAACGTTCGTGAGTTACACTATCACAACAATCATGTGTCATTCCACGACAACGCATTAGTGCAGCCGCAACCAATCGTCCAGAATCGTAATTGCCAAGCTGCAGTACGCCAAGGCCAACAAGCATAGTCATATCGGTAGCTTTGAGGCACATCCAATATCTATCAAGTAGGGCACCCAACCGAGCCTGCAGTGTTACCAGCCATCCACACTCAATGGACTTGCCACCATGGGTCACAACCATCATGCGCTCGTAGCTCATGAACATCTCCTGCAACGTCCAAGTGGATGTGAACCAACTAACACCTCCGAGTAGATGTATCACCTCAAGGAACTCATCGAAGGTGTCAGCGGTCTCACTGAGATCTAGCGCACCTTTGATCGAAAGGAAATCGTGTTCAGGAACAAACACAAACACGCGACTCGCATCAGCATATAGCTCGGCTTGTGCCTTGATCTTGTTGGCCTTCTTCAAGCCTGCCTGCGTGGGAACGTCAACCCAGTCGAGCCACAACTCACTATCCCATCCTGTGGCTATAACGGCAGCTGCTATATCCCGCTCATCCCAATAGCCCCATTTGCACACGTGCTTCTCCTGGTACTCCCCTGTGATGCCACAAGTCCCCTTGCACCAGCCACGCCCCCAGGTGTGTGACACACACGCGTACCGTTCATTGCCTATTAGTGACTTGATAACCGTCCTTGGAACCCCTCCAGCACAGTCAATCCATCGATGCTCACCATCATGCATGAGCTTCGTCTCTTCGTAGTCGCCAGTAGCCGGATAATGCTCATACATTCCCGCACCATTCAGCATCCCTTCACAACCGATGGCCATGGCGGTCATGCCATCAACATACGGGATACCTGACCGAATCTCAGCAGCCAGTAACGGAGAAAAGCTCATGCCGCCGTCTGAGTGATTGATGGTCCTATAGTCAGCCACACACACCTTGCTCCCAACCAACTGTCCCCACCTATCAACCATATTGCTGACGCTTTCCCAAGTTTGCTCGACCAACTGGTCGATTACCCCAGGCCCTACGACCAAACCGCTACCGATCCCCCAGGCATACGCACCACAGTTACCATTCATTCCTGCCACTGGTCCACTCCGCCAAGGCGCCTGCATGAAGCAATGAGAGCATCTGCAACGGCTTCCTTTAGAGGGAATCCGTCGCACCTTGCTCATGACAGCGACACACTGGCTGTCAATACCAGTAGTCGTGCCATTGACGGCGCAGTCAAACACCATCGTGGCAAGCTCGACAATGGCGCTGCCCACATCTACTGCACTCAGAGCACTCTCCTCTACTCCTGCTGGTTTGCCATCGTCTGAAATACAGTTCTCATTATAATCCCTGTCCTCATTGTAATACCTGTCCCCAGTGTTATCCCTGTTCCCATTGTAATCCTTGTCCTCATTGTGATTCTTGTCCTCATCGGAACCCCAGCCCTCATCGGAACCCCAGCTCTCATCGGAGCCCCAGTCCTCATCGGAATTTCTGTCTTCCTCGGAATCCCAGTTCTGATTTTCGGTTAATCCAGAGCGAGAAAGAGCTTCCTTGATATCCGCCACGTGAGGAAGACGCGACGGGTTACCGATTTCGCTTAAAGCCAGGGAGCCGTTCATTGTTGGAGACATAGCCCATCTCTCAGACGGATCTTCTGTTGAGTATTTGGGAGTAATGTAAATCAGTGAAGAGTGGACAGTTAACAGGATACAAAACCTCAATCCACACTGCAGCTGGTCCAAGCAATGCGCCACTGAAAGCCCAAAGTCCAGTCCCATTTAAATCAAGTTTAGCCACAGACATACCTTCAGATCGCCCGATGATGACATGGGTTGTGTCCTCTGGATCACCGTCTTGGAATGCCTTGGAGAGTGTTGCTGTTGCTTTGAGTAGTCGTTTGGTGTCATGAACGGTCGCTGTAATACGCTCATCTGATGCATCCTCGTCGATGGAAATCATGACTCGCTAGAGCAGGATAGGTGTTTGGGATGGAATAGGTTGTGGAGGAGCGTTTGTGTGTCTGGCAGGGATGTCTTGAGTATGCTGTGATGGAGATTCGATGTCGGGTGTTGTCAAGGTCATAGTCCCTGTAGATGTATCTTTTATATTTGTTTTTCTGTGTATTCAAAGAGTCCATCCAAGGCGCTTCACCATATAACTCACTGGCCCTTTCTTTCGTTCATGCAAGACACGTATGTTGCTTCGCCAACGCCGTGTGCAAACAGACATGTAGTCAGTGAATCCGCACATCTGCTTCGCCAATACTTTTTCATGTGTGTAAATATGTTTTTTTTGCCTGCTTCCATGCAAACAAACATGAGTCAGTGAACCCGCGCATTTGCTTCGCCAACATTTTGTCCTCGCCATTGTCCTTTCTTTTCCATGTTTGCTTCCATGGAAACAAACATGTTATCCCTTACATTTGCTTCGCCCCACCAAGGTTACACAAAATCTATCTACTTTCATGGTAGAATCTTCCATCTTCGACACCTCATAGTAAATCATGAGATGGAATGCGAGAGAGAGTGGCAGGCTGAGAAAATCCCCAGAGTACAAATACCTCGGAATGGACTCTTGATTCCACATACAAGCACCCAACCACCAAAGCCGACCCACGGAATATCCTGAAAACACAAAGCAAGCATGGACGAGACAACATCGACCACAGTCACCTCAGTATCCAGTGCACTAGCAGTATTGGGTGCATTTGGATGTGATGCCATGACGCCCGCAATGCTGACACAGTGCCTCTACAAAGACTCATATGGTGCAATCACGCTGACTACAGCGCTGGTTAATGGGGCGTGCCAACCAGTGGCTGGCCCTACGTTCAAGCTCGGAGCGATGCTGATGGTGCACACAGCATGTGCATTATCAGGCAGGATCAACGACTGGGACGAGTATGTGGGTGTAGCGCCTTTGAGGAATGCAAAAGCAGAGTGCTACTCCGTCTCCGACGGCCGGATGAAGCAGATGGGTAGCTGCGTCTACGCAGCTGTGCAGGATCGTGCTGTAGCTGCAGTGTCTGCTCTAAAGCCCCAGGATCGCGTCCACCATCATTACATCCGCATGACAGTATCCCCACAGGAAGATACACACACGGGAACGTATGCAAACATTGTGCGATGGATTGCTGCGTGTTGGCCACTGGTTGCTTCAGCGATCATGGCGTGGGCCGACATGCAGCTGTGGGCAGGTAATGTGCTGTTAGGCTGGCTTGGCTGGTTCTTTATCGTGCTCAGTGCCGGGCCCGCTGTTCAGTCCGGACACCAGTGCAACGCCAATTGCAAACAGCGAGTGTACCTACTGAATGACCAAAACACCACAAAAAGCTTGATCGAGTACACTGTGTGTTTGGAGTTTGATGACCTAGCACGTCGGAGACTGCCGAAGCGCCACACACGCTGCAGAGTCCTGCGTGCGATCGGAAGTCTCTTAATGACCATACATTTCCCACTGGGGCTTGTGGCGACCTGCTATGACAGCAGTGCAGGTGCACAGACGTGGGTGCTGATACAGTTTGTGGGCCTGATTGCTGGCATGCGATGGTGGTGCATAGAGCAGCGTCTTGCCCGTCATGGTGTCGACTGTGCACAGGGTCTAACAGTGACTCACGAGATCCAGCCATTCGAAAGGTGGCAAGCTGTGCTCGACCGCGTCGACCAAATCCATTGGCCACACATTAAGCATCAGTACACCTAGTCTGTTCTCTCTTCCTCTCTCTCTCTTCCCCTCTCCTGCTCTCACCACCTGCCAACCTTCGGTGCCTTCATCTTGCTTTAGTCTCTATCCTGTCCTTGCCTCTACCCTGTTCTCGCCTCTTTCCTATCCTTCCCTCTATCCTGTCCTTTCCTCTACCCTGTCCTTTCCTCTACCCTGTCCTTGCCTCTACTCTTGTCCAAGCATCTCAAATGCCTTTGTATTTCTCTCGTTCATGTACTCCTTGAAAACGACTTGTACCTTGTTCCTGTCCTCGTGTTCATCATCTCCCAAATAGAACAGCAATCCTGCAATAAATATATTACTCGATCCACAGCTCGCCTCTTCTTTGTCCCTGTCCCCCTTCTATTCCGTTTGCGCAGATTTTGACACTTACTCACTCGATGATTACCTGTAACTGTCCCCATTTATACGTGTCATACGTATTACACCCATTGTGCTCTATGACACATCCTCCGACGCGTTTGCTCGAGTGTATCTCTATGATCACACAGAACAGGCGGATACTGCTGATTCCAACCAAACAAAGACTCCTGTCGTTAGCTACACTTCTACCGCTGGCTACACCTCTGCTGCTGGCTACACACTGAGCACTGAGCCAGCCTATAGCCTTATGTCCATGGACACTTGCAAGCTCGAGTCCATTCCCCTTCTTCACTGTATATGTTGACATGTTCATATGTCTGCAGTTCACTTGAATGCCTACACCTCTCATCACAGAACGCACCTTGGTGTCGACATTTAGCATACCACCGAGAGGTATAGTCACGCTCCGACTGTCTAGATCGCACAGCTTGCCGAACCAGCGTTCATCTCGAGCGGCAGAATTGTATCCTTGGAGCAGCATGATCTCTGGAGACTTGACCACCAGGGCTTCATACAGCCATATCTGCACAGCCTCTGCGGTTCGCTCGCATGTGTACTCAAAATTATCAGACACATAACCTGTCAGTATATCGAGACGGTCAACCTCGCACGTGTCCTTGCATGCTATGAGGAGATAATAGGGAGTACGGCCCCATTGTGGAGCAGAGAGACATTGACAATGCGTTGACTGGGTCTGTCTTTGTTGAACGTAATCAGTCGGTCGCCAGTACTTTACATAAGCCCTCCCCCCAGCCCAAGCCCATCAAGGTTTTATGCCTCCAGGTCGCGCTTGATGCGAGAAGATAACACGATGGACACTTCCTACTACAAATCCTTCTCATTTACACTGGTGTCTTCTCAACGATGACAGCACTATATCCATTGCAGATGACTTTAATGTAACGGGGTATTGCAAGCAGTAGAGTAGCCTTGTCACTACGATCTGCTGAGATTAAGCCCATTGTTCTATAGATTTGTTCGAAAGAACAACACCTTTCTTTTTCCTAAAATCTCGCGGCGCGCATAGCTCTCAAGGTGGAGCCAATGTCGAAGTCGAAGTCTCTCGAACATTCACTCAACAGAAAGGTATTTATTGCTCTGAGCGCCAACCATTTAAAGTGATGTTTGTTGTCATTGAGGACGCGAATAAAGGTGTATGTCCTTGTCCTAATGTCCTTGTCCTGTAGCCAATGAGCAGTCTCCCCATGGTCTTGGCTTTGATAGTAGGAGGATATTTGGCTGGCATTCCGTAAAATGGCAGAATTCAAATATCTTCACGATAAAAGTTTAAATTTATGTTGCATGGATTTTGTGCCAGCACCCATAACTGCAAACACAGCAACACATGAGAATGTTATGAATTGAGTGGAGCCAATAATATGTGACGATAACCATTATCAAAAACGCAAACAAAGCTGCCCCGAAAAGAGAAATGAAAACAAACGAGAGCGATAAGATAAGACACCGGAAGTAATAACAATAGGCTCGTGGCCATTTTGCCATAAAAGGTTTCTCTGCCACAATTTCTCCATGCTACCCATAGGGGGTAGCCAAGCGCATCTGGTCTGGATTGGGCTCTAGCCCCACTAATCCTTGTCTGACGACATTCTGGCGATATGGACATTGTGCCATGGACAACAGAGGGAAAAGAAAACAAACAACAGCGGTAACGTTGGTGGGAAGTCGTTTGCAGAACACCCGAGAGTGTGGGGTAAACTAGCGAGCTAGCTTGCTCTGCGAGTCCGGGGTAAGTAACTTCGATTGGCGGTGAGTGTTCAGAACCAGGGTCCGATCATTTTGAACAGTTCTGTTGTGTGTAACGTTTTCTTCAAAAGGTGTCTGCTCCTCTTCTTTTCTCACTTCCCATTTCTCCATTCCAACATGACATCCTCCACCATCCCCATCATCAACGACATCTCCATCCTTTACTCCGAACCAAAGATCGACTCTGCCCGCGCGCGATGGGTCGAGCTCTCCACCCAGTTCGAGAACCTCTACGGCCGTATCCCTGACTTCATCGCCCGCTCCCCCGGCCGTGTGAACCTCATCGGTGAACATATCGACTATGCCGGTTTCGGTGTTCTGCCCATGGCCATCGAAGATGATTGCCTTATCGCCGTCGCCATTGATCACTCCCAATCTGCCGTGAAGCTCGCGAACCTCAACCCCGAATATACCACCCTGGAGTTCTCGCCTAAATCCCGTCAAGACGGCATAGTCCCTATCAACCCAGAGGCCCACATCTGGTCCAATTACTTCTTGGCCGGATACCGCGGCGTCCTTGAGGAGTTCCGTGTCGAACAACCCAAAGGTATGCTTTGTCTCATGAGCGGAACTGTCCCCACTGGTGCCGGTCTCTCCTCCTCCTCAGCCGTCGTCTGTTGTTCCGTCATCGCGACTGTCAAGGCCCAAGAACCCCTCCTGCCCCAGGACAAGAAGTCACCCTCGGCTCATGAGCTCGCCATTCTTTCCATCCGCTCTGAGGGCTACGTCGGCGCCATGGTCGGTGGCATGGACCAGGCCTGCTCTATTCTCTCAAAACCCAACTCGGCTCTCTTCATCGAATTCCACCCAGTGCTTAAGGTCACCCCGGTCCATTTCCCCAAGACTCTCCCACCCATCGCCTTCGTCATCGCGGACACGCTCGTCACCTCCAACAAGGCTGTCACGGCTCCCGTGTGCTACAATCTCCGCGTCGTCGAAACCCGTGGCGCAGCCAGGATCCTGGCCCTGGCTTTGGGAATCCCGATCCCGGCAACTGGCAAGCTGCACCTGAAGCAGGTCTTGGATGCGCATTTTGACAAGATTGGCTACGAATCTGCTGGCAAGACCGAGGCCGAGACTGACATTGAGAAGCTGACGGAGATGACCAAGGTTGTCGAGCGCGTCTTTGGCACGGAGGAGATTAAATCCGGGGTCTCGTTCGCAAAAATGTGCGAGCTCGCAGGACTAAGCGAGCAAGAATTCACAAGACTCTATATCCAGCAACCGATTCGTACTGAAAAGTTTCATCTGTACCGCCGTGCCAAGCACGTCTACAGCGAGGAAAAACGCGTGGTTCAGTTCAGGAATATCTGTGAAAAGTCGATGCGGCAGGAACAGGACGTCGTTGCTGAGACGCTGTTTACGCAACTGGGTGAGTTGATGGATGCATCGCAGGATTCATGCCATGCGCTATTTGATTGCTCGTGTGATGAGCTCGAGGAATTGACGGCCTTGGCCCGTCGTGCGGGCGCGTATGGATCGAGATTGACGGGCGCTGGATGGGGTGGAGCGACGGTTTCGTTGGTGGCCGAGGACAAGGTGCCCGAGTTCATTGAGTACCTAAAGAAGGAATTTTATGCGAAGCACCATCCGAATTTGACTGGAGAAAAACTCAACCGCGCCGTCTTTGCCACCGCGCCCTCCAGTGGAGCCGCGACCTTTGTGGGACACCTCTAACCCTGCTCGCTTCGTGTATATAGTGGCTCCACTCAATTCATATGTGTTGATGTGTTTGCAGTTATGGAGGTTGGCACAAAAGCCATGCAAAATAAATTTTACATTTTTCCCGTGGAGATATTTTCCAATAATAAAAATTTTAATTGAGCTGAACTGAGTTATGCTACTGCTAGTGTGCAATCGTACAACTTGTCATTCTTGGATCTTCCATTCCCTCTTTCCAATCGAAGCAACCATTCACCAGAAAGGCGATATGGATGTGAAGGAACACCTCCGATCCAAGAAAGATACGAAGACGCCTTTAGGGTGAAATAAAAATATCATTTTATTGCACATATTATTATTGGCTCTACTCAATAATAACGCAGTGGTCCGATTTATATGAAATGACTCTCTATTCGGACAAAGTACCTTCTGTTAGAGCTGCAAAACAATCGTAATCCGTGCCATCTATGCCATTGTTGAAACGCGTTTGCTTTTCGTAAGAAAGTCTCCAAGCAGAATGGCTTTTTTCTCCTGAAGTTTGCCACCCTCTTGCATAGCCGCTCCAAACGCTTCATCTCGACTTGCTATCTCTGAGTAGAAGAATTACAGAGGTTCGTCTCCTCGAGAAGCTGTTGGAAATCCTTCTGTTCACCCCACCTGTCACCATTATTAGCTCCTACACTGATGCCTCTGCCAACAAGAAATTCAGGGTATTAAGCACGCTGCCAGACTGGATATGCACCTAAGGACTCCCAATCAATGGTGCCAGTAATGTCATTTCTTTCAGCCATGATGTTACCCATGTATAAGTCGATGTGTTGAAGGCAAAAGCGCTCCAGCGTGGTTGCTATTGGGCAAAATAAGGAACAATCTTCTCGGATTGCGCACAAGTATGTCCGTATACATTACTCTTAGGCTAATCAGGCTCTGAATCATCAGCATCATCGTCACCTCATGTCGGTGTGCCCACTTGTGACAAACAGGAGAGAACACAGGGAAGAGAGGCAACTGAAAAGTCCTTTATTGTGTATTGTGAAAATAGGCTGTTTATATGTATTACTGTCACACCACGAGTACTGCTCCCGATCCGGACGTCTGCATCTGCGAGGGCTTCAGCACACAACCTCCGACCCGGCGTGTCCTCCCCGAGACCCCAGATATAAGCATCCCAAGCCAACACTCATTGGCGGGATCAGTATCTCTCACACAGAGCACAATGACCCGAGCTGTACCCTTGTCTCCAGAAACGCCCTCAGATGCAAAGTCCTCATCATACCAAGAATGAATGGTCTCCGACAACGTAACCGTCCCAGTAGCTCCAAACCATAACAACCCTGCCCCAGTGGCGAGCAAGTCGCAGATTGTTTGCCATCGTCCAGCTGCAGGCCACTTCGCCCCGTACATTGGCATTGTGGATACAGGGACGATCCTTCCTTTCGCAGGGGCAGCCTCAAATGCCAGCCAACTAACATCATGCTGCTGCACTGCTAAACCTATAAGCTGGGCACACGCTGGCAGTCCTCCTGGTACGTCAAGGATCAGCTCATACCTTATAGAATCAAACACTCCCATATCATGCATCCCTCCACCACAACGATCATGCGTCTGTGCACCACAACGTTCGTGAGTTACACTATCACAACAATCATGTGTCATTCCACGACAACGCATTAGTGCAGCCGCAACCAGTCGCCCAGGATCACAGTCACCAAGCTCCAGTACGCCAAGGGCAAGAAGCGTAGTCATATCGGTAGCTTTGAGGCACATCCAATATCTATCAAGTAGGGCACCCAACCGAGCCTGCAGTGTTACCAGCCATCCACACTCAATGGACTTGCCACCATGGGTCACAACCATCATGCGCTCGTAGCTCATGAACATCTCCTGCAACGTCCAAGTGGATGTGAACCATTTAACACCTCCGAGTAGATGTATCACCTCAAGGAACTCATCGAAGGTGTCAGCGGTCTCACTGAGATCTAGCGCACCTTTGATCGAAAGGAAATCGTGTTCAGGAACAAACACAAACACGCGACTCGCATCAGCATATAGCTCGGCTTGTGCCTTGATCTTGTTGGCCTTCTTCAAGCCTGCCTGCGTGGGAACGTCAACCCAGTCGAGCCACAACTCACTATCCCATCCTGTGGCTATAACGGCAGCTGCTATATCCCGCTCATCCCAATAGCCCCATTTGCACACGTGCTTCTCCTGGTACTCCCCTGTGATGCCACAAGTCCCCTTGCACCAGCCACGCCCCCAGGTGTGTGACACACACGCGTACCGTTCATTGCCTATTAGTGACTTGATAACCGTCCTTGGAACCCCTCCAGCACAGTCAATCCATCGATGCTCACCATCATGCATGAGCTTCGTCTCTTCGTAGTCGCCAGTAGCCGGATAATGCTCATACATTCCCGCACCATTCAGCATCCCTTCACAACCGATGGCCATGGTGGTCATGCCATCAACATACGGGATACCTGACCGAATCTCAGCAGCCAGTAACGGAGAAAAGCTCATGCCGCCGTCTGAGTGATTGATGGTCCTATAGTCAGCCACACACACCTTGCTCCCAACCAACTGTCCCCACCTATCAACCATATTGCTGACGCTTTCCCAAGTTTGCTCGACCAACTGGTCGATTACCCCAGGCCCTACGACCAAACCGCTACCGATCCCCCAGGCATACGCACCACAGTTACCATTCATTCCTGCCACTGGTCCACTCCGCCAAGGCGCCTGCATGAAGCAATGAGAGCATCTGCAACGGCTTCCTTTAGAGGGAATCCGTCGCACCTTGCTCATGACAGCGACACACTGGCTGTCAATACCAGTAGTCGTGCCATTGACGGCGCAGTCAAACACCATCGTGGCAAGCTCGACAATGGCGCTGCCCACATCTACTGCACTCAGAGCACTCTCCTCTACTCCTGCTGGTTTGCCATCGTCTGAAATACAGTTCTCATTATAATCCCTGTCCTCATTGTAATACCTGTCCCCAGTGTTATCCCTGTTCCCATTGTAATCCTTGTCCTCATTGTGATTCTTGTCCTCATCGGAACCCCAGCCCTCATCGGAACCCCAGCTCTCATCGGAGCCCCAGTCCTCATCGGAATTTCTGTCTTCCTCGGAATCCCAGTTCTGATTTTCGGTTAATCCAGAGCGAGAAAGAGCTTCCTTGATATCCGCCACGTGAGGAAGACGCGACGGGTTACCGATTTCGCTTAAAGCCAGGGAGCCGTTCATTGTTGGAGACATAGCCCATCTCTCAGACGGATCTTCTGTTGAGTATTTGGGAGTAATGTAAATCAGTGAAGAGTGGACAGTTAACAGGATACAAAACCTCAATCCACACTGCAGCTGGTCCAAGCAATGCGCCACTGAAAGCCCAAAGTCCAGTCCCATTTAAATCAAGTTTAGCCACAGACATACCTTCAGATCGCCCGATGATGACATGGGTTGTGTCCTCTGGATCACCGTCTTGGAATGCCTTGGAGAGTGTTGCTGTTGCTTTGAGTAGTCGTTTGGTGTCATGAACGGTCGCTGTAATACGCTCATCTGATGCATCCTCGTCGATGGAAATCATGACTCGCTAGAGCAGGATAGGTGTTTGGGATGGAATAGGTTGTGGAGGAGCGTTTGTGTGTCTGGCAGGGATGTCTTGAGTATGCTGTGATGGAGATTCGATGTCGGGTGTTGTCAAGGTCATAGTCCCTGTAGATGTATCTTTTATATTTGTTTTTCTGTGTATTCAAAGAGTCCATCCAAGGCGCTTCACCATATAACTCACTGGCCCTTTCTTTCGTTCATGCAAGACACGTATGTTGCTTCGCCAACGCCGTGTGCAAACAGACATGTAGTCAGTGAATCCGCACATCTGCTTCGCCAATACTTTTTCATGTGTGTAAATATGTTTTTTTTGCCTGCTTCCATGCAAACAAACATGAGTCAGTGAACCCGCGCATTTGCTTCGCCAACATTTTGTCCTCGCCATTGTCCTTTCTTTTCCATGTTTGCTTCCATGGAAACAAACATGTTATCCCTTACATTTGCTTCGCCCCACCAAGGTTACACAAAATCTATCTACTTTCATGGTAGAATCTTCCATCTTCGACACCTCATAGTAAATCATGAGATGGAATGCGAGAGAGAGTGGCAGGCTGAGAAAATCCCCAGAGTACAAATACCTCGGAATGGACTCTTGATTCCACATACAAGCACCCAACCACCAAAGCCGACCCACGGAATATCCTGAAAACACAAAGCAAGCATGGACGAGACAACATCGACCACAGTCACCTCAGTATCCAGTGCACTAGCAGTATTGGGTGCATTTGGATGTGATGCCATGACGCCCGCAATGCTGACACAGTGCCTCTACAAAGACTCATATGGTGCAATCACGCTGACTACAGCGCTGGTTAATGGGGCGTGCCAACCAGTGGCTGGCCCTACGTTCAAGCTCGGAGCGATGCTGATGGTGCACACAGCATGTGCATTATCAGGCAGGATCAACGACTGGGACGAGTATGTGGGTGTAGCGCCTTTGAGGAATGCAAAAGCAGAGTGCTACTCCGTCTCCGACGGCCGGATGAAGCAGATGGGTAGCTGCGTCTACGCAGCTGTGCAGGATCGTGCTGTAGCTGCAGTGTCTGCTCTAAAGCCCCAGGATCGCGTCCACCATCATTACATCCGCATGACAGTATCCCCACAGGAAGATACACACACGGGAACGTATGCAAACATTGTGCGATGGATTGCTGCGTGTTGGCCACTGGCTGCTTCAGCGATCATGGCGTGGGCCGACATGCAGCTGTGGGCAGGTAATGTGCTGTTAGGCTGGCTTGGCTGGTTCTTTATCGTGCTCAGTGCCGGGCCCGCTGTTCAGTCCGGACACCAGTGCAACGCCAATTGCGAACAGCGAGTGTACCTACTGAATGACCAAAACACCACAAAAAGCTTGATCGAGTACACTGTGTGTTTGGAGTTTGACGACCTAGCACGTCGGAGACTGCCGAAGCGCCACACACGCTGCAGAATCCTGCATGTGATCGGAAGTCTCTTAATGACCATACATTTCCCACTGGGGCTTGTGGCGACCTGCTATGACAGCAGTGCAGGTGCACAGACGTGGGTGCTGATACAGTTTGTGGGCCTGATTGCTGGCATGCGATGGTGGTGCATAGAGCAGCGTCTTGTCCACCACAGCGTCGACTGTGCACAGGACTATATCCATTGTAGATGACTTTAATGTAACGGGATATTGCAAGCAGTAGAGTAGCCTTGTCACTACGATCTGCTGAGATTAAGCCCATTGTTCTATAGATTTGTTCGAAAGAACAACACCTTTCTTTTTCCTAAAATCTCGCGGCGCGCATAGCTCTCAAGGTGGAGCCAATGTCGAAGTCGAAGTCTCTCGAACATTCACTCAACAGAAAGGTATTTATTGCTCTGAGCGCCAACCATTTAAAGTGATGTTTGTTGTCATTGAGGACGCGAATAAAGGTGTATGTCCTTGTCCTGCTGTCTTTGTCCTGTAACCAATGAGCAATCTCCCCATAGTCTTGGCTTTTCGATAGGAGGATATTTGGCTAGGCAATCCGTAGATTCATCCGCTCCATCTGTGCTGCTTACCTCATTTACTTTTACTGTCCTGCGATAAGCTGGTAGCGGAAGTGCCCCTGCCCTTAAGTATTCATTCCAATTGAAAAAAAATATGTAGAATTCCACGTGCTCACTTATCAAGTTAATGAAGGCGACAGCGGTCAAGAATGAAGTACTCTATCATTGAAACTACTTAGTAAATCCGGATTTTATATATGGCTGAAGCGGCTGTAGGTATACACCAACTCGTTGGAGTTGATAAATACATAACCGCGCGCGGATTCGGGGGTTCTTTTTCAATTGCAATGATGAATGGTGAGCGAAGGGTGTTGACTTGAGTAATATAAAGTGTTCATCCGATGGGAGGAGGGGGGGGGGGGCATGCAATGAATCATGTAGCAGCAATGTAGCAATAGTTAACTTCTTTTCAAGTATGACGGAGTATTATATTATCTAGCATTAGTATATCTCAAGTTTTTATGTCGCGTGTTCCTCAAGGTATTCTCTTCCTGCTCCTCCTCGTCCTCCAGCTGCGGACCTGGCTGCCCCAGCTGCGCCATATCCTTAGCGACGTTCAGGTAATACCTGTTCAAGGTCATGACCCTCAGTTGATCCTCCACGGCTTCCAAGGCTGACTCCTCCCTTGCCTCCAACGTCGCCCTTTCGGTGTCCAGTTTCAAGTCCAAGATGGAGTACACGATCGTCTTCTTGAGCGAGAATGTTTTCGCCAGCGTGTTACCATGCCCTTTGCGCCATTTCGATTTAAAAGTCTTATTCAAGGTCCAAAGTGCTGGCCGCCCGTCTATGCCTCTGAACAATTCATCCCATTGTCGCTGAAGTGGCTCATTGCGCGGCAGCATTGTAACGTCGACAAGATCCACACTAATGGGCGGATAGTGTACATATCGGGACCCTAATTCTTCGAGCACCATCCGCCTCTCCTTCAAGGACTGCTGTCTAGGAGCTGCTGGAGTTGCTGGAGCTGCTGAAGCTACTGGTGCTGTTGGTGCTGCAGGCGGAATATGTTGCTCCTGTTGCTGTTGCTGCCCTTGCTGCTGCCCCCATTGCTACCCCTGTTGTTGCTGGTGCCCCATAACCGACTGCAGTCCAAGGTGAGCAGCGTGACTAATCGAAGTCGATATGTCTTGTATAATTCCGAATATCTGAGCTACTAGCTCCCTATTACAGCTGTTGTTGTGGGTGACATAGTTGCTGAACTGGTTGACAAGGAGGTGTTCCGGGCGCTTTACTTGCTGGGCTGTGTGGTTGTTGCTTTCTTGAAAGAGGTGGCGAAGTTCGCTTTCGACTCGACTCATTCTGTTGTTCATCCTGCCGAATTCGCTATGGAGAGCTGGGGCATTGACGGAGAGATTGTCCGTCATGGGAGATCTTGTGGTTTCCATACTCCTTAGCAAGGTTTCCTTGAACTCCAAAAACAAGGGTCCTTTGAAGACGCTGTGCTGAATACAGCCAGCCATCTGAAATGCAACCTTGTGTGGGATTCTGATCAAGTAATGTGTCGAGACGCGGCCATGACCCCAACTACCATGTTGCTCGATCGCGGATATCTCTGCACCAGCATCCTGAGCATGGCGAGCCCCAGCGCCGCGATGAGCATGAGTGGGGTTCGAGGTAACGACTCCTGCATCCTCCCATAGCTCTTTTGAGGCCCGGTAGTGGGCTGCAGCCGACAGCTTGGACTTGTTATCCTTGCCAGACATTAGGTAGTACGCAGTCCATCCGTCATCATCGAAAGGCGATCCACCATACTATAGAGAGATAGGAAGGGACAGAAAGGTATTATTAAATATTTATATTGTTAAATATTATTATTGACAACAATGAAGATATTTTTGGGCAGAAAGCAGCATCAAGCGTTGCGTACCATCCATTACTCGAAGAAGAATGCAAGGCTGTTGACAGGACAAATCTCGACGTCCTTATTGCGTACAACAACTCCGAAATTTTCCTTGCCCTCGCGATTGGTCTTTCCTTGTACAGTGCGCAACAAAAAGTTCACATGGACATGAGACTTTAGAATCACATAGAAGTCCATAGAGTCATCAGATCTTCTCGAAACTTACATAGTGGTGGAAGTAATACGAAGTACAGTCCACTGAGATTCTGGAGCAATCGAATGTACGAACGCAAAGTCATGAAGGGGAAAGATGAATTTTGCAAAACATGTGAACTTTTCGTTGCGCACTGTAACATCGAAAGAACGGCCCCTAAGACAAAGTACTCGTCCTGAGAGTTGAGACGAGAAGCATGCGATGAGATATCTCCAAATGTGGCCATCCTCATATTCTCACCGCGAGCCATCATAAAATGGGACCAGGACGCATTGAGTCGTTGATGGAGTCCCACCAGTTTATGGCGCCGACCACCCCGAAATCGCTGGTAGTTATGGTTCCAGCCTTTCCGCATGATTTGCTTGAGGGATTCGAGCTCGTACCCGTCTTCAATTGTCAAGCTTGTCGCATGAGCCGACTTCCTGGTACGCGCAATCCTTAGCCTATAGCTCTTCATGAGTCCTCTGATTTTTTGGATCGTGGATACGATTCCGAGTGCATGGCGACATTCGAAGGATCCGCCTTCTGAGATTCGCAAGCAGCCTTGATGTGAGCATCCACGGTCTCATAAGAAGGAAGTCTATCGGTCTTGCCCAAGGGACCCGCCTGTGCACCTGACGTAACCTCCTCTTCTTTCTTCTTAGGACACGTATTAGATAGACACCTTCATCCTCATCCGTTTCCTCAGCCAAATTCTCAGCCAAATTCTCAGCCATATAAACCTGGAATCGTTTTGAGAATACGAGATGATCCGTGTATCCCTTTCGAATGCAGAAGTCCCAGAAATGTCTGTAGAGATAGATTAGTACGATTGCGAGGTGTCTGTTTTCCAGTGACATGACCGCGCTCTAGTGCAACACTTACCCTCCAATGGAGCTGGTACCGCGAGTACATATTTTCCGTACTCGTAGCCAAGTTACTATGACGCTGTGCCTGAAGCTCCATTTCGACGCGATATTCATTGAGTGCCAAGTCCCTGGATCGCTGAGCTTCTGTCGACCTGTGCTACTTGGCCATGAAGGTCTTGGAGGAGCTGGTTGTGCTGGAGGTCTTAGGGGTTGAGGAGGAACATTGCTGGACGGAGGCCTTGAAAGTGAATGTGGAGAGTTGCTGTGCAGTCTGGTCGCCGGATTCCATTGTTGCCCTCCTGCGAGCAGGTTGCGCCTTCCCTGGTGCTTGTTTCGCCATTCTCTTGCTACGCCTATCCAGCAGTCGTTCCTGACACCCCTCCTCGTCACTCATTGCAACACCGGTGACATCGACGTCGTCTAAGCCGTAGTCTGTATCCTCATCCGTAGCTTCTGCCGTATCGTCGTCGTTGTCCGTGTCGTCTTCTTGATTGTCAACGCGTTCAGCAAACGCCGGGTCGTCGCGTTCGACATGGACATTGCCAGACGATCCTTCGAGCACATTGCTATATGCATAGGCGTAGTCTGGTGTGTCCACTGAGTCTTCGAAAGCCTGGTACGAAGCGGCAACAGCTATATATTTGCATATACGACCGGTTGATACGAAGAGAGAATGGTAAGTTGGTGTATCGGTCGGTGTGACGAGTAGCGTTTCAACTGGCTAATGTCAGAACATGCCATCACCTAGATTAGAGAAAGAGGAGAAAGAGGCGCCTGTGAAAGACCTTTCTCCGTTGTCTCTTGGTCTATTGGTGGAAATAGAATTATGGTCCACGGTGTGTGGAGTGCGAATGGATGCAAGTCAGGGGTCAACAAAGTCAGGATATGGCCGACCTCCCTATTTTACCTATTCTAAAATATATCACTCTTATTCAATTACCGGAAAACATATGGGAAGGTCAGTCACCGTACTTGCGAAGGCCATCTAAATGTAGAAAACGGCAGGGCAGTGATATTTGCTTTGATAAGTAGATCCAACAAAATACATAAAAAAAAGTAAAAGTAAAAGAGTCGAGCACCGCTTTAGAGTCAAGGAGACACCAAAACCAACCCTTGCTGAGGGCCCGTTGACGTGTCTATGGCATTATGTCACAAGCCAGCGCCATCAAACCGCACGCCGCTGAATGTCTAGCAAAGTCTCGTGGGATCGACCAGACAGCGGCTGTGAAATTCAAAAACCACCGCAGAATGATGGCGCGATCGCACTCTCGGCTGTGGCCCACCTCAGTGGGGCAGGGAGTGTCGGGCTAGGACGCCACTGCTCGAAACCTAGATATACTTACCAAAGGGTGAGCACCGCTTTAGAGTCAAGGAGACACCAAAACCAACCCTTGCTGAGGGCCCGTTGACGTGTCTATGGCATTATGTCACAAGCCAGCGCCATCAAACCGCACGCCGCTGAATGTCTAGCAAAGTCTCGTGGGATCGACCAGACAGCGGCTGTGAAATTCAAAAACCACCGCAGAATGATGGCGCGATCGCACTCTCGGCTGTGGCCCACCTCAGTGGGGCAGGGAGTGTCGGGCTAGGACGCCACTGCTCGAAACCTAGATATACTTACCAAAGGGTGAGCACCGCTTTAGAGTCAAGGAGACACCAAAACCAACCCTTGCTGAGGGCCCGTTGACGTGTCTATGGCATTATGTCACAAGCCAGCGCCATCAAACCGCACGCCGCTGAATGTCTAGCAAAGTCTCGTGGGATCGACCAGACAGCGGCTGTGAAATTCAAAAACCACCGCAGAATGATGGCGCGATCGCACTCTCGGCTGTGGCCCACCTCAGTGGGGCAGGGAGTGTCGGGCTAGGACGCCACTGCTCGAAACCTAGATATACTTACCAAAGGGTGAGCACCGCTTTAGAGTCAAGGAGACACCAAAACCAACCCTTGCTGAGGGCCCGTTGACGTGTCTATGGCATTATGTCACAAGCCAGCGCCATCAAACCGCACGCCGCTGAATGTCTAGCAAAGTCTCGTGGGATCGACCAGACAGCGGCTGTGAAATTCAAAAACCACCGCAGAATGATGGCGCGATCGCACTCTCGGCTGTGGCCCACCTCAGTGGGGCAGGGAGTGTCGGGCTAGGACGCCACTGCTCGAAACCTAGATATACTTACCAAAGGGTGAGCACCGCTTTAGAGTCAAGGAGACACCAAAACCAACCCTTGCTGAGGGCCCGTTGACGTGTCTATGGCATTATGTCACAAGCCAGCGCCATCAAACCGCACGCCGCTGAATGTCTAGCAAAGTCTCGTGGGATCGACCAGACAGCGGCTGTGAAATTCAAAAACCACCGCAGAATGATGGCGCGATCGCACTCTCGGCTGTGGCCCACCTCAGTGGGGCAGGGAGTGTCGGGCTAGGACGCCACTGCTCGAAACCTAGATATACTTACCAAAGGGTGAGCACCGCTTTAGAGTCAAGGAGACACCAAAACCAACCCTTGCTGAGGGCCCGTTGACGTGTCTATGGCATTATGTCACAAGCCAGCGCCATCAAACCGCACGCCGCTGAATGTCTAGCAAAGTCTCGTGGGATCGACCAGACAGCGGCTGTGAAATTCAAAAACCACCGCAGAATGATGGCGCGATCGCACTCTCGGCTGTGGCCCACCTCAGTGGGGCAGGGAGTGTCGGGCTAGGACGCCACTGCTCGAAACCTAGATATACTTACCAAAGGGTGAGCACCGCTTTAGAGTCAAGGAGACACCAAAACCAACCCTTGCTGAGGGCCCGTTGACGTGTCTATGGCATTATGTCACAAGCCAGCGCCATCAAACCGCACGCCGCTGAATGTCTAGCAAAGTCTCGTGGGATCGACCAGACAGCGGCTGTGAAATTCAAAAACCACTGCAGAATGATGGCGCGATCGTACCTCGCTGCGAAGGATGATTGCTTGTGTAGGAAAGAGGAGATGAAGTGGTGTAATGCATGATAGGAACAGTGATGTATATTTTTTTCAGAAAGAAAAGGATCGCGTGAATCGGACTACGATTAGCTAAAAAAGAATGAAAGGAAATAAGGCATCATTTTTGAGCAGGTCTCTTAGTTGATGCACCAAAGCCTTGGAGGAGGCCACTGCAGCCTGCAGGTCCTCCAAGCTGCCTGTCTTGGACTTCTTATTCATCAGCTCGACAATCATGCGCCCATTGTTACAGAGCTCTTGCTCTGCATCCTCAAAGTCTCTCTTCCTCTGCTCCTTCCGCCGGTGTCTTTCTTCCTCCTCCCTCCTGGCCCTCTCGTATTCGAGTTGGGTGTAAACTTTTGGGTTAAGCACTGCTAGTTGGTCTCTGGGTGAGTCTTGCTCGAAGATGCCCGTGTCATTGTTGTTGCGCATGTTATCATTGTTGATGTTGTCGTTGGGACCATCGTTGAAGTCGACTGTCCGGTCCTCGATGATATCGGCCGACACAGACGGGCAAAGAAAGCGACTGAACCAAAGGTCGTGAAACACACGCTCAGCAAGAAAAATGTGCTTGCACGGAAGGGGTTCACGCTTGGTGAAGTCGAGGCACGAACATGAGAGGAGTTGCCCGGATCTGGCGATGACAACAAGGATATAATACCTGTCTGGAGTGTCGGGGTCAAATGACTGAATGGAGATCTACACAAGAAGGGGAAGTTAAAGTATACCCCACTGTAAGTAACATTTGGCTAAGGCAGGCGAACTTGGAACGGTGCTCGAACGCAAAATGGTTGGTGAAGCCATACCCGTAAGCGTCCATCATCGCAGGGCTGGTCTCTGTTGTAATCAATCTTGCGTTGTGCCTCGTCGAACTCTGCTTTCTGTTTCCTCTCCACGTCCCCCTTTCTCCAGGGTATGGGTTGGAAGCCTCTCTTGGTCTTGAGATATGCGAATCGAAGCTCTCTATCTACTCGATCCTGCAGCAAATAAACAAGCCGATCGACACGGAGATTCCGATCGCGACCAAGATGATCGCCCTTCAAACGAGCATGCCACGACTCTATCCAATTGTTGGTCGTGACAACTTGCCCATCCTAATGAAAAATAAGAAGAAATAAATAAAACAGATATATGAGTCAACCGGTGGTAGTCGTGATGATCGACATGGAAAGGAATTGAGGTGCACTTCACTTCCCTGTGAAATAACGCCCATTTCTCCAGTCTTCCCTCCTTATTGAACCAGTTCTTCTGAATATAATCGATCACTGACGATGCGCCCGAATAAAGCTCTTTGAACCTGGTCCAGAGTGTCTGCTGCAACTCGGGTGATCTGACTCTGCGAACCTCGTTCAAAAGGGGCCGCATCTGCTTCCTCTGTTCTTCCTGTGTGAATGAATGCAACACGGGTACTATGTTAGGTCATCCAGAATATTGCTCAAGCATGCCGCATGGCATCAGGCCATAAGAGGGAAGAGGATACCTACCGAGCCTTGCTTCAGGAAAAACAGTCCCAATGGCATGAGACTCGGCCTCGGCACAGTCCACCATGAATGCATCCGTTTTCAAACCACATTCGTTCTTTAGCCAGTCCAACCACCGAATGATGGGATATCTAATGTGTGCAAAGGTGCAAAAGTAAAGACATGTTCAGTCAACTGCATGAAAGAATGACGCGCCACAACGGGCATGATACAGAAACAAAGTAAATACATACCGGGATTCGGACTTGCACGCCATGAAGGCGACAGGGATTCCTTGATGGACGTCCTTGTCCTTGACGAGTAGCGTGAACAAGTACACTGAGTTGTAAATCTTGCTGCCCTCTTCGATCGGCGTGATGTCCTTTGCCGTCTTGTGAGTCGAGTCCATGCAGTAGATATTGGTGTTTTCAGAAATGACCTGGAACGACGAAGGAAAAGGCCATGGTGAGTAATCTCGCATGACTGAGGAGGAGCCAGTGTGCATACTCAATGTAGAGCATGTATCACATTACTTTCAACTGAAATTTTGTACACCACCCATACGCGAATCCTGTCAATGTTGCATCCTCAACGAACATGGTCTTTCCACCCTTATCCTCTATCTCTCTGAACCAAAGCTTGACGCTCTTGACAACATCCTATTCGTGGTGCAGTCCGGGTGGCATGGGAGACCAAGAAGCGATGCCAGATGCTCATTGGCCTGTATCTGGAGGACCTCTTCTATCCTTCATCTTCACCTGGTGCCCCTCGCCCTGCAGTGCCCGTGACTGCCATAAGCAAGGACGACCAAGGTATTCTCGACAGCCTATGCCCTCGGCTCTCGTCCAAGGAGATGAACGGCGGCGGTGACGATGTCGGCCCTGCTGGGGACGGTCAAGACGATGGATCCAATGCGCCCTTCATCCGCTCTTTCCTCTGCTTCCTGTACTCGGGTAACCTGCCTGACAAGAGTAAGATCGGTTCAGCTGTCAACACCTTCATTGGTCGTCTACAGGAGATGGGGCATCTGGAGAAGTCACAAGGGGCCAAAGCAGACATGCTCAAGAGTGTCAAGGAGTACACGCCGACTTTTGTGGTTCGATCCGTCGCATCACAGCTGTCGGCCGAGCTGAAGAGGCATTATAAGCACGGAGCCAAAAAGTTGTCGGAAAAGGTAATGCACCGTATTCGTCATTTCTTACTTTTTTTTCATTCTTGTCATCGATGTGGACAACAAAATTGAATTGAATCGCTCGTTTTCTATGAATTACCATAGGTTCAAACGATGATCAAGAAGGGACAATTGGAGAGCGATCGAGAAGTAGATTTGACATCCCAGGAACCAGCGATCCAGGTTTTTGTGCGAGCGAATGCAACAACCGGCCGGCCCTGGCGTCTTTCGTCCCTGTCGGAGGAGGAGCATGGGTATATGACATTCACCGAGATCGAGCTGGCCGCTTTTCTGCACAAGATGGACGAGCTGCACCCTATCCTCAAGAAGCTCATTGGCTGCACGGACCAACAGCGGCAGCTCACCCAGGCGGAGCTGACGCAAGACTGGCTCTCATTCCAGGCGCCGGGCGTGTTGATCCAGCGCCTCATTACCCCCATCGACCCAAGGACCCCTGATGGCGATCGCCTGCGTGGGCGACAGAAGAAGGATCTGGTATCGCGGCAGCCATCAAGGTTGTCGAGCCTGACGAGATGCGTGCCCATATCAACACACTCCGCTGTGACAGTTTCGATCCCCGAAATTACCAGGAAAAGGGCTATTTCTTGCAAGCCATAGCCATTCGTCTTGATCGAGCCGCGCAGCTTCTCGCACACAAGGTCCGCGAGCTGAACTCAGTCAAGTTCAAGCGGTACAAGACCGATGTTTTGCCAGATCGTCTGCTCACCACCACCGCCGGCACGAATGACTATCTGACCGAGGTGCACAATGTCTTCAAGTCCGCGGCCGATGTTGAGCGCCTCCTTGGCTGCACCCCTGACGACATTGACAAGGTGTCATACTTGGGCCTCGACCTAGGCCAAGCGTTCGTTGTCGGAGCGTACGGCCATATGCCAAAAGACAAGAGCCCCAAGATTGGCAAGCGACGCCGCCACCGGCAGCAAAAAAAGCGCGGCAGCCGAGGCCATCGTAAAAGAGGTCGCGGCAAGGGCAAGAAGAAGAAGGTCTGTCAAGACCGAGGCGAGCGGCATATCAACTTGGCAGTCAAGCAGAAAGCTGTCGCGCAACCCACTCACAGACATAGGACTTGGATGAATCGGCAGAAGGGCGCCGACTTGAAGATACACTCCAGCCCGTCGACCACCAACACCGAGTCAACAGCACCATCAACGGTCAACCAGCCCTCAACCAGCAGCACGGAGGCAGCAACAACCGAGTCTCTCTCTATCTGCACGATTGAGTCGTCACTCCCACCCCTCCGCGGTTCCGCCGCCGACTTCGCTGCTCACGTGCAGGGACGTAAGATGCACGAGGTCCATCTGGACAAGTTTTACAACGGCCGCCGATTCAGGTCCAAGAAGTTCAAGCGGATGTCGCAGCAGGCTAGGCAGCGCGAGTTCGAATGCCTGGCAGACTCGCTCCTACGGATGATCGGCGGCTCCATTGGCGAGAAGAAGGAGGAGGACAAGGTTGTGATTGGGATCGGCATGGGGCGATTCACCTCCAGTTCGGGATTATCGTCCTTGCATGGGACGTTCGAGGCTTACTTCATCCAGAAGGTAACTATTCGTCTGTTTATTGTGGGCTGTTTGTAGTGCTCCAATCTAGCTACTGTTGCTAACTGACATATCCCTCGCGCTCTCTGTTATTCCATCGCGTAGGCGCGGTCGCTCGGATATCTCGTTGTTGGCGTGCACGAGTATTACACCTCAAAGAAGTGCCCAAAGTGCGAGCAGTTTGTCAGCCAGACCGAGAGCATTCGCCGCCTCAACTGCTCCCATTGCAAAAAGTATATGCACCGCGACGTGATGGCAGGACACAATATCGTCAACATTCTGCGCGGCCATGTCGAGCAGCAGCAGCGACCACTTTACCTGCATCCGGTCGACAAGGACGGCCACCACCCCTGGCTGGAGCTACTCAAGGACGCTCCAGATTCGTTGCAGCAAGCAAGCAGCAATGGTTGTCGTACTAGTCGTGCAGGTCGTGCTGGTTGCAAGCGCCAGGCAGAGGGGGATGGCGATGGCAAGGAGACCGGTGGCAAGCGCACCAAAACAACCATGGCCAAGCAAAAGGCATCGACCACCAAGAACAAGGCGACAGCGGCCAAGCAATTGGCAGGTCGATAGCTAGACTAGCTTTTTTTTTCACTTCGAGGTGCTCGCAAGCACCCTTGTCTACCTTCGGGTGGATTTAGATAGTTGCCGCAGGCCGATGATTTCACCTTTTCGGTGACGTCATCGTAGTCCGTTGCGCGAATGTCTCAGTGCGCTCTTGATAGATGGTTCGCATTCTAATTATCCCTTCCCCGACGAACACCATGCAGAGCGATTTGCGGAACAAATGGCGCGAGGCTCTCGACTGTCTTCTCAATTTACCAAAGAAGGCCTTTTTCCAATCGTATACAGATCCGTATACCATCACTCCAGATGCATTCTTTTTGCATATTGCAGACGAGTCTCACAAGGGACGAACGTATATGGAGAACCAGTATGCCCGGATTTTGAAATTGTTCAAGTCGAAGGAGGGGCCACAAGGGTCAAAGGAGCTAATACTGAGGAGTGTGGGCGAATATCTTTACAAAGACTGGCTGAAGTGGAAGAATAGCGACGAAGCTGTTCAGTTCTGGCGGCACAGGGCGGCGCAAGTGTACGTAAGCACAGTGGAGTCAAAGGTGAAGGAGCAGCAGGAACACGTCTTAGAATATTACACCGAGAGCGTTAAAAGCCAGTTCCCAGTGACAAGTAAGTTACCTTATTTTAGGGTGGCAAATTGATCATCCTTGGTGCTGCCTGCCTTGACTTTATTATTCATATTGTCAATCTCAACCTCATTGTCGTTGTCGTTTTTATCAGCAGCAGAATCAACAGCGACAAGATCATCAGCACTGCCATCCAGCCCCCTTGGTAATGGTGCTATCCACGACACTTCGGCTCAGGATCGAGAAAGAGTCACAGCCTTTGCTCCTAATGTAAAAATCTTTTGCGGTGCTTCCTGCTTCTGTTTCTGCTCGCTTTTATCATCTCGGAACTAAAACTGTCATCATTGGTCCGGTATAGGAGCCTGCTGCTGATCGGCTACGCGCCCATATAACGGCAACATCGCGGAGGTCGTCGTCCTCAAGCAAGCAGTCGTACGCTCCTGAACCGGAGGCTTCATCAGCAATACAGACGCCCGTGCCTTCACTCAACCAGCCACGCACCCATGCACCAGTTACGTCGGGATCATCACGGACCTGGATGTCTTCATACACTCATGCAGCGGCACCGGCAGCATCAACGCAGACAGCAACAGCAACAGCCACAACATCATTAGCAACGGCCACAAAAAAAGCAACGCCTACAATAACATCGCCATTAAAGGTAAAACTGACTCTGGGCAGTTGATTGACGCTTTGACAACATAGACGGCTTTCTAAACTTGCTCAGAGCTTCTTTTTTTGATGTATAGAGATCGCAAGTAGGAGCGGAGAGTCGTGTTGGAAGGAAGCGCAAACCGCGTTCATTATTTAAAGTTGATTTGGATCCAGTCCTTTCGGCTCCCTGCTCATCCGAAGATGCTTATTGTGGAGACTACAACATAACCGCTACATTCAAAAAACTGCAGCAAGACTCGAGCAAAGTCGTGAATGCCTCGACCACCATGGAGCTGGAGCATCTTCACTATTTCTTGTAAGTTCATCGTGCGTCCCTTTTAGTTCCATCATGTCATCATGGATTGATTTTAATATACGAACAGGGCTGTGAACTCTATCTGGGACATGCGCTCGGCTCTCCCTGGAATGCCTTCTGCAGTGCATGCTGAGATTTGCGCAAAATTTGAGTCCAGGTTCCCTCTTGAGGACGTGTCTGCAGCCGAACTTGCGCTTCACTTGGACCTGGAGAATGAACTCAGAAAATGTGGAGAGCTCACAACAGCTCACTCGGATGTCTCTCAGAACCCTATATTATCAGTCTGGAAGCGACTGTAAGTTCAGGAAATCAATGGCTGCAGTGAAACACAAACTGAAGTACATGTATTAAGACGAATTTTAACTGCCACTAGATCGGAGAATCTAAAGCGGACCTGGAACAGTGCCACAGACTGCAAAGGGGAGGACACACATGTTCATCACCGTCTCGGTCCCTTTGTCGCTCCCGTCTTTCCTGGTAAAGACTTTGAGGTGATCTGGGCGAACAAACAGATAGAAGGTTCCCAGGCACGACGTGAAGATTGTGGCCGCGAAGGTTACCGTCCAGACCTGGTTATCAAGAAGAAAGGGCTTGCCTTCCTCATCTCAGAAGTCAAGCCCCCTGAGCATGATGACAACGTCGATGATTACGTCGCTGATCTTTGGAAGCTGGTAATTTTGATGAAAGATCAGATTGACCATGAGCTTGATGGCGGTGCGGAAAAGACATTTATGTTTGGCCTACATGTCTTTGGCTACAAGGCAGATCTGTGGGTTATGGATCTGGAGCTGGAAGGAATCTACCATCTTTACCATGTCGGTGAAGCCTGTCTCCCGCGCTACCAAAGAGACACAGGTGGTGTTCGTTATGTCACGCAGCTATTCTTTTCCATCAAGGTATGTGCGTATGTGCAATGTAAAGCTCTCTCCTTACTCTTCCCTTCTCTTCCATGATTCTCTCTCGCCGATCTGATCACTATTATTTTTATTTTGCGTTACACTAGTCATTTGTCGAGAACAACATCATCGGACCTATTCTTCCTCCAGGCCTCAGGACCCCACCTACAAAAGCGAGCTATAAGAGGCCCACCATCTTCACCCCTTCCAAGCGAGAGAAAGAATAGGAGGCTGAGCGAGAGCCGAAGGATGTGCTGAATTCCTGAGCGAAGTCATAGGACTTTTGATGTGCAGGACTGGATTCGATTGTCCCAAGACGATATTAACGACACCGGCGACCTTGACATTTCATTATGTTTCTTCAATAAACCATAAGCCCATATTTCAGTACAGTCACCGTCCGGTAATCTGGAAAGTTTTACAGATTAACGGTGGAAGTGTCCGCAAGTATTCAAATTAATGAAAGCGACAAGAATGAAGTAGAGCTACACGTGTGGCTGAACCATCAGGTCAAAAATCTGTCTTCTCTCTCTTCTCTCTCCCTTCTCTCACTCTTTTCCTCACCCTCACTCACTCCATCTCTCTCTCACACACACACAGAACAGAAAAGGTATCAATCCCATCTCAAAGTCCAACAATTTATATCCTAATTGAAAGAAACCATTCACCAGGAAGGCGATATGGATGTGAAGGAACGCGAAAAAACCACCTCTAATACAAGAAAGAAATTTTGTTGCAACGTGATTTGCCTTCCCCAGCCAAACGGTCGTCTCATTTTATGCGTGGGCCTCTAATGGATTTAAATGGTAATAAAGTACACTGGACTCGGCTGAATATGCAGCAGTTGGCCTTCAGATTTCGAGAACGTCTCCAGCTACCAGCCTTTTCTGTCTTTTCATGTCAAATAACTGCTGTCAGTAAGATGTTGAAATGCTTGGGAAAAAACGAGAGACAAGTGCTAAAGGCAACCATTTTATACTTGCTCTTAGAAAAAATATCGACAGCAGCTTTATTAAAACAAAGAGAACCGTGCGCAACACAAACACATACGCAGCGGTCCGATTCAGATTCCGAGCAGCAAGAAGTGAAATGAAATAACTATATTCGGACAAAGTACCTTCTGTTAGAGCTGCAAACAATTATAATCTCTGCCATCAATGCCATTGTTGAGACACTCCCATCCAGCGTTTGCTTTTCGTAGGAAAGTCTCCAAGCAGAATAACTTTTTTCTCCTGAAGTTTGCCATCCTCTTGCATAGCCGCTCCAAACGCTTCATCTCGACTTACTATCTCTGAGCAGAAAAATTACGGAGGTTCGTCTCCTCGAGAAGCTGTTGGAAATCCTTCTGATCACCCCACTTGTCAGCATCATTGACTTCTACACTGATGCCTCTGCCAACAAGAAAGTCAGGACATTGAGAACGCTGCCAGACTGGATATGCACCTAGGGACTCCCAATCAATGGTGCCAGTAATGTCATCTCTTTCAACCATGATGTTACCCATATGTAAGTCGATGTGTTGAAGGCAAAAGCGCTCCAGCGTGGTTGCTGTTGGACAAAAATAAGGAACAATCTTCTCGGGTTGCGCACAAGTATGTCTATATACACTACTCTTAGACTAATCAGGCTCAGTATCGTCAGTATCATCGTCGCCTCATGTCGGTGTGCCCACTTGTAACAAACAGAAGAAGACACTAGGGAAGAGAGGCAACTGAAAAGTCCTTTATTGTGTATTGTAGAAATAGGCTGTTTATATGTATTACTATCACACCACGAGTATTGCTTCCGATCCGAACGTCTGCATCTGCGAGGGCTTCAGCACACAACCTCCGACCCGGCGTGTCCTTCTCGAGACCCCAGACACAAGCATCCCAAGCCAACACTCATTGGTGGGTCCAGTATCTCTCACACAGAGCACAATGACCCGAGCTGTACCCTTGTCTTCAGAAACGCCTTCAGATGCAAAGTCCTCATTATACCAAGAATGAATGGTCTCAGACAACGTAACCGTACCAGTAGCCCCAAACCATAACAACCCTGCCTCGGTGGGGAGCAAGTCGCAGACTGTTTGCCATCGTCCAGCTGCAGGCCACTTCGCCCCGTACATTGGCATTGTGGATACAGGGACGACCCTTCCTTTCGCAGGGGCAGCCTTAAATGCCAGCCAACTAACATCATGCTGCTGCACTGCTAAACTTATAAGCTGGGCACACGCTGGCAGTCCTCCTGGCACGTCAAGAATCAGCTCATACCTTATAGAACCAAACAGTCCCATATCGTGCATCTCTCCACCACAACTATCATGCGTCAGTGCACTACAACGTTTGTGAGTTACAATATCACAACAACCATGCGTCACTCCACGACAACGCATTAGTGCAGCCGCAACCAGTCGCCCAGGATCGCAACTGCCAAGCTCCAGTACGCCAAGGCCCACAAGCATAGTCATGTCATCAGCCTCGAGGTGCATCCAATACCTATCAAGTAGGGCACCCAACTGAGCTTGCAGTGTTACCAGCCATCCACACTCAATGGACTTGCCACCATGGGTCACAACCATCATGCGCTCGTAGCTCATGAACATCTCCTGCAACGTCCAAGTGGATGTGAACCATTTAACACCTCCGAGTAGATGTATCACCTCAAGGAACTCATCGAAGGTGTCAGCGGTCTCACTGAGATCTAGCGCACCTTTGATCGAAAGGAAATCGTGTTCAGGAACAAACACAAACACGCGACTCGCACCAGCATATAGCTCGGCTTGTGCCTTGATCTTGTTGACCTTCTTCCAGCCTGCTTGCGCGGGAATGTCAACCCAGTCGAGCCACAACTCACTATCCCATCCTGTGGCTACAACGGCAGCTGCTATATCCCGCTCATCCCAATAGCCCCATTTGCACACGTGCTTCTCCTGGTACTCCCCTGTGATACCACAAGTCCCCTTGCACCAGCCCCCTCTATCTTCTCTGCGTGGCGAAACAACTGAAGAAAAGCGGGAGGACCTGATGGGGATGCTGAAGGCGGCCGAGGTCAGTGTTTTGGCAAGGATCAAGACAAAGAAATTCGATGGCGAACATCTTTATTCGGTGTCAGTGGAGACAGAGGCTCAAGTTCAGGAGCTGCTAAAGATGAGGACTGAGAATGCGGACGGAGCCCGCACTTTCATCTTCTGCCGCGCGAATGACGACTGGAGTCAGGACCGCCGTCGACGAACAGTGGAGGTGTGCGGACTTCCCCCACGCATAACGGACACGCTGGTCCGTTTGTCATTGCAGAAATATGGAGAGATCGAGGACATTTCGCGTCACATTTGCAGCCGCGGTATCAAGGTAACCCTTGCAGTGCGTTTCACGTCCCAAGCGGGCATTGAGAAATTGGTAGAAGAGGGCACTACCTCTCTCTTTGTGGGCAATGAACACGCTCGTTTGGGTCGCCTTGATGCCGTGTCATTGCAATGGAACACGAGGCATGTATGCAAACTGGCGGGCTTGCCTTCTCAGACGAGCCCCCTCGATCTCTCGGATTTGTTGGAACTGAAGGCTATTTGCGTTGATATACCCAAAGTATTTGTGGATAATCAAATAAAATACCGACGAGAGGCGTATGTTTACTTCAATTCTGAAGAAGACATGAGAACTGCAACAGCCAATCCTATCACGCTAGGAGACAGGATTTTGGAGTGGTGCAAGACTGGCCACAAAGTTTGTTACTCATGTGGTTCGAGTAGGCATCTCAGAGCCGATTGTACGACGCGTACCGAGAACAAGGAACGATATCTTCATGTGGAGGCGGTGAGGAAATACAGTCAAGGACAGCCGCTGCGAGTGAGTTCTTCGCGGTCGTACGCCAAAGTCGCCAGCACCAACGCTCAGAAGCAACCCGCACAGGCTGCATCAACCAACGCAGGCACCAGTGGCGCCATTGTGGAGGAGACGACGCTCAACACAAACACAGATGTTATTGCCGCGATCCTGGAGCAAATGCGTCAGGACCGAGAGAGAGCTGAGGCCCAGTTCAAGACCATGATGCACTGTGTGCAGGAGATGATGAAGATTGTTTGTAGCACCCTCGCACAGACGTTTCAAGCACCGCAAGCAAAGGAAACCCGGCCTGCTCAGGCAGCTACAGCAACGACAACAGGACGATCGTCTAAGGAACGAACAACCGCTCCCGCTATGACATCAAAGACAACTGCACTAACTCAAAAGATAAATGACCAGGACCCGACACAGATGACTCTCCAGCAGCTTTTGGACAAGGCCAAACAACCTGGAGCCTTTCCAACACCACAGAGCAACATGAGCTCACTTCTTGCTGCGTGGCAACTTGTAGCGTCGAACTCCGGACCGCCCCACCATCCGCTACCACCTACACCCGCTAAGAAAATGCAACCGGCCGACTACTCAGGAATTAATAATGAATAATACGCCCAATATGCACTCTCTTCAGAATCAATATGGTACATCGGAAAACACTGCAACGGACATCGGACTTAATGACTACAACGAACACAACACCAACAATAACGTAACAATGGAGCGCACACTTCGAGTTGCGACATACAACATTCGAGGAGCAAATGCTCCAGGAAAACTAGACGCCCTCTGCTTTTGGGCAGAGCACGCGGATATATCCATTCTTGGTTTACAGGAAACAAAATTCGCAACACACAAGGAACGATTTACACTCTCTCGGGAGTATTCACACATATACGACACGCATTGGGGAAGCGCCCCACAAAATCCCGCGGCTTCAGGCGTTGGACTCCTGGTGCGCAAGGACTGGAGCAAATATATCATTCGCAAGACACGACACCGTGGACGCGGTATTGCCATTGATTTTGCATTCAGGAACCGCTGTACACTTCGTGTGATTAATTGCTATATTCCTAGCGACGCACAGCACCACCCGGAAGGTCAGGCCCTGCAGCAATGGCTAAAGCAACAGATCAACGAGGCCGTTTTGGGTCACTACAAATATATTTTGTTAGGGGATTTCAATGGCACCATGTCACCTAGCATCGACAGAAATAACAACAATGGGAGTCACCGACCGGACACGCCCCTTTTGCAGTGGATTTCGGAGCAACCATTGACGGATGCGTACAGATCGCTATTCCCGCTCGAGGCCGGCTTCACCTTCGAGGATGTCAGTCGCATAGACATGGTTTTCCTATGTCCAGGGATCTTACCCCGTCTTTTCAACGCGGAGGTGATCGATTTACAGGACCATGTTAAATCGGACCACCAAGCACTGGTAGTGTCCTTAAATCTGTACGCGATATCGCTCCTTGGAGACACATCGGCCAACAAATACAGGAAACCTCAAGGCTTTCGGTTTTGTTTCCGTGAGACGTCGAAGGAGGAGTGGACGAACTATGCAGAAGAAACCAGAGAATATTTTCCAGCAGCTCAAGCTTGACCAGGTTGGGTATTAGGGACTTGGACGACAATGGCACGGTCCCCAAGGAGGCCCTAGTTCGGATCAACCTGGAACGCACATGGCAATTTTATTCGGCCTCTTTGATGAAAGCAGCAAAGGCGACACTCCCAGGCAGAGTGGTAGGTCGCACCGGTTGTCGCCCAGAGAGAGAAGTCAACATGAGCCACATCATCCGTTCCTTATCCAACCTCCAACAAGCAGCCAAGAGAATGAGACAAGGACTTTTTGCGCTCCAGATGTGCAACAAACCCTTTCGCAGGAGGTTAACAGTGCGTTGAATCGGATCGACAAGTATTTTCATCGCATGGAGGAAGCGGAAGAAGCCCCACCAATCGACCGTCTAGGAAGTCCCCCCTTGGACACTGCGTCGGCAAATGACTGGACGCGATGGATAAAGGAGATTGGGAAGAGATGGTCCACTGCTTGCGTAGCGATTCAAGCACAGCAGGCAGCGAGGCTACAAACACGAATTCGAGAAAATATCAATATTCTACTTTCCCGATGGCAATTGGCCCCACGACAGGTTCTCGACAGTGTCCTTGAGAGGACAAATGGCAAAGTTGTTTTGGATCGAATCCAGGTCACTCAGGATGACCACACACAAAATCTTTTGGAGCCGCAGGAAATCAAAGAGTATGTCCGCGATTGGTTCATCAAGTGGCATGGGCCCCGTCCTGCACAGCCTTTGGAGCCTGGGTCCAGATGGGAACAACAGTATCGGCCCAAGGAGTGGATTGACGAGGAGTGGTACTCCACGCTCATGGACCCACCAACGTACGAGGAATTCGAGGAGGCACTGGATGAAGCGCCCAAGTACAAGGCGCCGGGTGCATCAGGGCTATCAAATGACCTATTTCAGAAACAAGGACAAGTCGGAAAACACATTTTGTACCATGTTCCCAAGGATTGGCGCACTGGACGAATTTACTGTATCCCAAAGGCAGCAGAATGGTCCGGTAGCATGGCTGATGTCCGACCGATTACACTTCTAGAGCATGCTAGGAAGATCATGTTTACGATCCTCACTAAGCGGCTCAGTACGATTCTTACCCAGCACAACATCCTCCGAGGTCCAAACTATTCGGTTTTGAAGGGTACGACGACAAAGGATCCCATCCACGCGCTGAATTGTGTCATGGAGGATGCAACAGAGTTCAAACAAGAGCAATGGATTGTTTCCAGGACATGCGTCGCTGCTTCGACTCGGTCAACTGCCATCAGGACGGCATGCTTCATCGGGCAATGACGCGCTTGAAATTTCCAAAGCCCTTTATTGACCTTTGTATGAAGATCGCTGACACCAAGATCAATCAGGTTATCACTGATTACGGGGTCACGGAGGAATATCGACCACAGTGCGGATTGGATCAAGGAGGAGTGGAATGCCCCCTTTTTTGGCGAATAGCTTACGACCTCTCTTGTGCGAGGTCATGGAGCAAGGACGTGGATATGCGATGAAAGGTGTTGCACAACCTCTTGTCGTGTTCGCACGTGGATGATACTACATGGGTTGCAGGATCCAGGGAAGATATGCAACATACGCTCGACATTGCAACGTCCTTCTTCACACTCAATGGCGTGGAAATCAATGCAAAGAAAACCGTGGTCATGGTTAACCTCCAGGACGCGCAGGACAACACCAAATTGATTTTTGGAACACCACCAGAGGAATTAACACCACTCCCACCTAAGGAAGCAGCACGCGTACTGGGGGTATGGGTTAACTCAGCCCGTTCAACAACACCTACAACTCGCATTTTGGAAACAGAGGCGCCCGGCTCTGCAATATTATGAGCCGTAAGGCCATCACCGATCGCATTGCAACCACTATCGTCAATAGCGTCCTGATCCCCAAGATTCTGTATCGCAGTACCATTCAAGTCATCTCACCGTCGTGCCTCAAAAAGCTCACGGGGAAGTATACCCAACTAATCAAACGCAAATCGGGCCTGCCTTCGACTACGCCCAACAGCATTCTCTTTCACCGGCACCTCGGAGGTCTCAAACGATTGTCCGACGCTCAAGACGAGGAACAGATCAGTTCACTACATAGCCGACTCAACGATGGAGGTATTGTAGGTGATCTCTGTAGAGCACGGCTCGCTGCGCTTCAGCGACGGGGCGGGCTGGAACAGGTGCCCACGGCTACACCGCTACGTGTCAAACCATACCGTCATTGTCTTATCTCCAACGTGTGTCGTTTGATGGCTGACAGGAACATCACATTTACCCTGAACAAT